TTCCAGAAGTACCTCACCGGACACCCCAAGGGTGCTGCCGGTGCCTGGATGTTCAACGGCTGCTTGCAGGTTCTAGAAAGTGGTCTGGTTCCTGGCAACCGCAATGCCGACAATGTGGACAAGGTCATGGAGAAATTCGATTACATCGTGTATCCCAGCCGCAGCATCCAGACCGACGGCATCAAGGCCTTCTCCGTTACCTCCTTCGGTTTCGGACAGAAGGGTGCTCAGGTCATTGGTATCCACCCCAGGTACCTGTACGCCACTCTTGACCAGGCCCAGTACCAAGCCTACAAGACCAAGGTGGAAGCTCGCCAGAAGAAGGCCTACCGCTTCTTCCACAACGGCCTGATCAACAACAGTATCTTTGTTCCCAAGAGCAAGGCGCCCTACGAGGACAACATCCAGAGCAAGGTCTTCTTGAACCCAGACTACCGCGTATCGATCGATAAGAAGACCTCCGAGCTCAAGTACTCGGCCACCCCCCCGAAGATGGAGAACCCGAGCGAAGAGAGCACCCGGCAGATGGTCGAATCCCTGACCAAGGCCAACGCCTCGCCGAACTCGAAGATTGGTGTCGATGTGGAGAACATCCAGTCCATCAACATCGAGAACGAGACCTTCGTGGAGCGCAATTTCACGCCCAGTGAGCAGGAATACTGCCGCAAGGCGCCTTCTCCCCAGGCTTCGTTCGCGGGCCGATGGAGTGCCAAGGAGGCGGTCTTCAAGGCACTTGGCGTGAGCAGCAAGGGTGCTGGAGCTGCCCTCCAGGAAATTGAGATTGGAAGCGACGCCAATGGCGCCCCCGTGGTCAATGTAAGTGATGACGACTTCCTCGTGTCTCCTAATGAATTAGTGACTGACAGATTCTTTCAAGCTCCATGGTGCCGCTGCCGCTGCCGCCAAACAGGCGGGCGTGAAGCAGGTCAGCGTCAGCATTAGCCACAGTGACACGCAGGCTGTTGCCGTGGCGGTCTCGCAGCTTTGAAATGCGCGTATCTTCGTGTTCCATAGAGATGTTTTGTGACTTTTGCTTGGAATTTTTGTTATTTTGTTTTGTTTTTGAGACGTGATGATTGTGATTTATGTTAGATTGCGGGCCAGTTCCGTCTCCTGGCCTGCTTGTTTATAATGGGAGTAATGACATTTTCTTCTTCGTGTTCTATCTATATAAATCCAGGCGTAGATCAGGAGGCAATAACCCTTGCATAGCTTTTTGCTTGTACCAGTATGATGTCGACACCAGCCTGCGGTTCACTACTATCGAAATTCGTTTCACTTCATTTCTTTGCATTCGAGATGGGTAACATGTACAGACATCACTCGGATTTCTTCGCTGTGACCGCTGCGCGGTTCAGCGGCCCCCAGTTTTCTCGGGGATTGATCTGATACCGCACCAGCCGTCTCTTGGTATGCCTCTCCGACACCTCCCGTCCCAGAGCTTCATCGAAGACGACGTCCAGCTCGCTTGGATGCGGCCGCTTCGTTCCCCGTGTTGCAACCGGCGCCCCGGCTTCAGTGGTCGGTTGCGCTTTTGGATCGGGACCTGTCTCCTTAGAGACGGCGCTCGCCCAAGCCTGTCGCGATCCAGAACGATACAAGGTAGCTTCCACGTGGGTGATCAGGTCTTTGACATCTTTTCCTGCCTCAATGGCAGAAAGAAGGTCCTTCTTTAGCAGAGAGAGCCACTGGTCTTCATCATGCAGCTTGCGCAGATTGTCGCGACTCTTGCCCATTATGGCAGCGCCAGGGGTTCCGGGTTTCAGGGAAGTCTCCTTAATGGGCGATCGCTGGCGAGCCCACTCACGCATGATCTCCCAAATCACGTCCCAGGGCGCATCGGTGCGGATCGAGTTTGGTTTTGCGTGGCTGCGCGTGGAGCGGTAGCCGAGGCCGCGGAGAGCGCCTTTGAACTCATTAATTGGGATAGTGGATGTGTGCAGGACCTTGGAGAGAGCGCTCAGAGAGAAATAGAACGGATACGGCTCCGCGACAGCGGGGTCCATCCGGGGAATAATGGCTGGGTATTCGGCAGCTGTGGCGCTAGGAGCCGGCGTCTGCTCTGGAGAAGGTTTAGAAGTAGAGGTACTGAGGTCTAGATCTTCCTCGAGGGCTGTGGTCAGCATACCCTCAATCCGAGGAATGGTGTGGTAAAGCTCGCGGTCAGCGCCGGGGAGCATGTCCAGCATCTTCTGGATGAAGTGAGGGTTATGCAGCGGACCTGCCCACATGGGGCCACCCAGATGCGTCTTGAAGCCGCAGTGCTCACAGTTGGGGCCAACCAATGGCCCCTGGGACACCCCAAAGTGATAGATGGGATTTCCCTTGCGGTCGAGCTTGCTCTTCGTCGCACCCAGGGACTGCGTCGACCAGGCACCACATCCGGCGTCACAGTTGTAAACAACCATCGTATTTCCGGCCAGAAACTTGACCTGCGCTGGAGATCGATACACGCGCACAAAGACCCGCGCGTAGAAGTCAATGGATAGCGAGAGCAGAGGTTCAATGGCCAGTCCGTATTTGGCGGCGGACATGGCGAGGCCATTCAAAATCAGTCGCAGGCCGCCTTCGTGACACTGTGAGCCTTTGAGTGGAATGCCACCATAGAGAGAAAATGCCTTCTCCGAATACCCCGTAGAGGCCCAGACACCTGCGTCGGTGCAGGTGACACAAAGCAGGCCGCCATCCTTGACTCCCAGCACTGCGGCATCCATGAATGGGGCGGCGGTGCCATAAGGGTCCAGATCGATCACATCGAACCTGTTCGTGTTATTGCGACTGTACATGTAGGCGCGTGCATCACCGAGATTCGGTTGGATGCGGTTTTCAAGCCCATTGTACTCGACATTTGTCTTCATGGACCGGATCGCAGATGCCGAGAGGTCGTTGGCCACGACTGTCGTCACGAATGGCAGTTCGGAGGCATAGCGGAGCGCACGCAGACCAGTTGCGGACAGGGCATCGAGGATGGTAAACGACCCGGTCCGGTTGAGATCGGACAGGGCCTCGGGGTCATCCTGAGCCGGAGCCGGCGGCTCCCCGGCTTTATTCTCTCCCTCGGTGACCAGTTTCAGAGCCGGATTCTCTTCCTCTTGTTCACTTCGCTTCCTTTTCTTCCCTTTTGACTGATTCCCAGCCGGCCGCGTATTTTGCCTCTGCTCTGCTTTCTGCCTTTTCAGGTCCACCAGGTGCTCTCCATAGGCGCGGATGGCCAGGACGCTCAGATCGCGATTGAACTGCTGGATCGGGTTGTAAAAGACCGACTGCACCTCGTCGTCGTCCTTGAGGTCTTTCTTTGTTCCCTTCGAGGCGGCTTCTTGGGAGGGCGGGTTCAGGATATGGGCCAGGCCCTCTTTGATGGCACGGTATTCTGTGCCTTTGTGCTGTACGAGATTGCCGGGTGTTTCCACCATAGGATTCTCCATGGTGCGGGCGGTAATTGAAAAGAAGGATCTCGTCGTGAAGGACGCGGTAATGGGGGATTGGAGTGCACAGAGAGGACGAAGATGCGCAAGGCCGACGAGACTGCGGGAATTAGAAACGCATCGTGCGGTGAAACAACAGGCAGTGGACAAGGACCCAACAAGGCTCATGGACTCGAAGATTGGGTGAGCACGAGAGCCGGTGTTGGTTGCGGGAAGGAAAAAAAAGAGGCGGCAGAACGGACCAACCAAGTGGATCTGGTGTACAAGGCTGTAATAGTAGTGAGTATTACGATTAATTAACTATTCTATCACTGACAATAATAACAATAAGAGATATATACAGATATCACATTCTTCATAGCCAGTCACCAATGACCGGCACCTGGCTGTACATCTCGTTCCAGCCCTTGGCCTCCCAGCCCGCGCCAGCGCCTGCCCGCCCGACAATCCCCAGCGCGCCGGCTAGCCAGAGGGAGGCGCCCAGGGCCGCGATGCCATTGACCACCCACCACATCTTGCGTTGCCGCTTGGCACGCTCCGGATTGTCTGAGCGGCCGAGATAGCCTTCCAGCGAGCCCTCGTTGCTGCCGCGCTCCCTCCGCGCCGTAGTCACCTTCCAGCCCATGCAGGTCGCCCATCCACCGACAAAGTGCCACACGCCCGCCGTGACAAAGAACAGATAGAACAGATTCCAGAACACGGGGCTGCGCGCAAAGCCATGGGCGACATATCCCAGTCCAACGCCGGAGCTGCCGCCGTCGACCATCAATGGGGTGGCCCGATTGACGAGAACATGAAGCCCGATGAGTGGCGCCAGAAAGTATCCCGTACGGGCCTGCACAGAGACCCTCGGCCAGAAGGACAGTAGCTCCCGTTGCGCGCGAGTCTCAGCACCGTAGAGCCGGGCTCGCCGTGAAGCGCGGATATTGCGCAGAGCAATTCCAGAGGCAATGTGCGTCAGGATGGGGATGGTGAGCATGAGGTGCTCGAGGCCAGGTGCTTGGTAAACGGGTCGTGTGAGCAGGAGGTACGATTCGCTGACGGGGACCGAGCGAGTTGCCAGTGGGATGAGCGAGGTATTGACGAAATGCAACATGGAGAATGCGGTGGGAGGGTATGTCGAGTATCTCTGGAGGGCCGATACTGTTGGAAGGTTGATTCAGTGGTCAGCCATTTCCAAATCGGTTGGGGGAGCGGGAATTTGCACGTACACCAGGTATCCCACCGATTCCCTCGCAGGCCAAGCTTGGAGATGGCAAATCCTGGCTCGGGGGAGGTTTCTGGGAAGTACTCGCCGCGCTCCAGGTCCGGGCTAAGGTCGTCGACGGGCGAAGGATCCAGTTCCTGCATGGAGAAGAGAGACCGCGCATCGCCGTCGTCGGTGGAGAGTTTCTTGAGATCCATTGTGTAATTCAACCGAAAAGAAGAAGAAGAAAAAGAAGAGGAAATTCGTCAGTCGTGCATTATTATTGTTTGTTGTTGGTTGGTTGGGGAGAGAAAACGGGAAGCCGATGAAGAAAGACTTCGTCTCTCTTGCTCCACCGCCAGCCAACAAGCACAACCAACCACCCCAAAATGCCCCCAGTATGTGATCATTAGTATTCTTACTTGTGTCGCTGCTAATTACTGCGCATACAGAGAGGCTTCACGAATCCTGCCCCTAAGGTATACACTTTCCATCCCGATCGAGTCTAAGCTAACTGACAGCCGCAAACAGACCGAGTCCGCGCGCTCGGCACTCAGCTCCTTCACCTGCACCCTCTGCAACAAATCCTACTCGCGCCACCCAGAATATGAAGCACATATTTCCTCCTACGACCACCAGCACCGCAAGCGCCTGCAGGACCTGAAGCAGCTCTCGCGCGACCCCAACGCCGCCGAGAAGGCTCGTCGAGCGGAGCGCAAAGCCGACGCCGACGCCGGGCTGCGAGTCATTGATAAACCCGGGGATACTGCGGCGTCAAACGATGGGAAAACCGCTGGTGGTGGCAGAGGAGGTGGTGGCTTCAAGAAGGGGGGCTTCAAGAGCTCGTTCGCAACCGTCAAGGGCACCGTGGCACCTGCATCTGTCACGAGGAAGAACGTACTCGGTGATGACGGAGATGAGGACGACTCAACGAAACTCGCAAAGGATCAATTGGCCTCATCTAAACCTGCGGTGGGTTCAAATCTCACTAGTGATGCGGAGAGTGATACCGACGAAGACTACTACGACCCTCGACGGCCAACGGACTGTTTCACCGGATGTGCAAGCATGCGGACAGCCTAAGCGGCGCGGTGGAACTGATGTACATATATATCGTGGGGAGTTACGCACGGGCATTGGATGGGAGCATGGCGTTATGGATGGGATACCTCTTTGCAATCAAGGTCCGGATGTCTATATTTGCAAAAACCAAAAAAAAAAAAAACTCACAGAGCCGTTACGCTGCGCGGGAAGAAACAGATCCTAGGGATGTAATCGTACACGGCTTTCCAAGAATCTGTCTAGGAGAGAATAAATGACGCGCACATAATGACACATAACCGATATGAAAAAAATAAGGACAGAGGAAAGGGTACTAGGCACAGGGTTTGATTATGGCGAGCCGCTGACTCGCCCTTCCGCCATTTTCACTTACAACCGCAACAGCTTCGCGGCCTGACCGATAATAGTGTCCTCCTGGGGGAAGGCCATGTTCTCCAGACCAACGGCGTACGGAGTGGGCACCTCAGCACCAGTGACCCGGACGGCCGGGGCGGTCAGGTAGTCGAAGCCGTACTCCATGGACAGCGCCATAATCTCGGACGAAAGGCCGAACATAGGGAAGCCAGACTCGACGACCATCAGGCGACCGGTCTTCTTGAGCGAGGCAATGATGGTCTCGACATCCAGAGGCTTGACGGAGCGCAGGTTGATCACCTCCGCATCGACACCGTACTTTTGCTTGAGCTGAGAGGCGGCAGCCAGGGACTGTCCGACGCAGCGGGAGATGGAAACAATGGTCAGGTCCTTGCCGGGGCGCTCAATCTTGGCCTTGCCGATGGGCAGGACAAAGTCGCTCTTCTGGGCGGCCTCGCTCATCGGGAAAGCCTGGCCGTACATAAGCCTAGCGGGCGGAAATTAGTTCCCCGGTCCACCAGATCTCGGAAAGGGCCCGTTACTTACTCGTTCTCCAGGACCACGACCGGGTTGGGGTCCCGAATGGCAGCCTTCAGCAGACCCTTAGCATCCTCCGAGCTCCATGGGGAAACCACCTTCAGTCCCGGAATGCTGCCGTACCAGGCCGAATAATCCTGCGAGTGCTGGGCGGCCACACCGGCGGCAAACCCATTGGGGCCGCGGAAAGTGACGTTGCAGGGCTGGATACCACCGGACATGTAGTGGGTCTTCGCGGCCGAGTTGATAATCTGGTCAATGGCCTGCATGGCAAAGTTGAAGGTCATGAACTCGCACTAGGTGTGGTCCGCGGTTAGCGCAGGTTCTTCCGGGATATCCTGGGGTTCAATCCCGAACGAGAGCACTCACAATCGGGTGTAGACCAGACAGGGCAGCTCCGACAGCCAGACCACAGAAACCAGCCTCCGTGATGGGGGTATCAATCACCCGCTTGGGTCCGAAACGGTCCAGAAGTCCTCGCGTCACCTTGTACCTGTAGCAGAGCACAATGTCAGCGATCCAATCATTCCACCATTGGGATTGCCGCCAGATCGGCCATGAGATCATCAAACACATACGCTCCATTGTACTGTGCGACCTCCTCACCCAGAATGAAGGTCTTCTGGTTGCTCTCCAACTCCTCCGCCAGGGCCTCGTTCAGCGCATCACGGACGGTGACCTCCTTGACACCACTCTCGGTCGCATATCCCCGGGAGCGCAGAATCGAATGGACACAGGCGGATTGAGGCAGGGCCGGGCGGAGAGAGGAGGAAGCCAGGCGCGACGAAAGCAGGCGAGCTGCTGGGCGGAAAAGCCGGGGAGCAGCCATGGCAATGGATTGGTGGAAGACGAGAGCAGAGGCGTCGACCAAGGAACAAAAAAGAAGGAAAGAAAGAAGTGGCAAGGGGAAGTCGATAGTAGATAGAATAATAAATCGTTAGAGGAAATCTTTCTTCTGGCTGGCGACAATCCGTTGGGCCCGCTGACTCAGCCGCAGCTCACCGGCCGCTGCTTCCGTTTCGGGCCTGGAATTGGCACTTCCCATTCCCCTTGTCCTTCCTCTGCTCTCGTTCTGCTCCTTGCACCTCTTCCTACTCCTATGCGAGGAAGTAGGGACGTATCACTCCCTCTCTGGATGTCATTCTCATAGCCTGCCGCCCTGATGTTGCTGCTGCTGTGGCTGCCGCTCTTCCCGTCGGCGCTCGCCGCCCAGCCTTCGGCGCCCGACCCCATTCCCGCTCCCCTGCGCGGGCTCGAGTTCGGCCAACTCAACTTCCTCCACACCACCGATACCCATGGCTGGCTGGCCGGCCACTTGCAGGAGTATGCTCCCGAGGGTTGACCCCTAAGGCCCTGCTGATCCCCATCTCAGACCATCGTATGCGGCAGACTGGGGAGACTATGTATCATTCGCAACGCGCATCCGGGAAACGGTGGAGGCCCAGGGCCAAGACCTGCTGGTCATCGACACCGGCGATCGAGTAGAAGGGAATGGCCTGTACGATTCGTCCGAACCCAAAGGCGTCTACATCTCGGAGATACTCCGTCACCAGCACATCGACCTGTTGACATCGGGGAACCATGAACTGTACAAGCAGAACACCTCCGAGGCCGAGTTTTTCACCACCGTCCCTAACTTCCGGGGCAACTACATCGCGTCGAATATTGATATCTTCCATCCGGGGACGAAAGAGCTGGTTCCACTGGCCCCGCGGTACAAGAAGTTCACCACTAAACAGCAGGGCATCCGCATCACAGCGTTTGGCTTCCTCTTTGATTTTACCGGTAACAACAACCGGACCGTGGTACAGCCAGTCGAGGAGACCATCAAGGAGGATTGGTTCCAGGAGGCCATCCGGGACAAGGACGTGGACTTGTTCCTAGTGATCGGCCATGTGCCGGTCAAATCGCAGGAGTATCAGGCAGTCTTCAAGGCAATTCGGAGCCTTCGCTGGGATGCCCCGATCCAGTTTTTCGGTGGCCACCTCCATATCCGCGATTACGCTCGGTACGATGCCAAAGCGGTTGGTCTGGCAAGCGGTCGGTTCATGGAGACCATCGGTTTCCTGTCCATCGACGGGCTTGCCACCTCCAAGCCGGTGTTCAAGCGCCGGTATATTGATAACAATCTCTTCTCCCTCCGTCACCATAGCGGGCTCGATGAAGATGGGTTTCCTACCGAGCAAGGCCGAAACGTTTCCCGTCTCATAGCCGAATCGCGCAGCGCCCTTCATCTGGACAAGGTGCACGGCTGCGCTCCGCGGGATCTGTGGATGTCACGGGTCAAGTACCCGAGTAATGACAGTATTTATACCTGGTTGGAATCGCAGGTATTGGTGGATTCGCTGAGGGACGGATCTCGCGGTGAAACACCCGCGCTGGCCATTATCAACACGGGAGCCATCCGGTTCGACATTTTTAAAGGCCCATTTACGCAGGATACAACCTTTATCGTCTCTCCCTTTACAAGTGGATTCCGTTATGTGAAGGATGTCCCATATGACAAGGCACAGCTGATTATGGAGATTTTGAACAAACAACCCCAAATTTTGCGCACTGCTCACTTTTCGCCTCTCACCACCTTGGCACCTCCCGAGCAACTGACATATTCGAACGACATCGTGGCTGACCTGACTGTCGGTGCTTCGAATCCGCTGCAGGTCCCGCTGTCGGGCCAGGAACCGGAGCTCATCCCCGGGTACACAACGAAAGATGATGCAGGCACTGATGGCGATGATACTGTTCACTCGCCCATCTCCTTTTACCGGGTACCGAACTGCATCCAGGCCCTGGTGGCTGCCAATGCGTCGGCGGTTCCAGAGACGGTTGATTTGGTCTACATTGATTTTATCGAGCGACATGTGGCGCTGGCCGCCAAGTTCGCTGGTCTGGACGTTAATTTCACGCAGGAGAGCGAGGTGTACATGCCGTCCATGACCCTGACGGACCTCATCTTGAACTGGGTGAAGACGCATTGGAAATGTGAGTGAGCGTAATCTAGATAGAACATAGTCCATCCATATCGGGCCATCTTGAATGGTACAATACATCTGGACACGATATATACTTCCTTTTCTGACCAGGTAGAAAGCTGCTATGCAGTGGGAATCACAGAAATGTCGCATAGACAAGGTTATCTAGATATAATACAGCCGTGCCATCTCCCTTCAGTCACCGCCAGTGAAGGTGAGGACGCCCTTCCCACTGCGATAGCCACCCAGGGTCCCCTGGACTCTCTCTGCCAGCTCCGGTCCCTCGGTGTCCCACGACCACTTGACATCGTCGACGGGGATGTCCTGGAACCGGCCCGCCCGGGTTAGTTGCAGCACATCCTTGATCGTGTTCTCCTTGAGCTCGGGATGCTTGTCCCCCCACTTGCTGACCCAGAACCCGTCAAAGGCAAGATTCTTGAAGATCAGCAAGCCCGAGGGAAGGGCCACCGGCTGCTTGGACATGGCCCCGTATGTGACCATGTGGGAGTCGGGAGCCAGGGTCTTCGCCAGAGCCGTAGCACTCTTCCCGCCCACGCAGTTCAGCGCCAGACGAATAGGTTCCCGGCCCTGGCGAGTGAACTCGTGAACCATCGCCCGGAAATTGCCGGTGAGCATCTCCTCTTCCGTTACGACAGCAGTCGCGCCCAGATCCTTCAGCTCCTGCTTGAGCGCCTCTGTCTCTTCAGGCGTCTTCCTCCCGCGAACAACATTTAGGGTCTTGATACCCCATTCCCGACCCAGCTGGATGGCGGCGCGACCGACACCGCTATTGGCTCCGTTCTGGATGAGCCACTCTTCCCCAGCGCGCATCCAGTCCCATTCACAGAAGTCACGAATCATGCGGTACGCCGTGACGGGGTTGACGCTGACGGTGCCGATCTGCAAAGGCGTCAATCCCTCCTTGTTCTCGATCTTGATCAGCTGCGACTCCTCCAGCTGCGCGTGCGTCCGCCAGGTGCCTTGCCCCGTCCGCTTCATGATGACCCAGTCGCCCTTACTCAGGTTCTTGACCCCCGCACCGGCGGAAATAACCTCGAACGCGCCCTCGTTGCCACCCACAGCGGCGGGCTCAGGTGTGCCGAGCGTGGACTGAAATGGCGGTTTGCTGGGGTAGACACCTTGAATCTGGTTGACATCGGCCGGGTTCATGGGCGCCGTGAGGAGGCGGAGGTTGACTTGCGTGCCATGCGGAGCGGAGATCGAGTGCTTGTGTAGACTAATCGTAGACGGTCAGTCGTTTGGTGGTTTATCGGGTCGGGCAAGGCTTACGAGAGAACATCCTTGGGCTCGCCGTATTTCGAGTAGATGAGCGCCTTCGACTGGGTGTAGCCGTATGTCGAGATCGCTCTCCGGCCCTCGGCCAGGGAGGATCGGGATGTAATTAGCGGCGACCAGGTTGCAGCTCGAGCGACGCCTGGGTTGCGAGCGCCCTGTGTAACCGCTCGAAGAACACCGTGCGAGAGCATAATTGGAGATGGAGAAAGGGGGAGTGTGAGGAGGAATGGAGAGAAATAATGGGTACAGCCGAGATGACGTTACTGCGCTCGGTCCGAGATCTACCGGATTATGTAGTTTGCAGGATATAGTTAGTTAGTTACGACTAGAAAGGTCGTAGGTGAATTGTAAACATATAACCAGCTATAATACTCTCTAGGCATGTAGATAAATCGTCATCCGATGTCACCTATCAGTTCCCTTCGCAGCCCTCCTCCCTTTCCTCTCCCCCACCATCCCTTGTCCACCCTCCCACCATGGCCAAATCGAGCTCCGACATCTTCGTGAGCATCAAACCAGACCACATGAGCAACATCGCCTCCGGTGCCAAGAACCATGAATATCGGGGCTACCTTCTCCCATCGAGCGTGCGCCGCATCTGGTTCTATACCACGACTCCCGTCAAGCGCCTTGAATACATCGCTCGCATCTCTCCGGGGAAAATTCCTGGACAAGTCCCAGAAGATGGCGGTATCGGCAATGCTGACTTCAACGCGGGCCAGAAGCAATCCAAATACGGCTACGAGATTCTGCAGCTGTGGCGGTTGCGGCAGTCGATCAGCTTAGAGCAGGCCATCACGACAGGGGTTTTGAAAGGGGCCCCCCAAAAATATTGCTGGGTATCGTGCAGTCTTCTGCAGAGTTGCCCAGTGGATCAGCAGGAGCTCCTGATTTCCAAATTATCTGAGGAGCAACCTCCTGGCACTCTTACGGCTATCTAGATTTATACCCGGGTATATCCCTGGGTACACCTACTTGAAATATCTCTACAGGGGTTATCCACTCCAGCCCCTATTGCGAATCATATCTCCAGACTATAATACTGATATTATATATTATAGTTCCATAGTATATTGTGTATTCTCATGCCTCGCTCCCTACTGGTGGTTATGGTGTACAGGGAAGCACGGGCCACCGCGGGAAATCCACCTCGGGCTGGTTCTCCGACTCACTTGAACCTACTCCTACACCCACTCTAAATGTCCCTTCGCCGCGAAGCAGAGAGATGTGTCGCTAATCAACATGCCCTTGGCCTCAATGCCTTTGTCACTCCATTGCCGCGCGCAGGCCAATGGCTGGATCGCGTGAAGGAGGCTGATCTGCGCAGGGAGCAAGGTACTGGCGAGACCACTACTTTCCCCGGCGCAGTCATAGCTAACGAAGACACGGTGAACCAGGAACCCCCCGGTCTTTCCTCGACGGCCGTCTCGTCTCTATCAAAGACAATATCTGCACGCGCGACCTCCCCACCACGTGCGCGTCGGGGATCCTGGACAAGTTCTCCAGCCCGTTCAATGCCACTGTCGTCGAGCAGCTCGAGGCCGCCGGGGCCGTCATCGCAGGGAAAACGAATCTAGATGAGTTTGGCATGGGATCACACTCGGTACATTCACGGTTTGGTCCAGTGAAGAATGTGCGACAAGACGGGGATGGGCAGGATGTCTCCGCCGGTGGTAGTTCCGGAGGAAGTGCAGTTGCTGTCGCTGCCGACCAATGCTATGCGTGAGTGATGCGCGATCGCTCTTCTTCACATTGGCTAATTGAGTGAATGGTCTACAGCGCGCTGGGAACAGATACGGGAGGCTCCGTCCGCTTGCCTGCCGCATACACAGGGACTGTTGGGTTCAAGCCATCCTACGGATTAATATCACGATGGGGAGTGGTTGCATATGCCAATTCTTTGGACACGGTTGGAGTCTTGGGGAGAAATGTATCTACCGCCCGGCATGTCTTCGGTATGTTCCTGGTCGTTTCGATGTCGCAGGACCTCCCAAATTAATCAATTACTAGGCATCGTGAACCAACACGATGCGCGCGATCCCACGAGCCTCTCACCCTTCTCTCGGTCACGGATCATGTCGCACCTCCAGACACCCCGACTGGCCTCCCGATTGACATCCGCTCCTCTTCGAATCGGGGTGCCGGTGGAATATAACATTTCCGAGCTGACCCCTTCCGTTCGCCGTGCCTGGCTTCTCTCGCTGGCACACCTGCAAGACCAAGGTCACACCATTCATCCGGTCTCGTTACCAGCAACGAAACATGCCTTATCGGCATATTATGTCCTCGCACCCGCCGAGGCATCTTCGAACTTGTCAAAATATGACGGTGTGCGCTACGGGACTCGCGCCGACGGCCCAGACAGCGATGGCCAGCCAGATGGTTACCTTTACGCCAACACGAGAGGCAGCGGGTTCGGACCAGAGGTGAAGAGACGCATCCTCCTGGGCACTTTCAGCTTGAGCGCAGATGCAATCGATAACTACTTCATCCAAGCACAACGGGTGCGTCGACTGGTCCAGCAGGACTTTAATGCTGTGTTTACAGCCAAGCATCCGTTGGCCGCGGCCGATGCGCAGGACACAGGGCGCCGTGCTGAACAGGCAGATGTGGATGTGCTCGTGTGTCCGACGGCCCCCACTGCGCCGCCACGGTTATCGGATCTCACGAGACCGGCCACCGAGTCGTCGCCTTTGGACGCTTATGTCAACGACGTGTTCACAGTCCCAGCTAGCTTGGCTGGTCTGCCCGCCATTTCTGTGCCGGTCACGATGAATGGCTCCCGTCTGGATCCGGATGTGGCGGGGATCCAGGTAGTAGGCCAGTACGGAGACGATGACCTGGTGATGAGCGTGGGCGAACTGCTGGAGGGCCGGAGACTGGAATGATTGGAAACTTGTATAGCACCCACCGTCTTTCCATATCTGTAATGTATGACTACGATGAGAGAGACCAGATTATGGTATTCGAAGCCTTGCAATTGGTATATTCCTTCCGAACTCCTTGTTCATACCCTAAGACATTTCCACGTCCCCGTCAGCCTCCGTTGCTGCAGGAGCCTCTGCAACGACAGAAGGATCCACGGCGTGGTTGGGAGTGCCCACGCTCATCGCATCCTCCAGCGGCAGATTCCCGGCAGCGTCGCCGGTGGCCGTTGGCGTCTGATGATTGCTGTTGGCTGCCGAGTCAGAAACCCCAGCAGGCGTGGGAGCAGACACAGCCGAGTCGAGCGCAGCGCCGACACCACCCTGCAAAACCTCGGATCCACCGACCACACCAGACCCAGGACCGTCCGGGCCCTCGGTGCTGTTGTTCCCAATCACGTCGCCGTCGACACCACCCCAGGTGAACATGGCCTCCACTTCATCCACAATATCGGCCAGCACATCCTCAACAATCTGCTCATTGTATCGCTCACCCATGGCTCGGATAGGCTCTCCAGTCTCGGTGCGCTCAGGGGGCCCAATCCACCACGGGCCTTCAAAGCGGCATTCCGCCGCACCGCCGCCATAACAGCTCACAGCGGGATAGTAGCCAATCATACCGTCATCGGCATTCTCCCGCTCGCCAATCCCAAGATTATTCGTGCCATTGGCGAGACGACTCGCTGGAGGCAGGAACGCATAAAGTTCCTTGAACGGCGTGCCCATCTTGACGCCATTTTTGTAGATGGTGATACTAGAGCCGGGAAGGGTCCGAGGGGAGGCATCTTCACTGTTCAGCGGAGAAGGCGGACCGAAAGTTGGAGTTTCCTTGAGATTGAACGCATAGTCACGGAGGTGTTTCGTTGCAAAGACATTGGACTGTTGCCAGCAAAAGTCGGTTTTCCAGTGGAAGGGGATACGATCTCGAATGAGATTAAACGGAACGGGAGACCTTGTTGAAGAGCTGGAGCTGCCGTCTCCATCCACGGCGGGATCGAAGGTGCCCTCAACGATTTTTTTGTGTAGAGACAGCGGCGGGAGAGTGATAAGCATACCAATGACATCGCCCTCGTTAATAGCTTCACCTTTGGGGAAAAAATACTCGCACCGCATCCGATTCACCACTTCCCCGTTCACATCCCGAATCCCATATCCGTAGCAGTCCACTCCGACGTTGACGTCGAGATCGGCTTCGCGCCGGGCGAATCCAAACCGAACATGGCCTCGCGGCGCAGTACCAGGACCGCCGTTGTGGGCTGCTGATCCAGAGTCTTTGACCATGCCACTAATGATTCGCGCCTCGTAGTAGAAAGTACCTTCGCGCGCGCAAACATTGGCTCGAGCTGTGTGCCATGAATCGTTTGTCGCCACCGCCGTGGCGTCTTGCGAGAATGAGATCGCGGCCGGGGAATCCTCGAAGCTGAATCTCGCATGGTATGGCCGGACATCTGTCTGGCGGTACTTGATATGCGGGAATCCAGGATCCGCGATGGCGTAGGTATATCGGAACCCATTCTTGTTTGTGAGTTTATCCACCACTTCATAGAAGTCCCAATTTTGGTCCAGCACCTCTGATCTCTTGCTGGTGACAAGGTTGAATTGGCGAGGTGGAGGAGGAAAGCGATCGGACTGGCGAGGTTCGGCGAGTAGGAGTGGGCGGAGAATGCTGAGATCGGAGCTGGGGAGAGCAGTGCTGGGAGCGGCGGTCGCCCGCTTTTTGGGCGGCGGCGCGTCCGGGTCTAAGCCTTTCGCTTCACGCTTCTTGCGACTGTCCCGTTTGTTACGTTTGGCGCGAGCCGTGTCGCCTTGGACCGATCCAGTGCTGGCTGGGGCTGGCGAGGATCTGGCGTTGAGATCGGAGAGAGGACCGGGGAGTGCCGGCGCATTCCCCGGTGCTAAGGTCGGAGAATTTATATTTGACGAGGGTGCAGAAGACCCAGGAGCTGTGCCGGACGCCATGGCATGAATTTGGCAGGGGACGGAGTATGTGGTGTAATAGGCGTTCCCAGCTCTGGTCAAGGAACTGAGAAAGATAGGCGGTCAAGGGATAAAACCCGCAGATCAGAAGGCGGTAGACTGATTAGAAGTCACCGCCCGGCAGAAAAAAAAGAAAAAAGAGAAACGGAGATCACCTGACCCAGAAAATTATCCGCACTTTTTCTTGCGGTCAAACAGCAACCGAGCTCCTTCGGTTGGCCTGGCATTTCCTGCAGTAGCCAGAGATCAGATTCGATATGCCCAAGACCCCAACCTCTCGTGCTGCTGCGGCAGCACGCAGACACAACCCTCTGGCTGAAGATATTGTTTCCGCGGGGCATCTGCGGACGCAGAGCAGCAAGAAAGGCAAACGCAGAGAAAACGACGAGGATGATGGCGAAAATGGCGAACGCTACATCGATGCGAAGATGTCACGGAAGATCTTGCAAATTGGCCAGGATTTGGCGGACGAGGACGCTGCCGAGCAGAAAGCCATGGGCTCGATCGAGCCGAAGGTCAACACCGCATTCGACTTTGACTCCCGGTTTGACGATGAGGAACCCATGTCCGACAACGAAGACAAATTTGGCGATGAAGAATGGATTGATGAGGAGGTTGAGGACGTGGTAAGGGTTTCTTGTTGGTCACCGGCGTTGGTTGCAGTTCTAATCGGACATACAGGAAGTTGATCCCAACGATCTCGACATGTTCAACAAATTTATGCCTGGCCACGAGGAGGACCCCATTTTTCACCCGCAAGAGCCTGGCGCCGGTGGCCAGACCACCAACCTGGCCGATTTGATTCTGGAGAAGATCGCCGAACATGAAGCAAAGCAGTCCGGCCAAGGCGGGCCGTTTATTCAAGGTGGTGGACTGCCCGAGGACGCGGTTCAAATTCCTGCCAAGGCTGTGGAAGTATACGAGAAGTGAGCCATTCTTGCGGTCTAACCTCCTCCGAAGCTAACGATGACCTCTGCTAGGGTCGGCATGATTCTCTCTCGCTACAAATCCGGCCCGCTCCCCAAACCGTTCAAGATCCTCCCCACCGTCCCGAACTGGCCGACCCTCCTGGACATCACTCGGCCCGAGTCTTGGACCCCCAATGCCGTCTATGCCGCAACCCGGATCTTCATCTCGTCCAAGCCCGCGGTGGCCCAAGAGTTTATTTCGACGGTGCTGTTGGACCGCGTGCGGGACGAGATCCACGAGACCAAGAAGTTGAACGTACATACCTACAACTCGTTGCGCAAGGCTCTCTACAAACCGGCGTGCTTCTTCAAAGGACTGCTCTTCCCACTGGTGTCCAGCGGGACCTGCACCCTGCGCGACGCCCACATTGTCTCTTCGGTCATCGCCCGGGTCTCCATCCCCGTGCTGCACTCCGCTGCGGCGCTGCTGCGCATGTGTGATCTGGCCGCCGAGCAGTCGCTGCGATCCCTGGAAAGCACCGGCGCCGTCAACGTCTTCATCCGGGTCTTCCTGGAGAAGAAGTATGCGCTGCCGTACAAGGTGATCGACGCCTTGGTGTTTCATTTCTTGCGCTTCCGCGCGGCGGACGAGGATACGATGACGGACGGACCGACGGGGCTGAACTCCAAGGCATATAAGCTGCCGGTGCTGTGGCACCAGTCGCTGTTGGTTTTCGCCCAACGCTACCGCAATGATATCACGGAGGATCAGCGCGAGGCCCTTTTGGACCTGCTTCTGGTGCGCGGGCACAAGGACATCGGGCCGGAGGTGCGGCGGGAGCTGTTGGCTGGTCGGGGGCGAGGCGTAGTGGTGCCGGACCCGGAGAAGCAGAATGCACTGGATGCCGGGGATGATACGATGGATGTGACCCTGTAACGGGTGGAATCCGATTCATGATTCTTTTTCTCTTTGTTTGGGGGAATTGGCGTTTTCCGTTTCGGTCTGCATTATTGGTTGTATATACTCCTTATTCCCTCCCCTTCGACACCAATCCCAAAAGCATGACGACGAGGATGAGCCCCTTGGCCCCTTTCTCTGCCCCTCTATTATCCCTCATCCATCCTCGTCAGGAGTGACCCCTTTTCCGTGAGGAGTTAGTCGTCGTCCATTGTCGTGTCGGATTGCCCCTCGGTGGATCCGCACGTTCCCTCGCCTTCTGGTGGCTTCGGTCGTATTCTTAGTGAGTATTCTTAGCAGAAGATATTCCGCCAATCTGGACTCAGGAGGGGCCACGGGCAATTGGCGGGGCGCCCTTTCGGAGCCCGTTGCGGCGTGGACTGAACGAATCCCGGCCCACTGCTGGGTTCCAGACAGAGTGAGACCCTCCCCTTGATGCTCGCGACCATTCCCCTGGCAATTCCCCTGGCCAGAAAGAAAACAAAGAAGGGGTGCAGTGCGTGTCACGATCATACCGGGGCTGAAAAGCATCCCTCTGAGAATAGTAATCCTGCTGGCCCCCAAGACCCCCAACCCCAAGGCCCAAGGCCCAAGATCCAAGACCCCAAAACGCTGGGGCGAAGCAACGACGACGAGGGCTGTGTTTCAGCCCCCGACCCGGCATGTACCACCAATAATGGAATGTGGTAATTTACGCGTCACGGCTGGCCTGGGACTATGGGTACGGTGGGTCACACCGGTACCAGTGAAAGGCCCCTTGCGAACACGCTGGCCTCTATTTAACCCGGGTCCCCGTCGCCCCATCCAGACAGTTGTCCCTTTCTCAGCAATTCACCCCCCCAGGCTGACTCATTCGTCCCGGCTGATGGTGTATCTCTGATGCCACCGTGGCCTTTGTTGCCGTGACTCGAGTAGACGTGCTGGACTGAATCTCTTCTTTCATCCCACCACTACACTACCCTCCATCCAGCCATCCACTCCCACTGGTCATGATGGAAACCCTCACACCCGACCTCGACTCCCTGCCATCCACCCCGGCTCCCGAGATGCCCTTGACGGTGTCCCCCGCAGATACCTCGCTCAGCTCGCCGGAGCCCAAGGTGGAGCCGCTGGAGGACGAGGACGACGAGGAGGCGAAGAAGCCGACGAAGAAGAGAAAGTCCTGGGGCCAGGAGCTCCCAGTCCCCAAAACCAACTTGCCCCCAAGGTACGATGGCATCCCGAGATGAGGATTCGACGGCAGACACTAACGAGACCAGAAAACGGGCCAAGACAGAAGATGAGAAGGAGCAACGCCGGATCGAGCGGGTGCTACGGAACCGCGCCGCCGCGCAGACCTCCCGGGAGCGCAAGAGGCTCGAGATGGAGAAGCTCGAGACCGAGAAGATCCAGATGGAGCAACAGAACCAGTTCCTGCTCCAGCGGCTCTCGCAGATGGAGGCCGAGAACAACCGCCTGAGCCAACAGGTGGCTCAGCTCTCCGCCGAGGTCCGCGGGTCTCGCAGCGCCACTCCCACCAAGGCCAACTCCCCCGGGGCGGACTCGCCCACCCTCACGCCGACCCTGTTCAAGCAGGAAGGCGACGACCTCCCCATGGAGCGCATCCCGTTCCCCACGCCCTCCACCACCGACTACTCCCCGACCCTCAAGCCCTCCACTCTGGCTGAGGCCTCTGACGTGACACAACATCCTGCTGCGGTGTTGTGCGACCTGCCGTGTCCGTCGCTGGCCTCGAAGGAGCTGGAAGTGCGCTTCCCCTCTTTGACCTCGAGGGTCCCGCTGCAAATGACGTTGCAGCTCCTCTTTCTGACGATGACTTCCGCCGCCTGTTCAACGGTGATTCACCCGCTGACCCACATTCTTCATTCCCTGAAGACGGGCTCGCCTTTGATGTTCTCGACGGAGGAGATCTATCAGCATTTCCCTTTGATTCTATGGTTGATTTCGACCCCGAGTCTGTCGCCCTCGAAGGCGTCGAGCCGGCCGGTCTTTCGGATGAAACTACTCACCAGACTGCTCGCATGCAGCCCAGCCTTGGCGCGTCCACTTCGCGATGCGACGGGCAGAGCATTGCAGCGAGCGGTTAGTGAGTCGTTTTCTCTGCAGGGCTGGTCGACCGACGCCCCCGAGGGTCGGCCAACCTGGGTGTCGTTGTTGACCATGATGTGGGCGATCGATAGTCTCGACCGGTCGCGACAGAGGCAGACAACTACCATCACAAGAAGAAAAACATCGGGCCGGCGACGCAGTTACGGAAAGATGACCCGGAGTACACGGAGTTCCTGGCGTTCCCGTTCGAGCGAGACGTCGACGTCTTGGCTCATGGGAAAGCCATTGTGAGGCTTTTATTTGGCTGTATTATTAGTGTCGAGATTAGCATCCAAGATTGATTGGCTTTTTCTCCTTAGTTGATCTCTCCATAGTAGTATTCTGATTGTAGTGGGGAAATACCCAGAGCCACCCAGTCTGGAACCCAGACCGAATGCGGTCTGTGACCGTTGCCACCACTCATCTTCTTTCGTCCTTCTCCACCTCCCCGACGGTGCAACCCGAACATCAACATACAACAATCCACCACGACTGCGGTGTCGGTATCGTTCCCCCCCGCTGTCTGTATCATCATGGTCCGCAAAGATCCCATCTTCGAAGCCCGCACAAATGTCAAGGTGTGTCTTGTTGCCTATGTGCCCCTCTTCCCCCCGCCACCATCCTGTCCTGCCTTGGCTGACTCCAGCTTCCTCAGTTACACTCCAATCGGCTGAAGAAGGAGGCCGTCCGCGCGGAGGCGACCTTCAAAGCGGAAAAAGCCAAGGCCGACAAGGCCATGAAGAACCGCGAGTTCCAGATCGCCCGCATCCATGCCGCCTCCGCCGTGCGGGAAAAGCGACGCCAGGTCACCCTCAAATCCGAAGCCGCCCGTGCCGACGTGATCATTAACGAACTCAAAGCCGCCCAGAGCACGCGGGACACATCGCGGACGCTCGCTCTGGCCTCGCGGGGCCTCGACGCGGCCTCCAAGAGTGTTAACTTGGAACACCTGGTGGCGCACGCCAACAACTTCCTGGCACGATCAGAAGACTTCAAGATCGCCAGCAGCGCGATCGAGGATGTGGCTCAGGGGGTGTCGATGCAGGAGTACGGGGCAGAGGGCGAAACTGAGGTGGACCGGCTCATGGAGCAGTTGGCGGACGATGCAGGCTTGGATATGCGCATGGTTCTGGAGGAGGATAATGTCCCCAAAGAGCAGCCAGCCAAGGAACCGGAGGCGAAGAACGCCGAGGTGGAAGATGGACTGGATGTGAGACTGCGTGCATTACGGGCCGGCGACTGAATCTACGTCTCCCGCCTTTACGACCTTACGCTTTCGTCCTTTTTTTTGGTTTGGGTCTCTATCTACTGTGTTTCGTCTGTGTGAGGGCGTACTATTATCATTATCTGTATATGGTGGCTGAGCGCAGGAGCAACAAAACTAGTAACGCGATGTGCCCGTCCGTCGGCACTTTTGCCTCCAAACACACGCTCTAGGCCAGCACCGGCTAGCGGGCTTGGCTGGACCCCCGGTGATGAGTCGCTCCCAATCACGACGGGCCCTGCGTTCAAATCTTTCATTTCATCCCCTTGGCAGACCCTGATAGTTATTTATAAGACTAGCAGCTAAGGCTACGGCCGCTGCCCGTTTTCTTTTTTTCCCCTCCCAGAGAACATCCTAGGGTTGCACCATGGCGCCCTCACGCTCGTTTTTGTTTTGCTTCTTGTCGCTCGTTTGGACTCCGCTCGTTCTTGCTGCGCCATGGATTGTGACCGAGGAGTTTGAAAAGGTGGTCGTCACCAATCACCCCTACTACTGGATGTCCACCGACGTCGAGGTGATCACCTCCATCGAATCCATCAGCCCCACGGCGACGATCATGCCCGATGTTCTCTCGACGATCACTTCGACGGGTAGTGGGTACTATGCCTCGGACGTCACCGTGGTCGAGGAGTTGTATGCCACCGGCGCCGGTGTACCAGTGGATGATATTCAGCGCACAGCGGAAAATCTCTACCGTACCACCGTTTACTATGTCAACCTGGTCTACTCTGCTCCTACGGGCTGTTCGACGCAGTTCACCACGACCACTTCTGCCGTGGTGACTCCTCCGGCTCTGGTGGGCAGTGCACTGCCCAGAACCTCCGTGTCGACCTCGACCTCGGTGGACAACGCCCAACCATTCCGGCCGACGACATGGACCATCGACGAGGTGTGGGTGGCTCCTACGCAGGTTCCCACCCGCACCCTGGCTTCATTGAGTGCCGAATACGCGCCCACTAGCCTCTACTACGGCTCGGGCTGCCAATATACCCCGCCGAACGACTACCCATATTACTATTCCGGCTATTATGGAGGCTACGACGAAGAAAGTTGGTTCTTCGAAACCTGGCCGATGGGCATCTCCTGGTTCGCGATCGTGATGATCTGCGTCCTGGGCTGGTTCGGACTGATCCTCATTATTGGGTTCATCGAGGCCTGGGTCCGCTTCCGACGCATGATGACGGGCTGGCAGACCCGTCGGGGTCTGCCCGTGATGTGGGCCTTTCTAATCTTCCCCATCACACTCCTGCTGCTCATTTTCCGACGGAGGGGGTTCCGGGCTCGCACGCAGTCGGAGTCCGCGGAGCTCAAGAAAAAATGGGATGCTATGAGTGTATGGACGAAATTGCGTTTGTTCTTCGTGTGGGGATTCCGATACAAGTATCCGCCGGTGCTGGGCGGTCCTCCTGCTCGTGTCAGCAAAAAGGCCGTCAAAACTTCTGGCCCGCCGTTGCTGCAGGAGACACCGGCGGTATCGCGGACGGGATCGGCTGATGGTCCGTCTGACAGTACACTCCCTGAGATGGGCGAGGTGTCGCGTACCCAGTCCGCGAGGTTCGAGGCGTCCGGAGCTCGATCCGACGAGGAAATTGGGCGTGCCCAGTGATCGATGCCGTGATCGTCGATGGGAAGCATGGTGCTGGAGATCCGAGGAAAATGACGCAGACTACGAAATGTACTTAATATTAATCAATAATAGAAGCAAATATCACTAACTTCGAGTCAACCTCTAAATCCTATTAAAAAAAAAAAAAAAGGTCGAGTATTTACTGAATGGCTTTGGTATTACATATTGTGTTTCATCCCATCATTGATTTCCCATTTACCAACTCAATGCCCACTCTCAATCCCCCTGTCTCTGACCTTACAAAAGAAGGACAGAAACTGACCAGAGCTACTTTTCCAACCCAGCATCGAGAAATCTTGCCTCTGCGTTCCAAAAAAATTATCCAATAAAAAAAGTTCTCAAGATGTTCTTAGGAATAGCCGAACGCGGGGGTCGAACCCGCAGCCTTGAGATTAAGAGTCTCACGCTCTACCGATTGAGCTAGCCCGGCAGGGCTTAGCTGAAAATCGAGGACCGTGGTTTGAATAACAGAAATGATCGAGGGAGCTTGCTAGAGGAATTATTGGGCAAGGTGTGATGTGATGGAATCCGGGCATACTCCTTACCCACTAAGCCCAAGGCCGGGCTGAGCAGGAAACAACCGAGAGTACGCAAACAAAATCTTTTGTCGGGCCTGACTAGTGATTACTATTCCCGTACTTCGCTCGCTAGTGCAGCCCCCGTTTCAACTTCGCCTCGGCCGGATGGAGACCGCGGAGACACAGCCCATCCTATAATGGAGGCCGATGTAACACGGCCACCACCATCGCAGCAGGGCAAGCAAGCGGCATGTCTGAACTGCCGCCGGAGCAAAATCCGCTGCAACCGCCTGCCCGGCGAGGCGCGCTGCGAGAAATGCAGACACGCCAATGTCGACTGTATTGTCCCCACTCACCACCTGGGGCGGCAGAAGGGAGTCAAGAAGTATGATTCTCGTGTATTTGGCGAAGACATGAATTCTGATGGTTTTACAGTAAACGAAAAGGGCTGGAGAAGGCCATCCACCAAATCGAGCAGGCTATCAAGCGGCCGCGGATTGATTCTGGGGATGGCCCCGGGACCGATGACGCCCAAAGGGCGATTTCGGGGTTGCAGGAGCTCCTAGACAAAGTCCAGGGCCACTTAGTACAGAACACGACCAACGGATTTCCCGATAGTCCTCATCATCTGCGCAATCTGCCCTCGCCGCAGCGAGACACCCATGCAGATGAGAGTCTTGCTCTCGATGATGCCGAGAACCCCCTGCAGCTTCTTGCTCGGGCCTCTGATCTGCAGCTCTCTCCATCAGAGACGCGCCATGTAGCCAACAAATCACCATTGCCCTCTGTGGCGCTGCCGACGCTGCCGCCGGAGACCACCGGCGTGCTCGCGGAATCGAGCGCACAGTCATTTTTTGTTCAAACGAGAGCGAACCTGGATATAGGTCCGGAGCTGGATCCTGTGGATTTGGGACTCGTCACATTTGATGAAGCAGAATCCTTGTTCGCATTGTAAGTATATCCCCCGGTGCTTGGAATGATGACACTGATTCTTGCGCAGTTTCTATCAAAGTCTGGCACATACGCGATGGGGCCTGGATCCTTCGATACACAGCGCCTCTTTTGTGCGCTCTCAGTCTGCATTCCTCTTTACTTCCATTCTAGCCGCATCAGCCCTGTTTTTGCCATCAGCAGCTGCGTTGTCCACGAGATTGTCAAGACATTGCAAATGGCTCGCGGAGCGGGTGATCACGCGCCGACATCGATCAGTCGAGATCGTCCTGGCTTTTATGGTGCATGTTCCATGGATGGCTCCAGGCGATAGCCTGGGGGATGATGATACTTGTTCATACCTTGCCATGGCACTCACGGTGGCTTTGGATCTGTCCTTGAACAAAATCGTCGTGCCGTCCTCCAGCTTTGATCAAGGATTGCTGAGCCGGCTCGCAAAGGCGGACTGTATCGATGCTAAACGGGCATTGCACATGGATGGATTTGATAATATCGATCCGGCCTCGAAATGGGGGAGGCGATTGCTTCGACGACGAGAACGGACTTGGATTGCTTTATTTGTCGTGGAAAGGGGGCAAGTCTTTTTCCCAATCAGCGAACTAGCTTTTCTCTAACACAGATTTAGTGTTTGTCTCGCTCGTGGAAGAAGCTACACGGTGCCTCCAACGGCACTAATTGAGCATTGCGATCACTGGCATGATTCCGACATTGCAGATTTACGCGATGGACCCATGAATTCCATGGCTCTTCTAAGAAGAGACTTGGATGATCTTTTCAGAAAAGTCAAGTCGAGCTGTGATAGTTATCGTGTTGTTGACACCGGGGCCGAGGCGGCTCAAACGTATGCCCTACGTTCTGATATTCAGATGGTTGCTGATTATGTTATAGAATCAAGAAAACCATTGAGAGCTTCTATGAGCGGTGGTATGCGAGATGGGCATTGGCCATCGGTGAAGGGGAATGTGAGTATGATGCTCCCTTGAAAAGACAAGGTGCTCATCAACGAACAGCTCGGTCACTCCCACCATACGTTGAGATCTTGGTTACCCATACACAGCTCTCCACATACGGCGGTGTTATTAACCACCCCACGGCTCCCATTGAAGTGAAGCGCTTTTTTCGGGCTGCCGGGCTTTCTTCCGCGTTGAATGTTCTTCGAGCCGCTATACAGGGCGAATCCCGACTCAAGTCTATGCCCAACAATACTGTCATCATGATCTCCTTCGCTGCATGCTCTGCACTCAGTCTAAGCGTCACCCCTGGCGACAGCAGATCCAGCTTAGCACCTAGCGTTCGAACTCTCATTGAAGAAACAGCCGGTGTCCTAGAGCGGATTGGAGCCACACCAAGCCATCGAAACGGGGCTTCTGTGCTCTATGGAAGGTTCCTGAGAGAATTGATTCGACGCGCACCCGCAATCAACTCCAGTGCTCATCCTCGACTCGAGCAACCCGAAACTGTTCTCCAGCCCGCTTGCTTGGATAATAACCAAGATCCTACATTGCCCGTCACCCAGCCCTCATCATTACCCCCCGAAGATCTCTGGTCAGAGCCCTTGCAATTTTCTGCTATGTCTGATGGTCAGATCATTGATGCGGTCAATCGAGCTGGTACTGCGTTTGGAGCATCTATTCCCGATGTATCTATGGACAATATGCTTAGCTGGGATTGGCTTGACTTTGCCAGCACGGATTTTGGTCTTTGAGAGTGTGCTAGCTAGCTTACCTCGAATATACTGTGTATTATAGGGCTAGGAGATTTATTATGCCTTGGTAATATGATGTCAAGTAAATCTTGATGCCGAAATCTGCGGGTCCCACATTCGGCATCCAGATCTGGCCCCGTCGTCCGCGCATGGCAACATTAAATCGCGGAATTTCTCTTTTTTGCTTCAATAATCTTTTGGGCTCCAGTTGTAAATATGGCAACCCTGCGTATCTCAACTACATCTCTGTCGCAAAGAGCGATCGCCACCTGCCGACCTCGACTGTATCTCGGCGTTCGGTGCCGAAGCGGGCAATCCTTTGCGCCGATAGCAAAGGCGAGCTATGGCGGCCGCAAATACTCGACAGCAACACCAGCGCTGTCGCTAGCGCCAAAAGTCGAACGCGGTGGCTCCAAACTGTTCAAGGATGCTGACGCCGCCGTCGCCGACATCAAAAGCGGATCCACGATCCTCAGCTCGGGGTTCGGGCTGTGCGGGGTGGCAGGTATGGTCATTGGAAAGAAATGCACGAGAGAAAACTGACCGGAATCAGAAACCCTGATCAATGCGATGCATCGCCGAGGTGCCGATCAATTGCACTCGCTGACCGCGGTCTCGAATAATGCCGGTGCTGCAGGCAAGGGCGGCCTCTCGACGCTTTCACAGAATGGCCAGCTGAACCGGCTGATCCTTTCGTATTTGGGGAACAACAAGGCATTGGAGAAGAAGTATCTATCGGGAAATATTGCCATTGAGCTCTGTCCCCAAGGCACCTTGGCTGAGCGTTTGCGGGCTGGAGGCGCGGGTATCCCGGCATTCTTCACACCGACTGGTGTCCGTCAGTGGCCGTGTCATCTCCCAAACAAAGTTCTCATACTGATTCATATAACAGGCACATTTATCCAAGAAGGCAAAATCCCTGTCCGCATGGATGAGTCGGGCAAGGTGCTGGAAAACGGCAAGCCACGCGAGACACGAGAGTTCAATGGCAAGACATACTTGATGGAGACCGCGTTGACGGGCGATGTGGCGATTATTCGGGCGTGGAAGGCGGATGAGGCTGGGAACTGCGTGTTCCGGTATTGTATTTGAGTTGTAAATGGGTTGAAAATCACTGACTCATCTACTTGGTTAGGTATACAACGAAGGCCTTCGGTCCCATCATGGCCAAGGCAGCGACCCTGACTATTGTTGAAGCCGAAAACATTGTACCCATTGGTTCCATTGACCCGAATGATGTGGATCTTCCCGGTATCTTCGTGGACCGTATTGTGCCGGCAACTGACGAGAAGCATGTTGAGATCAAGAAGCTGCGCTCTAATGAACACAGCGCGACTGAATCCACTCAGGACGCAGCCTTGATTGAGAGAAACCGGATCGCGCGACGGGCGGCCAAGGAGCTCAAGAAGGGGTACTATGTCAACCTGGGTGTCGGCATACCCACTCTGGCACCGTCGTACTTGCCCAAGGATGTCAAGGTCTGGATTCAGTCGGAGAATGGTATCCTGGGAATGGTAAGCCGATGGCTATCGTTTCGAGTACAGACACTAACTCGATGAAGGGTGCATATCCCACGGAAGAAGAATTAGATCCGTAAGTATTCCAGTCTGACTATTGGCTTCAAGTTTCTAACATGAGAGGCAGGGACATCATCAACGCTGGAAAAGAAACCGTCACACTTGTTCCCGGTGCCGCCACATTTGACAGCACCGAATCATTCGGTATGATCCGTGGTGGCCATGTGGACGTGTCTATTCTCGGTGTACGTCAATTGCCCCAAACGTGAAGCTCATGAATTGACTGACGCTTCGTAGGCCCTGCAAGTCAGCGCCAACGGTGACCTGGCCAACTACATGATCCCCGGCAAGGTGTTCAAGGGAATGGGCGGAGCCATGGACCTGATATCAAACCCGGAAAAGACCAAGATTGTCGTGGCCACCAGCCATGTGGCCAAGGATGGCTCCCCCAAGATTGTCCAGGAGTGTAGCCTGCCATTGACGGGTGCCAATGTGGTCAGCACTATCATTACTGACTTGGTAAGTAAGAATTTCCGAATTGACAGAGGAGTCACTGATGATGATCGCAGTGTGTCTTCCAGGTCAACCGGGCCACTGGAGAGCTCACTCTGACCGAACTGGCACCGGGTGTGGAGGTCGAGGAGGTGCAGCAGAAGACCGGGGCCAAGTTTAGCATTGCTGAGAACCTGGAGATCATGGAATAAATGTACATCGCGTTAAGATACCTCTCCTCGTATAGAATCAGATTGCATTCCGAATATTTCCCTAGAAGTCATATAGTTTCTTACTTTCGCTTCGCCTCTTGGCACGGGTACCAAATCTGGCTCCGACAATTCCCAACACAAAAACCCGGGGTTTTGCGGGGAAACACCGATCGTCACGAACAGGGGCAAGCTGCACGGGCTCTAGAAGTGACCGCCGATACCTAGGGGGTTTTGGCACTCCCTCCACTCCTCCACTCCTGCTGCTGGTCACTCTGCATTATTCCTCCCTTGCAGATTATAACCCTGAGGACCCCTGTCTCAACATCAGTTCAGAACAATGGATTCCAAAGTCAGAGCGGAGGAGCTCGAGGAAGCCAAGCAGGCGCCCGTGCCGCTGGAGCGATTCGGTGATGTCGCGCACCAGGAAAAATTGACGCGACGGCTTCTGATGAAGCTTGACTTCAGAATTCTTCCGATACTATCTCTCCTTTTTCTGTGCTCGTTTCTCGATCGCACAAATGTGGGAAACGCCAAGATCATCGGGCTGGAGGAAGATATCGATATCTCGGACCACAAATATGATATTGGGTTGACGGTGTACTACCTGTTCTATATTTGCAGGTGACTTTTGCCCTTTTTTCTTTCTTTTCGCCCTCTCCGACTTGCACCAACAATTGACACACAACCTAGTGAGGTACCGAGCAATCTTGTGCTCAAGAAGGCTTCGCCTAGAATCTGGCTTCCGTTCCTGACAGTCGCGTGGGGTATCGTTACGATGTGCCTGGGGTTTGTGCAGAATTATGGTGGGTTCGTGGCGGTGCGGGCCATCTTGGGTATTGCGGAGGGTGGCCTTCTTCCTGGCATGGTATGCATTTCTAAAATTATTTCCAAGATGGAAAATAACCGCTTGATTAGGTGTTGTATTTGTCTGCCTTCTATAGACGGGGTGATCTCGCGCTGCGCATTGGTCTGTTTTACACGGCAGCGTCGCTGTCCGGTGCCTTTGGGGGACTTCTTGCCCGCGGGTTGGCTGCGATTGCTCCTAGAGGCTTGGCGGAGGGTTGGAGATGGTGCGATTTTAAGCAAATTGTGTGAAAACTGGTTGCTAATTTGTCGATAGGATATTCATCATAGAAGGACTCTTGGTGAGTAAGCTATTGTGCTATCAAGGCGAATCTTTGTTCTGATCAAGGACAGACTGTTGTGTGTGGCGTGTTGAGCTACATACTCCTTCCGAATTCGTTGGAGTCTTCATCTTTCTTGACGGCTGAAGAGCGCGAGTTTGGTCGGGAAAGATTATTGATGGATAGTCCTCGAACTCCGGATGGGTAACTAAGCCCAGAAACCTAGAGTATTTCCGTCCTAACTAGAACAGGGTCCTGGTCGCCGAGCAAGAAGCTTTCAAGTGGTCCGAAGTCCGTCGTGGCTTCTTAGAACCGCAGGTGTGGCTCTCTGCGTCGGCGTATTTTGCTATTTTGTCCGGACTGTACTCATTTGGCCTGTTTGTATGTGCCCCGCTTGAGATTTCTGGAACATGTCTGATAATTGGAAGCTACCGACTATCATCGAAAATCTCGGGTTTGCTGGGACCGCCAATGACGTCCAGTTGTGGTCTGTGATTCCGTATGCCGTGGCATCTGTCCTCACAGGTAAGAACCTCAGAGCCAACTCAGATTCAGCGGCGTTCTCACTCGCTTGCAGTTGTCGTCGCAATTGTCTCGGATCGACTTCGCCTCCGAGGGACCATCATGCTTGCCACGCTCCCAATCGCGATTATCGGTTATGCCGCTATTGCCAATATTGACTCGCCTCTCGTCCAATATGGCATGACTTTTCTCATGGCCACGGGGATGTACGCCAGCGTGCCCTGCATTCTGGTCTGGATGGCGAACAACTCCGCGGGCCACTATAAGCGGGCTACCACGTCGGCGCTGCAGCTGGCGATTGCGAATTGCGGCGGGTTTGTTGCGAGTATGTGTATTCCTTTCCAGAAATGTGACCGGATCTTCTGACTCTCCTTCAATCACAGCATTCAACTATCCAACTAAAGACAGCCCATTATTCCACCGGGGCCATACAATTATTCTGGGACTGTTGGTATTTGCTTGGTTCATGTATGTTTCATGACAACTTTCTCAATTGACGATCATCTACTAACTGTTGATATCAATAGGATTCTATTCAACGTGCTGTACTGTATGAAAGTCAACCGTGACAAGAAGAGAGGGAAGTATGATCAGTATACAGGGTATAACGATGACCGCAATCCGGAGTTCATCATGGTCCTATAAGGCCCGGAGAGAAACAGGGACTATCATGACTAGGAGAAGGGGACTACGAACTATATTTTGATATATAGCAAGAAGCAAGTGACAAGCGATGGTAAACGTTGTAATGCATGTACTGTTGTTGACTTTCTTCTATGTTCTATCCTTTATGCTACCCGAGTAGGGGGTCGAGTGCTGACTCTATCCCGGTAATGGTCTATAAAAAACTTACAAGGTTTCTCTCTTCCTTCGAGGTGTGATGTTTTCTCAATCATGACACATCATTAGCACAAGACCAACTCTTGGAGCCGGAGTCGTTGTGTATCGCTACTCCTGACACGTATAGACCCAATCCGCACTAGAAAAAATCAGTCATGAACTGGGTGGAAACCAGACAAGCAAGAAAACACTCACAATAGCGCAAGCAATGGCTAAGATCAGAATATTCCATATCGTCAAAATAGTCTTCTTGAAGTTCCGAAAGTATTGGCCTCTGTTCATATGTAACCAAAAAATGGCAGGAAGTCCAACTATTCAGTACAAGTCAGCATTGGTTTATACAGCAGAAGGAATCTCGGTCATACAGCTGAACCAGCTTCCGAATAGTGCACTCTGCGGGTAATCTCTACATTAGCCAGCTTTTCCGGTCGAGGTACAACGTATCTTAAGACATACAATGAGACTCAGAAGGTCATTAAAAACAGGGATCGATTCCGCAACGACCCAAGAGACGACCCAGACTGCGAGACAAATCGCGACCCAGGACCCAATCGATAGGAAGCTTCGGCTGTGCATTTTGTCGGAACCGCGGAAAAGGCGCACGTAGATGTATTTACACGCGACATGACCCAAAACGACACCGGAGAGAATGGTCTGTACTTATCAATTAATGGACTGGGGAGACGCAGATTACTGCAGAAGGACTCACCGTCGGAATGGCCAGACCCCAGGCGATCTTGCTCATCAAGGGACTCAGAGATAAGATGGCAGGAGACTGGACATTGGGTCCCACATAACGATAGATGATCAGTGCACTAATCAAGTACAGGACTGTGTCGACAATTTGAAGCATTGCAAGCGACTTGTTGAAGGTTCGGGGGTCTTCAGTCTCGGACATGAAGCCAAAGTACGCAACATGGGCGACTAGAAGATCAGATTAACTCGGCCCACTTCGGAACAGTACCGGGGGTTTCAAATTACGGTAAGCGAAAATGATGTTGGTCACGGACAGAAAGCCCTCGCGGAAGCTGACGGTCGTTGTGGCTTGGATCGGGATATGACCTTTGGTCTCGACACCCGCCGCGATCATGGTTACCACTGTCGCAACGAAAACGCTCAAGAACGCTGAATGCAAGTCAGTCAGACTATATTATCAGATGAGAAAATTTGAAGGCTGCACTCACAAACAACGGACATCCAGTAGACCTTATCCATTGTACGTGGCAAGGCGCCTAGGAAGCAAATGACCAGACCGACGACACCAAAGACCAACGTGCAGGTGCCGTGATTCGTCAGTACATTCATCAAAATGTTAAACATCAAGATATTGCTCGCGCAGAGAAAGATCAGCAACAGAAGCTGGCCGAGACCCAGTAACTCGCGGCCGAAACGGCCCATCAAGAGCTCGCCAGCATCTCCCATGCTGTGAATCTCGGGATGGCGGAGCTTGAATTGGCCTATCGCATAGCCAGTGTACCATGAAAGCGCTGAGATGAACAAAATCATGATTGCAGCGCTGTATTGAAATGTTAACCATTGCGACTTTGAAGAGAAAGAAGATACATACGGAGCCATTCCAAGAGTGGCCACTGCAGACGGGAGAGAAAGGATTCCCACCGAGACATTCTCTGCGATCATGACTATGATTTTCGTTAGAGTTCTGGGGTTCAAGGGTGGGTGATATCTAGAGCTCACGCATTCCACAGTGCCTGATATCCGATTAGCCCTAACAAATATTTCAGTCAAACAAGAGCTGATCACTCACCACCACTTCATAGTCCGATACTTGACCTCTGCTGTCTCCTCATTGCCAAAAGGCTCCAGGTCCTTTCTGTCCACATCCTTTTCGAGGAATTCCTCAGCTACATAAGACTCTTCATCACTCATGATGGGCAAACTTTCTCCAGTTCTTCTTCGAGTCCGAAATTTTGACGAATTGCAGCCCGAATGAGCCGATTTTTAGAGACAAGCCTTTTGCAGAAATGTATGCAGCAATGTCACCCCGGCTAAGCCAAGAAAAAATCTGAAGGCCTTCCGTAGAGCTGGGTGGAGCCCGAATTTTTACCACCTGCCGCGTGGGGACTTGACATTGTCGGACGGACCCGAACGTGGTGAAATCTGTTCATCTACATCTATTCCCTATTTACCATCAATCATTGTTGTGGTGTAAATGTAGGTATCAAAAAGTAGATTTGACATAGGACTATGTATAACCAGCGCCGGCGCCAGACCCGAAGCTCAAATTCCAAAAGCGGCAAAAAAAAAAAAAAAAAAAAAAAAAAATTTCAACCCCACCATCCACGATGCTCCCCCCAATCCTGACTTGTAACATCCTTAAGGTCATCGGTACTGACCACATCGACGCCCTCCCGTACAAGGACTTGCCAAACGTGATTTCGCAGGCCACGAGGCCAGTTAGGCGTGCCCCAGTACCGGACCTTCAGTCCGAGGTCGTGAGCTGCTTTCACCTGCCTGCGGAGCCGAACGAGCTGGCCTTGTGAGAAACGATTGAGGGCGACGGAGCCGATTGTTTTGCGGAAGTCCGCCGAGGCATAGTAACTGTTGAGAGGGGTGTAAGGCCCCCCCATGGCGGCTTTGGAGAGAGAAGTGGCATTCGACTGAATTGGTGGAGAATCCAGTGCAGTGCTCAACTTATCGAGGGGAGCATCATAGAAGACATCTCTCAGAGTGTTCTCCAAAATGTGGCTGAATGGTGCATTGCCCGTCACGACAATGGTGACAGGCCGCCGAATCAGGTCTGAGCCATTCACATGGCTAAGAAACCCGTCTTGTCGCAGGGGCTCCAGCTGCTTTACCAGATGAGGCCATATCTTCTCGCCATTGTCTTTGAAATCGACCAGAAGAAAGAGGGTCTGGGCAGGATCCGTGGCAAACACACCCGCAATGTCATCTTTACTCGTACTCAGGGTAACGTTTTCAGCCATCGCATTATGTTTGTAGAGCATCCGCGTTAGTGGCTCGAGATACAGCTTGCGCAAAGTCTGCTCTGACTTCAGCGTGTGCTGTGTATGGCCGACCAACAGTTCATCATCGGACAGCCAGACATCGGCCTCGACACTGATACAACCAGCGGCGAGAGCGGATTGCAGCGGTATGCGGCGCCAGTAGTCATTGTGAGAGTGACAGGGTACAGGGATCACGCCGCGAGTCGACCAATGCGGAAAGACGGATGTCTCGGGGAGCAGAAACCAGGGCTCCAGGTGGGCGTCGAGGACGGGGAAGAGAAAGACGAGGCCGTGCCAAGTTAGGGCTAGGATTTTGAGGAGGCCGCTGCTGGATATGAGTTTTCCTGACCTTCTCACAGGGAGATAACATACAGAAAGAACACCAGAGCACATAGCGGCCGCAGTACTGCTCGACAGAAGAGCGCTCTGGTCGACCAAGGCCGGGCGTTGCAGCGCTTATGGGAGCACGTCCACCACGAGGAACGCGGTTGCTTCGTCCAGAGCGGCACCGGGTTCATCTCCATTGATCCCCCCTCCGACGAGATGTGCTCTAGAGGAATGAAGACATGAGTGGAAGCCATGCTCTAGAGAACGGACACATCGCCAAGCGCGGCCACAAAGCTTGGTTACATACCGGACCCTGAACTCTAAAAAGCGTCTGCCTAACTATCCCGAACATGACGTGCTTACGTGGATGGCTTCGATCATCCCGGGGCAATTACACGAACTAGCGGACTGCCCGGACCATGGGAAGATGTAAGGGATGACGAATCCTTCGCTTTTCTATACCAGAGATCAACGCGGTCCTACGGTTCATCCTGTTCCTCATCCTGCTCCGTCGCCTTGCGCTTCGCAGCCTCTTTGCCCGCAAAGCTGAACAGCATCCCTAAGTCATATATCACCTTCAAACAACCTGCGATAATAAACGAAACACCAAAGAGCTGGTTTCGTGCTAGAACGCCCGTAATCAACGGCCCCATGGTCTGACTGAGGGTTTTGACAACATTCACGGCGCCCATGATCGCCGTGCGCTTGTCCGCGGGCAGCGCGGCGGCCAGGAATGCGGACCGCGGGGCCACATCCATGCTTTGTGAGCATGCTCGCAGGATCAGAAAGGTCAGTGCCAGCGGCAGTGAGGGCATCACGGAGATGAGAGATAGACAGACTGCCGATGGCAGGTGCGTAAAGACCATGGTCTGTAGTGAATTAGAATCAGACATTTCCAAGGGCATTCAACCATCATACCTTGACATTGCCGATGCGCTTGGCAATAGAAGATGCGACCAGCATGGACGCCGCTGAGATGATGCTGCTGATGGAGAAGATGGTTCCAAGTTCGCCCTCGGGCAGGGAGAACTTGCGCTTGAAGAAGCTTATCATCCAGGACCTAGCCCCTATTAGCAACAGGGAAAACACGTAGTGTAGTGCTTCAACTTACTGCGCTGCCAAACCGGACGCGAAGGCATCCAGCCCAAACAGGATGAACAGCCGGATCACGAGTGACCAGAGGTCTTTCTCGATGGACTGGAAGAAAGTCTTCTTTTTTGGCGGGGCTTGATCAGACCGGCTCTGGAGCAACGGTCGGGTTTCGGAATTCTCGTGTCCCTGATCCAGCGTCTGGGCCTGAGACTCTTGGTTCTTTGCTTTCGGCACGGCTTCCACTTTGCGACTCAGGGTCAGGGTTAGAAGGAGCTTGACCACGCCGATGCCCGCGTAGACCAGAAAGAAGGCGCGACACGAAGGGATGAATTCCCAGCCGTGAGTCGACTGAAGCGAAGTCAGGATCCATCCACAGATCAAACTGCTCGAGGCCGAGCCTGCGGTGCCGATGAGGGAGTACCAGGCGAAAACATCGCTCAGCTGCTCCTCCAGCGTGAGATGCGCCAGCGTGGACTCCTCGATGGCGCGGAAGGGGCCAATTTCACCTCCACTGCCAGACATCAGCCATTGGTCAGTCATTAAAAAAGTCCATGACATTACATACCTGGGACTGATCACACCAAGGACCGCGGCCACCAACAGCACCCAGTAATTGTTAAATCGCGCAAAAACAACCCCGCTGCCGGCCATGAGGATGCAGCCGAGTGACAAAATCGCGCGACGACCCATGGTATCGGCACAGAGGGTGAGAAAAAAACTGATCACGACATCACCGGCCAGGGTCAGTGTCATAAACAGGCCGATGCGATCGTCCGAATTGCCCATGGCCGCCAAATACGAAACCAGAATCAACGTGGAGCCGGAGTAGGCAAACATGCGCACGAAGCGCTGTGCGCAAAGCAGTTTGATGTCGCGCGATGACTGCCACATGGTGGCCAGGCCCAACTCGCCCAGGATTTTAGCGACTACATTGTGCTCGGTCATGGTGGGCAATGATGATGGGGAGAACGAAAGAAAAGGAACACGAATTTACCGACTGAAACTAGAGCAAAGCTTACTTATCTACCGGTGGAGACAGTGACGACTTCACAATAATTATTGTCAAGATTGGACCCACCGCATTTCCTGTTTTGTAGTAGACGATTATTAGTTAGTTCTGTCCCCTAAACTGTTGGGCATCCTAGATTTAAAACGGCTTCGTGCCGCTGGTCCTTTCCATACAATTCGTTAATGTAGGAGACACTACTAAACCTGCCGATCTTGGCTTCAATTATATAAACAGCCAGAGTATACTGAACATTCTTAATTAGGATAGAATAAAATGCTTCCAATATTTCAAATGCACAAATTTAAAGGCTTCTAAAAAGAGTTCTTTGTATAGTACAATCCGAGTGGCTTGTTTCCCAAATGTCGACGGGATCAAGTTGCTCCGGCAGGAGAGTGAGTACAGGAGAACAGGGCGTTATCCTTATGGAAGAAAGACATAAGAGATGATTTCTCCTTATTTTGTGGTTATGGACTCCGTCCAGTCCAGTTTATAATAATTCTGATCCCTGTGGTACATGCTAGATAATTGATCGGAAATATGTATACGGCCTAATCAGAAAAGTAGCAACACTGCAGTTTGAATATATATATACACCGCCCGACTGTAAACAGATGCTAAGCATATAATCTTTAAATTGTCTTTATTAGACATACTCCATATCCCAGGTTTGGTCCTCCGACGGAACTGGTGACGACGCATCTGCCTCGCACACGATCTCAGCATTCCGGATGTCTGCTGGGAGCAGAAAACATCCCTTGATACTCGATCAGGAGATATTCCCCCTAGCCGACGCCAGGTCACCCCGAAATGCTGCGGACGGATCGGCGTCTCAAAATGTTTGAAGACGACTGCACGACAAATCTGTGGGTTGGCCGAGACAGAACACCGAGCCCGACAGGCCTTCCATATCAGTGCCATCGTGCATGGTCCGCCAGAGAAGGGCGATGGACTGGGTACGCGCTTTGCGATCCCATAGATACTCGGTCCCTTCAACAATGGCCTTCTGCAATGTGCCAAAAGGTCTCGGCGGCTCTTCTCCTGAGACTGTTCGCTTACGGCATTGAGGGCCACGGCGAAGTCAAAATGACCATCCAAGGCTTCTCGATAGTCACCCCAGCCGACAACCCTCGGTGCCCGTGGGGGATTCAGATTCAACACTTTTGGGCAGCCGTTCGCCGGGGACGATAGAGGTGTCATGCTCGATGGTCTGGGCGAATGTGGGTGACCGTGAGATGTGGTGGTCATAGCTGGTCGTGACATTGCCGATTTTCTATCCCCGTGAACATCGATCTATCTGGGAGATCGGACCTGGGGTTTATACCTCTTTCGGTTCCTCGGCGAACCACACGATTTTGCCTAGGGGCGAGTTCTCGGTGGATTTCATCTTCATCGCGTCTTTGACCTTCATCCATGTGGACTTGCACAAGACGGACTTCATCCGGATTATCCTTCCTGCATCCTTGTGCGCAATCCTCTCTTGGGCATCTTACATCTACAAAACCGTGTGTTGGCACAGCAACTCCTTACGACCCGTCTGAGAGCTTCAGCCTGAGGCCCAGCGGCGTAACCGGCTCACCCTTCTGGGGCGAGTCTGCAACAGCATTGCCGCTCTCCACCACTGTCGTGGTGGGATAATGCACGGCCACATCATATCCCAGGCGCAGGAAGCCAAATAAGGGCACACATCCCTCCAACCAGGACGCTTCGATATCCTTGCGATTCTGAAATAAGACGATCCTGAACCCGGAAATCAACACCCGGACTCCTTTGGCCGAGGGAAAGAACCGGCGGAGCAGTTTCAAGTCCGACTCGTTGAGAAACCGGCGTGGATGGACCCGACGATGCAGAGGGTCTTTTCTACAGCCGCTATACACCTGCGACAGCTGCGGCAGCAGGCAGGAATTCGGGGTGGATGTGGATCTCGCGGCCGCCGGCATGGGTGTCGTACACCGGCACACCTGGACTGATACTCACCACCCAAATTTTTGCCGGTCGTCTCAGTCGTCTTGTACGCGAAGGGACACGGCGCCAGCGAGCGGTTGTGCGTACGATGCAGGCGTGCATTGCTCAGTGCCACGGAGCCCTCTTGCAGAGCTCTGGCGGCCGCCTCTTCTTTGGCGCCCCACTCGTCGGAGGTCGTTTCTGCAGATCAGAACGAAGAGTGAGCACTGATTTATTCTGCTACGTACGCTACTCTTATAAACTGACCTGACACCAGAATCAACTCCCGCGGCGAATGGCTAGAACTCACCGGCAGCGTCCCTTGTCGGTCCACACAATCGGCGGGGATAGGCGGGTATGGGTATGAATGCGCCATGACGGTGAAATTCCTGCAGGCGGCACAAGATGAGCTACGAATGGACATCATGATTCGCCTCCGCCGGCCCATATCACCATGATGTCAGTTTCCTAGCAACCACCAGACCCACCGAGTCCGAGCTCATAGATGACAGCCCACACACGCCTTCACGGGTTGATGCAGACAAATCGAATTACCCACATCTGGCCCTCGTGGTGGGAAAGTGAGCGGTCAGTTCTCTTTTGAGCCGTGGAGAGCTATCCCGTGTGCAACCCGAGACCTAAATCTGTAAAATCTGATGGCTGACAATTGTGAGGAACCCCATTGCCCCCAGTGGTGGCACTACAGCCCGTAGCGTCTCCAGATGGCTGCAGATGGCCCCCCGGATAGTCTGATGGTCTGCCTATCCCGGCTAGATCAGCGCCCGCCAGTCTGCGCTATTACACCACAATCGTGCCGATCTCTTCAGCTAGGCCGAACCTGTCGATGAACGATGGAGCCCAGCCGAGCGCCAGATCCGCTCGTCCCCCAATCAACGGGGCCGTCATGATCTGTGGCCGATCGGGTCAAGCTGCCAGCTGAAGATCGGTGAAAAGCTGCCGGCGTTTTAAGCTGGCCTGTCCGCCCCCCTCCCTCCCTGGCTACCTACAGTTACTACCTCGGTCGGGTTGTCTTTGCTCTCTCGGTTGTATTCTAGAGCGAAAACCGTCTCCTATTTCCACATTATGCCCAGTGAAATCCCTCAGCCGCCTGGTGTCCCGCTTCTGGGCAATGTGTTCGATGTCAACCCCAATGAGACGTGGAATTCGCTAAACAAGTTGGCCAAGCAATATGGTAAGTGGCAAGTTCATATCCTCTTTGGCTCAGTTGATTAATCGGGGACAGGCCCCATCTTCAAAATTAATGCCCTGGGCACGCAGATCGTCTTTGTCGGTAGCGTGGCCCTTCTTGAAGAAATCTGCGACCAGAAGCGGTTCCGCAAGTGCGTGACAGGGCCCGTGGTGGAAATTCGACACGCTGTACACGATAGTCTGTTCACCGCGTACGATGATGAAGAGAGCTGGGGCATCGCACACCGGATCATGATGCCGCACCTTACCCAGTCTGCGACCGACGGTCTGTTCAACGAAATGGCAGAGGTGATTTCGGACTTGACGAAGAAGTGGTCCTCGGGAAATAAGAAGAAGGTTTTGCTCACAAACGACTTGGACCGGATGCTCATGGCGTCCTGCATGCAGTGTTTCTTCGGCCAGCGAATTCATGCATTGGAAGGACAAGAACCTCCCCTGCTCAAGGCCATGGACGGTGCCACCATGGAGGCGATGAAGCGGCCTACCCGGCCCAAGCTCCTAAACTGGCTGGTGTACCAGCGCCGCTTTGAGAAGGACACAAAGATCATGCGCAGTTTTGCGGCCGAGGTTGTGAAGACAGGAAAAGAAAACCGGGAGACTACGAGCAAGTACATTCTGGATTCACTACTGAATGGCACGGATCCCGAGAGCGGAAAGAAACTCGAGGACTCGCAGGTGATCGATGAGATTATCAGCATTTTCATTGGCGCCGCGACGGCACCGAACCTCGTATCCTACGCTCTGTACTACCTCATGCAGAACCCGTCCTGCGTTACCAAGGCCTGTGAGGAGATCGATGCCGTGGTTGGACCGAACAACAAGATCGACCTGGCTCACCTCGAGAAGCTAAACTATGTCGAAGCCATCCTGCGTGAGTCGATCCGTCTATCCGCTACAGCACCCGGCTTCAACATCGAGCCCATTCCCTCAAAAGACAAGAGCCCCATACTCCTCGCGGGTGGTGAGTACCAGATACCCCACGACCAGGCTATGATTGCCGTCCTCAATTCCGTGAATCGTGACCCGGCCGTTTTCGAAGACCCCGAAGCGTTCAAGCCTGAGCGTGTCCTCGGCGAGAAGTGGGAGAAGCTCCCCGCTGGAGCAAAGAAGGGATTCGGTAATGGCAAGCGCGAGTGTATCGGCAAGATCTGGGCGTGGCGGTGGTCGTTCTTGACCCTTGCCAGTATTCTTAAGGAGGTCTCGTTCGAGCTGGCGGATCCGAAGTACGATTTGCACTCCAATGGTGCGTTCAGCATCAAGCCCCTGGACTTTTATGGTCTGGTCAGCCCCCGGCAGAAGTAATATGCCCCTTCGCAAAGGAAATGTCCATTTTGTCATCAGCAGATACGAAACTGTCATTAATGAATCTGGCAACTGAGCATTATGATAAATGCCGAGATAACTTTGGGAAATGAAACATTGGCTGGTTTATTACATGATGGACTCTGCCTATGTAGGTAACCTTGGAACCAACTAAAGTGCATTGCCTCTATCGTAAGAATTGCGTATGTGTCATGAAGCGCCACATCTGAAAGTCTGGATAATGCAAGCCTATTCAAGCAGCCTGAGTTTATTTTGAGACAAGATTCCCAAGAAAAGAAAAGAGTATAGTCTCTTTGAAAAGCGAACGACATTGGTATATGTAAGAATCAAAACGCAAGGATGAGAATCGACCCGCGAAAGGACCAGCCTAGTCTCGAGGATATATATTCAAATCGAAACAAAATCCATACCAGCTGGGATCAGACATCCACGGTACAAACGTTTACATCTTAGAGAGAAAGAAAACGCTTAGCCGCTGTAGTCGAGGACGACAGCGAGACGGACAGCACCGCCAGAGATGTTGCCACCGATGCCACCGACATCAGTCTGGGCAGTGGTGTAGGCATTGTCGACGGAGGCAGCGTTCTCGGTCAGGGAGGAGCAGGTGTTGGAGAGGACGTCACAGATCTGCATGCCCTGGACCTCGAGGCCAGCATTCTGGGCAGCGATGGCAGAGACGTCGAAGCCAGACCAGCCGCCGTTGCCAGAAGAGCCGAAGTCGAACTCACCCCAGGTGGAGGCGTAGCCACCATTGGAGTCAGTGGGGACGGAGCCGGAAGCGGCAGCCCAGCCACCCTGGGAGTCGGAGTCGAAGGCAACGTACTTGGTCTCGCCAGAAGAGATGGTGAAGGTCTGCACAGCCTGGCCGAACCAGCCGTCCATCTGGCCATCGGGGCCGATCTTGTTCCAGATGGCGACGGTCCAGGTACCAGAGCTAGGGCCGTTGAACTGAGCAACGTACTGATACTGGCTGGCGTCCGACTCGGACACCTGGATGATGTTGCTGCCGTAGGGGTTGCCGACGTTACCGGCGTAGCTCACACCACTTCCGGAAGAGCTAGTCTGGCCGCCGAAGCCCGAAGTTGAGTACTGGCCGTCCGAGGGAGTCGAGGACCAGGAGCCACCGGCAGCAGAAGATGAAGACGGCGCGGCAGAGGCAGTAGCGCTGGCCTGGCGGCGCTCGAAGCCCTTGGGAGCAGCGAGGGTGCCGGTGGTCAGGGCCGCCAGGAGAAGGAGAGACTTGGAGAATTGCATTTTGGAAAAGGATTGACACGAAAGTGAATGTGTAGTAGAAGAGAGAGTGACGGGTGAAGCCCTAAAAAGAGTGTCTTGGAGGAATTGAAAAAAAGACTGTAAAGAGTGACTGACTTGTTGTCAAAGAGAGTGTGGTTGAACTAAAGAACACACAAAGCAGACCAATCGAGGATATAAATACCTTTTGGCCGGGCAGAACAGAATCTGTCGGTCCGCCACCATTGCCTCGCTGAGGGGGGCACGAGGATATGACCCAGTCGCTTTCCACGGTGCCTGGTGCCTGGACATTCCGTCCTTGGATCAGGAACGGCGGATTGAGGGGAACAGCAACGTCAGCGCCAGAAAGCAGAGTGGGATGCCCTTGGGTCCAGAAGGGCCGACACCGCGGTTGGCGGTGTGGCTGTAGATGTGCCATTGGCGGCTCCATCAGGGGAGGCAGCTGTCCCAAGGATTGCCGCGAGAATTACAACGGCGGGAGGCGTGATTGGCCCTGGGTGAACGAAATGCAGTTCTAGATGGGCAGTTCATCATTGGCGGCGCTGCCCTGTCACCGTGTGGGCCTGGCGGCGGCGGTCCAGAGGTACCGGAGGGATCCAAGATCCCACTGAAAAGCATTTCCTAGCCATCCGTAGTTCGGCAAGTCTCGACGATTGGCAGCCAAACAGGGGCGGGGACGTTGAAGGCGCAGTCCATGACCGGTCTGAAAGAAACCCCAAGGGACCGTTTACAACGCAGTCCATTGACGGCCACGGAGTGTGACCGAAACTCGAATTTTGCTTAAAGAAGAAACTGTAGTGGGGTCGTACTTGGTATGGGGCTGCGATGGGGCCTGCGATAGAATCAGTTTTTTTCTTTCTTTTTTTAAGAAACAAGACTCGATTTTTCCCATGGCTGCCGAGCATCTGAGCCTTGACTGAATCTCTTCCCGGACTGTGCTCCCGGTATTCGTTGTACTCTGAATGCAGTTCACACACACAAAGCAAACTTGCACGCGCGGGAAAAAAAAACACACAAAAGGGTGCCACGTCGAGAAACAGGGGAAATTGACTCTCGTTCCATGGTTGATATGGAAGCGGTCCAGGGCCCGTTCGGAAAAGCAATGCCATTGGCCTTATGGCAAAGAAAAGTGGGTAAAGTGTCGTCAATGGCCACCAACCAGAATACAATTTCGATTCTTGGCAGGGCAAAGTCGCCTCTCGACGAATCAGTACAGACACTCGACCCATGGACGGTTTGATTGTGCTTGGACCGGTGTCGTGGCCCTAGCGCTTGGCGACACCCACACAGGAGCAGTTCGGTAAGAAGAATAAAGTATCGCTAGCGTGCTACAAAGGTCCAGACAAAGGCCGTGGATACCAAGATCGGTAGTTCACCCGGTGGTGGGCTAGTGTAACTTTTGAGTGTGTTACACACATTATTAGCGGTCTTGTCGATTTATTTTATTGGATGCTCCCCGGCAGCCCTTGTCTTGTCGAAGGCTTTGATTTCCCTCGGTGGGGTATGCGTCGTAGACTTGACCTCCGCATGGTCCCACTGAGGCGTTGGCGACTGTCGTCTAGGCGCCAGGAGGACTGAGTTGGAAGTATTCTAGAATCAGAACCTGTGGGAGCAAGTTTGCACAACTTTTGCGCTGCATCACTATAATTGGACCTCGAACATGAGATGTACTTGAAAACTCAGTCGATACTGATAAACAATTTTAATTCGACATTTTTCCTGCTATTGTTGCAAGGAAACTTGTGACAAATTATTAGAATGAAGATGTTTAATCACTCAGCGAATTTAACATGAATGATCTTCGTCTAGCGCGATTTCCTTTCAGCAGTGGATATCTACTGTCAGCGAATGGCCGCTACTACTATACACAGCAGACCTAAGTGCCCAATTCGGCCCTTTGATTCTCAATTGCTGATACCTATTCTGCTTCTTATTAGCTTAGCAAGTTTGAAGTGAGTGACTTCTATTTCCTATTCGAAATAACACCAGTACAAATTTCTTTCTGCTCTTTTCTCGCCAGCTCTCATCTAACCACGCTGTGAGTTTTTTGCACTACCAAAGCGAGGTGCCTATTTTAGGAAAATTTTCCATATAGAGTATATTAGTCTTGGTTATTTGTTTTGTCATATTTGTCACTATTACTTGTTCCTGACGTCGTTGTGGTGGCCAACACCGGCGTGGCCAGTGACCTTTGCCACCCGCCAAGAAGAAAAAAAAAAGCATCAGCTCCACAATCCCGGATGAAGTATTCGGCAAAAATGATCTCTTAGGAGTATCTTGCCTCAATACTCGCCGCTTATGTACTATTCTAGTCCGAGAGACTTGATCGACCGACATTACGCCTTTGACTTCTGGCCCCCAACACTAGTAGCTTTGCCTTGCACCAAATCGCCAATCAGTGGCCCTCAACCGCCATCAATTGGAGCTGTTCCCTGTCAAGGTTGCAAAATAAAGAACCCATGGCTGACTGGGCCAATCAAAATATCCTGGGCTGGTAATCCTGTAACAGGGACTCTGACTCTAACAAGATCGTCGTACCTCGGTGGGAAAGCCCCAGTTAGATCGCTTCCTAATCGAGGAAATGGTTCTTCACGTTCTTCGCCCCTCACGCTTTTTCGCATACCGGCAGTTACTTGATGTAGAAATTCGTCTGAGAAATAACGAGGTTGAGCCATCAGCTTACTTCTTTTTTCTCTTAATTTGACTAGTAGTATTGGCCATGCGAGTAGATTTAAAGGCTCAAGCAAGCCCAGGCCTGTAATCTCAACTTACATTTCTAAATCAGAAATAATTCCTCGCTAACTTCCGAAATGGTCGTCCTCAAAGTTGGTATTATCGTTGCCATGGCCCTTGCGGTCACGTCCAGCGCCCAATCTGCCAACCCTGGTGTAGGCATCAACCCTAAAGCCCAAGGTGCAACCACCGACGTGACGGAAAGCACGGGTCCCAATGGGTATGAGCAACATATAATAAAGCATATAGTCTGAAACTCCGACACTAACCGAGTCTCCAGATCCGAGGACTGGCTGAATACTGGAATCAAGGGCGACGGCTGGGACCCTCCCTTCATGACTCTGGAAGAAATCTATCATATCTCGCTCCAGGACTTCTACAACGGTATTGGAGCGCGGTGTGCACGATACAATAAGTTCTTCCAGAGCGCAGGGCTCAAATACAATGTTGACCCTGTGATCTTGGCCGTGATCGCGATGCAGGAATCCTCATGCAACGCGCATGCTGGTGGGCCGACCCCAGGTCTCATGCAGGTCTCTTGCGCCAACTATCCCCACCACAAATGCACCAACTCGACTCAGGATAACGTGGATGCGGGTACGAAGTATCTTAGATCGCAGATTGACGCGGCTGGTGGGAATGCCATTCAGGCCTTTGGCGCGTATAACGGTTGGTTCACGGCGGGTAGTGGTCTTAATGGAAACAAGGGTCTTACTCAAAATTACCCTTGCTCGTCGGAAGGCCAGGCTAATGGTGAACCCCAGAACCTGGATTACTTGCATCAGGTTCTGAATGGCTGGTTGATGGGATTGGATGTGTACGGGTCTGATGACTGGATCGGCACTTACAAGTGTGACCAGTCCTGCAGTGACGGAAGCCTCTGTTAGATATTGAACAGTACTAAATATGGAACTATCTATTTTTCAAACAGAGTTGTATGAACACTCATGTTAACTCAATCGTTTGACCACCGTTGTTAGACAATCTGAGTCTGTCGAGTATCTGAGGAATTGAGCGAACCCCCCAGGCCGAGATCACCTAGAGCAGCCCTCCCAGCATCGTAAAAAAAACCAATGTGCGTGTCAAGTCTACTATCTGCACTATTTGCTTCGTATTGTTTGCAGTCTCTGGCGGAAATCCCCAAGAATACTCGCAATAGAAACGTACAGTTCTCGGTATCTATAACTGTCTATTCTAGATTTTGGTGGCTATAGTATGAACGGACTTGCGTAGTCTGACATCGACTGCTTCTCTCCCTTTCCCGTTTCCTATTCACTCCAGAGCAGTGACATTGCCCAAGACGCACAGGTTCCGGACAGGATCCGTAAGATGGACCAGAACTGGCAGGTCATTGCTCGAGGTCGCAAGGAGACCACCGGAGCTCTCGGAAAGCTCCACAGAAGCGTGAGGGACCCGCTGATATGGGCCTGGCCTGGTGACTTCCAAATCGGGAAGGCGCGTTGCAACGGACCTTCATCTCGTTTACTTCACGCTTTACTCGAGTCGCCTGGATAGAATTGAGGGAGCAAAATGTATTCAAGCCCAGGTACATACACTTCTGCGGTAACCGGTCTCACACAAAGCAAATCTTGTTAAGCAGCCACACAGGTCCCGAAGCGGTGTCGCTGCTTCTCCCTGGATCGCATAATCCACCTTTGGGTGGTAATTGGTGTCATCACCCTTCGATATTCCTGGTTTTGGAGAAGGGATACATTTCGACGATACGCTGCCTCCTCTGAAAATGAGTCTGCGGCCTGCATCGAGTCATCTTCGAATCGCTGCCGGGAATCAATCAGGTCAGGGGTGTCTCCATCCATACCACGCGAGTAATCAACGTGAGTCTTCCATTGAACATCATTTGGGTTTAGCCCCGGGCCCAGATCAAGCCATCGAGTCACAACCAAGCATATATTCGCCTGGTCAAGTTCTCGAAGCTCAAGTTTGTATGAGGTATTGCATGTTGGACACCGCCCATAATCGGCTGGCCTAGTCGACGCTCGTCCAGAAGAGCAGTAACTTTCGATGTGCGCTTTCAAGACATTCAAGAATCGATGAGGCCCTATATTCCCACACATCGACAAAGGTTCGCAGTCAGGAAACAGATCCCACACATTGTGCCGCTTCACAAACGCCAATTCTTGGATGCGTACGCATAGGCTCGGTGCTGTAGGATAGATACGCGCCTCGATTGACATCAGACTCGTCACAGGCACAGCGGAATTCTTGAACAAGGGGTCGGGGGCGTGAACGGCCACTTCGATATAGAAAAGCGACTCCGCTGATATACCGAACTGGGGCCCGTAGTAGAATCTTCGCATGACTAGCTGAATATGAACGAAGTGAATCTCGAGAAATGTGCAGGTTGGGAAATGGGTGAGAGATAGCGGTCTTTTCAGGCGCCAGTACTTGTCGATCGATTTGAAACATTCTCTGGGCTCGAACCATGGCTTGGGTAGCGCGACACTTCGCCAGGGATGGAGCCGCAAACAGCCATAGCATAGATAATACTGGGGTAGATCGCGGGAAAGGCTGGTCAAGAAGACGATACGCCTTTCGTCTTCTGGACCTCTAGTGTTTGGGATGTATTCTGTGAATGAGTGTCTAGCTCTTGATGCGAAGCACTCCATTAGATCATGATTGCACAACGAAAGACATGCAACGTCGACGGGCGATAGGTGTTCAGATATTAAGAGCAATAACTCAAGGGAAGATCAGGCAAGTTGGTTGGTCTTTGCGCAAAACATTTCATCACGCTGGATTCGGATCACAGGAGAGTTCCTTCCATCAATTCTCCCACCCCGTGTGAGGCCTCTGTTGGAGTGGACAGAACCACGCGAAGTTCATAGTCGAGTCAACAGGGAGTGTAAAGGGAACCAGAACAGAGTCTCTTCACGAGGCGAATTACAGATGAGCCTTTCCAGGAATCGAAGGTCGTCAGTCAATCAATACCAAGGCGGAAACAATGGTGTAAGCGATTAGTCGGTCCTGCGGACTGGTCATCATAACATAATCCACAAACGAGCGCCGCGTACATAGTAAATGCATTATTTTGAAACCTCTCAGAGAATTTGCGATTTTAACAGGATGCTAAAGATCGGGTTGGGTTTCTTCCCAAAAGAGAGGGAGACATGACTCGGCAGTATTGACCTTTGCGGGAGGACTGTAACGTCCATATACTGCTGCACAGTAGACTCAGTGCTGGATGATCCTTTGGTGTTGTCCTCTTTCAGGTTTGCAGCATCACTTGCCGCTTCGGGGCTGGCCATTTTTGGGTATGAGCCTCAGCTTGTATCAGAGGAAAGGAGCAGTGAGATCATTAAATTCTAAGCCTGAGAGAAGGATATTTTCTTCAAAATAAGTGCAGCCGCGATCGCTACAGAAGAGAAGCACAAGAGAGAGACAAAGTCCAGCACTCCCCTAGTCTAGCCCGATGATAATTGTATCGGGTTTGCCTGGACCTCTCGACTCGGGGTGGCTGTTGGTTCTCGGGATTCGGAACAAAAAGTCGTCTCCTCCTTTTCTGTCGTCAGCGTGAATTGGATTACCACGGACAAGAGGAACCAATTATGGTCATATATTAGGTGAATTGCAAAGGTTTATGGACTTTTCCATTGCTAACCTTTTCAGAGACCGCAGTAAGGCTTAGTAAGTACATAGAACTAAGTTAGGCTTCAATAAGACAACGGTGGCCTTGCGGGCCCATCAAGAAGGAGGCTTTTATGTGCATATCATTTTCCGTCATTCCTTCTTTTGTGGAAATGTAGGCCTGGGGGAAAGCACGGAAAAAGAGGGCCGTGGCCAGGCGTAATTCCATTCGAGCAAGGTGCATGCCGATACATACTGGCACAAATTAGCAATCTGATAGGTCCTTTCTCGGGCAGCGTGGATGGCATACTGCGTGATCCACCCCCAAATGGCATCCACGATTCCTTCATTGCTCTTGTAGTGTGCTCCCATCTTTCGGGTTTAAAGCTGCATTTCCCCCAATTAGTAACTTAGACGAGTAGATTTGACAGGGGGAAGCGGCATGCCTTTCTGGATCAGGATAAACCCCAGACACACGATGAAGACAGTAAGCACTGGTCGATACCGTCAATCCACCCTCGATGTAGTATCCGTTGAATTGAGCACCTTCTGGTGGGACAACCCTTGGCAATGCACCAGGAGCAGCAGAGTATAAGCGCAGCGTTTCGTCAATCACATGGTTGAGATATGGAAGATTTCGGAGGTCCTTGTCCGTATACTCTTCTGGGAGTTTCTCCAGCTCAGCTACGAGTTTGTCTCGAATGCGGGTGTCACGACAAACGGCGTAAGTGAGGTAAGTGAGAGAAACTGCGGTGGTATCACTACCAGCCACAATGTAACCCTGAGCTTCGTGCTGGATATCTGTCTCGGTCATACCACTCTTTTCAGCATCAAACACCTTAGTGAACAGAGTAAGCTTTGGATTTTCCGGGTTCTCGGCGAGAATCTGTTTATATCGCTCAATGCACTTCCTAGGATACATTGCAATTCTCCTTCCGGATGCAGCAACTTTGTTGAAAAACGGGATAGGCAGATATCGTCCTATCTTGATCAGATTAGGGAAGGCTATTCGGAAGGGCTGGATGGCCGAGATCTGTTCTAGATCCATAGAATACTGGTTTTTCTAAGATGTCGTCAGTAACTGATGCAGTTAAAGTTCTTTCATTCCCCTACCTCACCCGCCTCTAGCATTTGGAACGATTCCCCAAAGCTCAGCTCGGCGATGACATCAGTCGCAAGGAATAACCACCATTTAAAAACATCGGAAACGCCTCGTATCTTGAGTTCTCTCGAGATTCCATCAACAGCCATACTGGCTCGCATATGGACCAAAGGCTCATGGCGCGTTAGCGACGAATCCGACATGGCCGATGCCAGCAACCGACGACGACTAGCATGGAATTGCTGATTGGTGGTGGAGAAGATATTCTCGATGTTCCCAATGAGCCTGCGATAAAAATCTCCCTTCACAAAAGGGGTGTGGGTTTTGTGAATTTCTTTCGCGCTATGATGATCGTTGATGTCGACCTGGAATGTGTTTATGCGAACGACAGGGCCTAAAGGAGAGAGGAAATATGAGCGAACTGTTTCCCAATTTCAAATTCTATGGGCACGCACCATACTGTTCGTGAAGCGAATGAATATAGGGCAGGATCTCGCCGCGGAGCCAGTAATACCAATAGACCGCGTCCGTCCACTTCGAAATCTCTGGACCCGGTACACTCGCAAGAGGATTTGTGATTCCTTGGAACAAAAATCTCTAGAATTTGGATCCAAGTTAGCTAATTATAGGTCCATGTAAGCTTAGCAAAGACTCGACATACTAGAATGATTAGCCCCAGCACCCCGTAGAGGGTCACTGAAAGGTTGTGAACCACTGCTTCAATTATTGGCTCGATCATCGTGTTTTCCTTAGGCCTGTGTTTTTAGAAGGATCGTCCGGATCCATGGTGGAATATCCTCCTCTCTTCTTATACTTGAATTCTCTGTAGGGAGGAGGGGCAGCAGCATCGTATATTTCTCGCGCTCGCTGTTGTCCGAATACCGATTAGTCCTTGACCCACTTTTTGCACAACACAAGGTACAAATAGCACGGACTTGATTGGCACGATGCAAATAGGATGATCGACGCGGGGCGTCGGCGTCGGCTTTTGGAGACTCCGATGTTAAGGGCCGATGAGAGACCGAGTGCCCGAATAAATAATAATAGAAAGACTTGAAATGTTTATAAACTAACTAGCATAGAGAGATTGACAGCTGTTTAGGATACGACATTCGACTACATCATTAACATGTAAATTCCTTCATACATGGCTGTTAAACTACTCCGACTTCACAAATACCGACCACCGCGACCGTTTCTTATACCTTCACCAGAGGCCGATACGCAGGATCCCACATTTGCACCCGGATCCATTCCTTCAATTCTGCGTCGTTTGTTGGGATTCCTTCCTCTTGGGCAAGCCCCTCATCCACGGCGCACTTGATCACAGCCGCGGCGATGGCGACACTGATCTCGCGCACATCCTCAACATCGGGCAACAACGGTCGATTGGAATCTTGAAGAGCGGGTGACTTTGCTTCTAGTGCCTCCACAGCGGCCACAAGCATCTTTTTGGATAATAGGCGGCACCGTGACAAAACAGCCCCAAGACCAATGCCTGGAAAGCAAGTGGAGTTGTTGCACTCCGCTATTGCAAGAAAAGGGATAATCGAATTAGAAGACGTTCTTTACAAGGATGGGACCCCTTACCGATCTCATGTTTCACACCCTGGTATTCCACCGGAGGGAATGGACTGCCCGTGGCGACCAGAGCTCGACCTTCGGTCCACTCATAGATGTCTTTGGGCTCTGCCTCATGTAGTCGTGTTGGATTGCTCAGCGGAAACACAATTGGACGATCAACATGCTTAGCCATTTGTTGGACGATCTCCTGTGTGAAGGCTTTCGGCTTCGTAGATGTTCCAATAAGCACATGGGGCTTGACATGCTTCACCACTGACAGAAGGTCAAGCCCTTGACCTTCAGGCCACTCACGGTCGTCGCGTGCAAAGGACTGCTGGGCTGGGGTTAGCTTTCCTCCAAGCGATTTAACGAGCAATCCCGGTTTATCGATGCACCTAGATATGGTGAGTGACAGCCATCAAATGCTCGAAAGAATACGTACCATATCTGGTTGGAAGCATCCGTCTTAGACTTGTGCGTTTTTGTTGCAATGGTGTCGGCAATTTGGTCCGCGATTCCAGTTCCCGCTGTGCCGGCACCAAAGATCACGACGCGGACATCTTCCAGCTTGACCTTGCTAACGTATATTCCCGCCATCATGGCTGCAAGTGTGACACATCCGGTTCCTTGGATATCATCGTTGAAGCACGGAATCTGTGGTTGGAACTTGTCAAGGATCCTCTTCGCGTTGTGAAGCCCAAAGTCCTCGCTGATATCATTAGACACAGTCTTAAGTGGATTTGACGAGGTATTCGACGTACAAATGAATCAGCGCCTTGGGAAAACGCTGTCGGGCAGCCTTAACAAATTTATCAACAAACTCGTCGTACTCTGGGCCCCGGACTCTGCGTTGTCGGAGTCCTAAGTATAAATCGTCATTCAGAAGCTCCTCGTTCTATGATATCATCAGTCAGGTTGTTAATAATAGTACCATGTGGGGTGTATCTCACATCTGTCCCGCAATCCAGCACGACTGGAAGCTGTCGTGAAGGATGCACTCCAGCGCAGATGGTTGTAAGCACTAGCTTGGCGACCGAGATAAGGATGGCACCGACACCCTGATCTCCAATGCCCAGGATCTGCGATTGATTGTGAGCATGATCTAACTACCATGAGAATCGACGATTACCTCTTCTCCATCGCTGACCACAATATAGTCAACATCCTCCGTCCTCTCGAATTGGGCGAGATTTTCCTCAATCCGATCCTGGTCCTTGATGTTCAAAAAGCATCCCTCCGGCTTTCGAAACAGTCGCGAGTAATTTTGAATAGCTTCACCTTCAGTCGGTGTATAGATGACACTAAACATCTCCTTGAGATGGGTTTGCAGAAGCTAAACGGCCATTTAATCATATGTTTTTGAAAAATACGAGACAAGCTCACCTTGTAGAAAAGTACTTCATTCTGAGCCTTCATGCTCGCCATGAATGTATTTTTTGATAATTCGTCGGGCCGGCTACCGTATTGCTCGTATGCGCGCCGAACCTGCTCATCCAGAGTCTGGATATTCGGTGGGAGTAGTCCGTGTAGTTTGAAAGCATCTCGCTCTTTAGCGGGAAAGGCAGAACCTTTGTTGAATTGGGTGTTTTCGAGGAGCGCAGAGCCCTAGGGGACTCTTAGTATACCGCTGCTTGCTCTCACACAGTCTCCCGCGCGCTCAGTAAACAAGGCTCACCTCGTAGGGGCATTTCAACGGCCCTGATGCCGCTCGAGGCAAGTGACTGAATTTCTCCATGAACAAAAGACAAAGGGACACACTGTACCAAAAACAATCCGAGGGGAAAAGGGAGAAGTGGGAAGAGAAATGGAGTGCAAAAGTCGTCTGGGCTAGGTGATGTCATCGCAGCCACGTAACTGTGTACTCCATATATTCTCTTTTTGGACTAGGCACAACAACCTTGGAGGTACAAGTAATCATCTAGTTAAAATCCCTAATCGCATGAATGGCTGGCGAAAACTGTAACTATTATGTTCTCATTGCAAAAATAGCAGGATCTATCTAGTCTAGTAGGTAGACAAAATCAAGCCGAAAGGAATAGTAACACTAGGGCTTGAGAGCATGTGAGTTTCGGATCCTCCTGTACTTTGTGAAACGAAGCAGGCTTAGTCGCCAAATCAGACACGGTGGTTGAAAGAGACAATTCTGGTTGAGATCGCTCACTCGCGCCCGAGCTCACTGCAGAGGGTTGGTGGGAGAAGATTATATTCGTGAGGCCGGTTATCTTCACGAGATCTTTGGCCGCTTAGGATTGGTAAATTTAGAATCCGGACGAGGCCGTTTCCGCTCCATGGCCTCCATCTCGGCCTTCATAATTCTCTCCTGCTCCGATATCTTCTTGGGAGCAGCCAAAACAGAACCTTTCTTCCCTGCCAATGGATTCTTCTTCGCTGAAGCAAAAACATTTTTCGGCTTCTGAGCACCCAGCGACATCGATAGCTTCACAGGAGCCTGGGACGTAGGCGCAGGAGATTCGGTGCTGGGCATATCCGCTTCGGTATCATCCTTGGACTCGGGGGAATTCGAGGCCGGTGGCGACGGGAGCTTTTCGGTGGCTGGCTTGGATCCAAATGCAAGATTTAACTTCACTTTCTCTCCTTCCTTGCGCTGCAATAACTTCGCTTCCGGATCGTCTTCTTCGGTCTTCTCCGCATTGCGCCGAGCCCGTTCGATTTGTTCCTGGATCAACTTCTGTTCCCTCTCTTCATCACCCTTATCCTGTCGCTCCTTTTTCATGATTGCTTCGCGCTTCCGCATAGTCTCAGGGCTATTATCGATCCATGATATGAATAGTCCTTTCTCTGTCTCCTCGACGCGACAAATCCCCTCCCTCCCGAGGTACGCGGCAAACTGGGATAGTGACTTCCACTCGGTACTGTTCATGTGCACGTGCTAGGAAAAAGTTAGCCCATGGTTCTAAATATAGACCGTAAAAACTGACCGTTTTCTCTGCAATAACTTGTTGGTAGAAATGGTTTATGTGGACCTGTTTCTCCCCATGAGTCGTCCTCAGCAAGTCGATGAAGTTCTTTTTGAACTCGTTTGAAAACTCTCGGATTGCCTTCCCAGAGTTTTCGCCGATAAGCAACATTTGTCTGACGTGACTTTCGCTTTGAACATGACATTTGAAGCCATTCTCGTCTCTCTAAAGGCATGTTAGCTAGACCGAGAACAAGATTCAGCATGAGAGACTGACCATTTGACGTTCACTAGAGGGGTGTTAGCTAGATCGGGGAAAAGAGTTGGCATGAGATACTCACCAGGCTTGGCAGTACCAGCGTAGTCGACCTAATCCCTTGGATTTGATCTTATTGCCCAAATCTTTTGTACTGCCTATCTCAGCGCGGGGCATTTTAACGGAGGGCTTTGGCTTTATTGAGGTGAAAGAGGATGTGGCGTTGAAGAGTTGAAGATCGATAGTTGGGCGGAGAGATCAAATGGATCATGTCAGCAAAGTCACGTGATACAATGGCTATGTACTCGGATGCGTGCTCCAGGCAGAATAGTTGATTAATGCGAAGCAGTGGGATGGAATTGAAACTCATATAGATTTTGATATTGAAACTAGCTGCGAAGATATTTGGCCAAACTCCCCGGATCCTGCCTACCGACACGACTACTGTGCTTTTCTAGAGAGGGCATCCATAGCATACAGTACAAAACAACAGCAAAAAAAAAAAAAAAGGTCTGTCACGCATAAGCCAACTTCGCCTTTTCCAAGAGATGAAGAGAAAACACTCGGTTTGTGCGTTGAATCATAGAAGAGAGCGTGCTCGTCACGTCATAGGACGAATTCGTGGATTGCGGACGGTCCATTCTCGTTGTACTCGACACGACTCATGTAGCCTTTGCTGAGACCCTGGTCGAGGACAAAGAAGACTTTGGCGGCCATCTGAGCGCCAAGGAAAACGGCCTCCTCCATGCCACGACCACCCTGAGATGCTCCCGGTCCGCCGGCTGCGCCGCCCGCATTGCCGCTGGCGCCAGGAGCGTTGCTGTTGCCCTGGTCCTTAAAGTCGGGGAAATACTCGGGAAGCTTGAGGGTCTTGACAGAGGTTGGGGTCTGGGAGTGGCCGGACGAGCGGTGATGTGATAGATCCATCGATGGGGTGCCCGGGGTCATCTGGGGCATCCCCGGATTGTTGTGGGTTGCTGCCACCAGGAGCGGGTTGACACCATGTGCGGCAGGGTGATACATGGGCCCCGGTTGGCCCATCGGAGCCGGTGTGTTCGTTCCACCGGTGGGTATGGGGGTGGTGAAGGTCGAGGGGATTTCAGACGTGAAGATCGTGCCAGACGGAGAAAGCATGAACTTTTGAGTAATGACACCAAGCAAAGCCTGGGTGAAGCCTGTTTGGAACATTAGCCGACATCATAAGAAGCACATAAGGCAAACCAACCTCTGACTTTGCTACCGTTTCCGACAATAATCAGGGAGTCCCACAGCTCGCTCCGTTTTGTGGCGTCCGGGACGGCCAGAATGGTGTGGTGGATCTGGGTTGCAATGTCCTCCAGAATGCCGCTCGTCAGACGGTCTCCAGATTGCTGCCGAGGCGTCGCAGTCAGGAAGCGCTCGACGCTCACTTCAACTTCCCTCGAATGCCGGATATAGCGTCGAGACCCATTGACCACCGCATCATCCCCCTCCAATGGGACAAACTCTTCAAACTGGAAGGACGCCTTTTCCTTCTTGGAATTGGGCAAGCGAGCTTGCTTCGGCTCCACCGCGCCTTTCTTGTTTGTCGCCTTCTCTTTCTCCATATTGGCAAGATACTCGGTGGTATTACCACTGACAATGGCCGCGACATCTAACACGCCTTCATCGTCCTCCACATTATTATCTTCCGTCCCAGTTTGAGTGCCGTCCCCCGGGCCTCGAGGAACGGAATCAATCGTGCCATCTGCTCCTGTGGATGCAGCTGCAGCTGGGTTGGCGCCCTGTCGAGCAGTAGCGGCATCGCCAGGGATCGGAGTTCCCGGGGGAGAATCTCGGTGATGTTGCTTCGTTTGAGTTGCTCGCACATTTCCCTTGTGAACCCCTTGGAACCAAGCAGCTCCACGAGCCGGTCAGTCATGGCATCTCCTCCACAACCTTCCAGCGCGATTCCTCTTCCGTGTTCGTTGACCGCAAAGTCTGTTACGGCAGTTACGTCCACCTTGCCCTTTCCAACATCGATGATAGTTGCAGTTGAGGTGCCGTAGCCATAGCAGACGGCGAGTGCGGAGTCCATGAGACTGAAGGCAGGGGCCTTGAACTTCTCAAAGACGAATTGGGTAATGGCCTCGCGATCCCGTGCAGACCAGACGGGTTGGGCGATGAGCATGATGGGGGTATGGAAAGGCGGGCTCAGGGTATTATAAATATGTGTCAAAAGCGCAAAGAAACAGGGCCAGTCGACGATGCGCCCGTTCTCGATGGGATAAATAGCGCCTTGATCGGACGTCACGTCCTCCTCATAGAGGATCTCTTCGACGATCTTGGGCTCTTCTTTATTTTCAGTCTCACCAGTGCCTTCGCTCTGCTCTGCCCCTTCGGTGGTCGCGGACTTGTCGGTCGTCTCGCCATTTGCCGTGCCTTCTTGCGCAGCAGGCTCGGCGTCTTTCATCTCCACATCCTCCTTGAGCCTGTCCGTGCCATTGCTGACCTTGACCTCCTGACGCCTCTCACGGATCCGATATGGTTCGTATTCACCCTTCGTCTCGGCAGGGAACATGCGCGTGGGGAAACGGAATCGCGCGGGCGTGAATGTTTCGGGTAGACCGAGTTGCGCCAGGGTCATCTGTGAACCTGGCGCAATTAACTAGAGAGAGAGAGACAGAGTCAGCAATGGTTGAGGAAAGGACAAGTGAACAATCCTCACGCACCAGAATATGCTCATCCTTGAAGGGCGGCATCCTTGAGGCGGGAAGATGGGAAGGGCGCAAAAGCTCCGTTGGACATGGAAATGGGAAGGGTGGGAGGCTGGGCGGTGAATGGATTTACTCGTCCTGGACCAGTTAACTAACACTACATTGGCTATACTCGGGTACGCATCGTGTCATTATTAGTAGATCGAGTTCGGATCAATAGAGAAAATAACAAAACTCCAGCCCAAATGCAAAACGCCCCTTTTCTCTATGACCAGCAAGAGACCATCATCCTCAGCTTCTTTATTCAGGCCCCGCGTTGTACTTCTCCGTCGCAGACCGGAACAATTCCTGCTGCTGCCGCATCAGCTCCTCCTCGGACAGTCCGCTCTGCTCCATCTTGCTCTGCTTCTTTTCGCGGGACTAGTTGCGAATGTCAGCCACCCCATCCAGCGCACCTTCAGGGCCAAGAACCTACCTTGAGCTGCTCGCGGTGTTCCTCCGCGATCGCAAGCACGCTGGGGATATAATCACCAAAGCCCAGCTCCTGCAATGCTTTCTCCACGTGTTCGCAGGCAATCGTCTTCTTCGCCTCCTTCTCGCTGATGTCGTTGGCCTCGGAGGAGATCAGAGTGATGAACTCAACGCAGCATTCCATCAGCAGGTCGCGCGCATCCTTGGCGAAGGTTTGACCGGATGATGGGGGCAGGATCTCGGTGATGATCTTCTGGACCGTCGCTAGAGAGAATATCGTGAGCAAACCATACTCGGAAACACGGGAAGAATCAAGAAGAGAATAAGGACTGGTTTTCCAGGCGTACCTTTAGGAAGCGACAGGTCATCGTTTGCTGTGGATAAAATCAAGGGGTGTCAGTAGAATGCAGCGCACCAGGATCATGGCAGGCGCAGAGATCCGACTTACAGCTGAACTCTCGATCGGACATGGTGGTGGATGGTTGGCGTGTCTGTCTTTTGTTCGCGTCCGTCGGTGGATGAACTACCTATTGCGCGGCAGAATGACACCGCCCTCATCCACTTTATCAGGGTTTTTCTTTTTTTCTTCTTCCCTCTTCTTCTCTTCCCACTCACCTTTTTTTTTTTTTTCATGAAAACACCACCTCAACACTAATAATTATGCAAGGTATGCTCTCCCATTCTACTCCTTCTGCCCTCCTTTTACCATGATGAACCTTGTTGTCGCCCCTATCATACATACTATGGTGACGTTACCTGTCCTAGCCAAACGGACGAACTGATAATTTTGCTTTCCATCTGCTGCGCATCTTGACTCCTCGGGTGTTGCTCATTGCTGACGATGAGAAGAATTCTAGGAAATCACTCTTGAATGGTCTTCAATTCCCCGTGACAGTAATACTAACAGGTATGCGAAGACTTTTCTCCATCTCCCTCCCCTGCCCCCTATTCAATGATGATCAACCTACATTCCATGCTAAGTATGAAGGTGCGCTGCACCTAATGCTTCTAAAATGTAACTGCTTTTCATCTTTCGGCTGATTGATAACACACTGTTCTCCTGTGGAAATTTGGCATTCGTCATTCTCTGACAATTGATGCTAATCTGCTGTACAGTGTGACCCTGAAAGACCTTGGCTAGATCCAGAATAGACCAAATTTATTTATGCCTGAAATGTCTCGAGCTCCTTGTCGTTCCATCTGTAGACATAAAATCAGTAAAATTCACAGGTACTGCTCGGCCATGACATACGATAGAAAGCGCCCGCTGAGGTCCTTGGGTGCATCCAGCACCAGCTTGGCCATGACATGGCCCGGCTGCTCGGGCTGGAGAAGTTTTCCGTCCTTGTGGACCGTCGTGAACTTGGAGTGCATCTCGCTATCCAGAGTCGTGGCATGGTCCTCTCGCAACGCCCGTTGCATCTCGGTGTCCACCATGCCAGGTCGAATGGACACCGACGTCACATCGGGTTCCTCGGAGCCCAGGCTCATGGCAAAGTTGTTCATTGCCGCCTTGGTGGCAGCATAGATAGCCCAGCCCCTGTAGGCATTTACCGCAGCGCCAGACGAGGTAAAGATGATTTTTCCTTTGGTCTGGCGCAGAGCTGGAAGTGCGGCTTTAGTCTAGGAGGAGAAATCAGCACCCGGTCTCTTCATATAGAGCATATTGGACCAAGAACTCACAAAGGCGATGAGACTGATGAAATTGATATTGAAGGCTTCCTGCCACTGCTGCACCTCCGTGTCGGCGAGCTTACCCACCTGGCCCAGGATGCCGTGGTTGAGAACCATGCCATCCAGCTGGCCAAAGGATCGCAGGGCCAGATCGACAGCCTTTTGGGCCAGAGAGAAATCCGCCAGGTCGCCGTTCAGGACCTCGACCTGTTTGCTGTACTGCTCCTTCAGCTTCTGTAGAGGCTCCACGCTGCGGGCGACGACCACTACATTGTGGGATTGCGGGGCGGAGAGCAGGTACTTGGCTATGGCCAGACCGATGCCTCTTGAGGCTCCTGTGACGATGATGGTCTTGGCTGCCATTGGTGATATCCTGCGTTACTGTTAGGTATGGGTTGTGGTTCAGGCCCGGCGTTCTCCATGTCTCACCTGGGGTGTCTGATAAAACTCACACACGAAATACACACGGGACGAACAGACTGACTTCCCCTCCCGATTTGTTTATCGTCTTCCCGGAAGCGTTGAAGGATAATGTTCTTCGGTGCGGGGCTTAGTCAGTCGTGGGGTGGCACTTCTCAGTTCAACAACTCAACGTCATAGAGTGTGTTGTCTGTGATTGTAGGTAATACAGCATGCAGGGTATATCTATGGGAATTGTTGAATAGCAATGAAACTCCTATCGTGGAGATGAGATCATTGAACTGTGTATGTAGTAAACGTCGTTTCGTTCTCGAAATATATATCGTGCATCGAGTCCACGTAACGAACTGTGGACACTTTCGCACCTTTAACCCACAATGCCCCACGGGATAGGTAAGTGCGTAAGCTGGATTATATCGGTGATACTCCATCACCTCATTCATTCATCTTGCACTGCACTTGACTTCTTGACTTCCCCAGAGAGCATAGATCGGATCAAAGTTGTTCCACTTCAATTAGTCAGCCCCTTGGAGCTTCCAGAAACTTCAGGCATCGCCAGTCCGAGTCAAGCTGTCGTTTTTTGCCTCTTCACTTCTTAGCAACCAGCCGTCGCCATTCCCTCCTCCCTCTCGTCACTCCCATCTCCTGGTCATCCGCATTCCCCCTCCGACCACCCGCCATGGCTAACTATCTCGCCTCCATTTTCGGTACCGAGCAGGACAAGGTCAATTGCTCCTTCTACTATAAGATTGGCGCATGCCGCCACGGTGATCGCTGCTCCCGGAAACATGTCAAGCCGTCGTACTCGCAGACCGTCCTGATGCCCAACATGTACCAGAACCCCGCCTACGACCCCAAGAACAAGATGAACCCGAGCCAGCTCCAGAACCACTTCGATGCCTTCTACGAGGACGTCTGGTGCGAGTTGTGCAAGTATGGCGAACTCGAGGAGCTCGTCGTGTGCGACAATAACAATGATCGTAAGTGGAAGCTTCTGTTTCCCTCCTGGTGGCGTTCGCGCTAACTTATATACTCTCTCTGCAGACTTGATCGGCAACGTCTACGCACGGTTCAAATACGAAGAAGATGCGCAACAAGCCTGCGATGCACTGAATTCGCGCTGGTACGCCGCCCGGCCCATATATTGCGAGCTCTCACCCGTGACGGATTTCCGAGAGGCGTGTTGTCGTTTGAATAGCGGCGAAGGCTGTGTGCGCGGCGGGTTCTGCAACTTCATTCACCGCAAAGATCCTGGCCCGGAGCTCGACCGGGAGATGCGACTATCGACGAAGAAATGGTTGAAGGAACGGGGCCGTGATGCACGAAGCGTTACTCGGAGCCCGAGTCCAGAGCCGACCCGACGGATGTATTAGCGGGTGCGCCTGGTCTGGGACTTTCTAGAGACTGGCTATTGCTTTTTTCATTCTCGGCGTTGGGCGAAGACACTGGGTGATTCGATTCCACTATCCTTCGCGCGGCGGGAGCGTCTAGGTCGGGGGTTCTCGGTTCTATCCTCTGGTGCTGTTGATTGGCATTTGTATTATGATGATATCAGATCCGCTAGCAATTTATAGGAGACTTCATTGCCCTAATTAATCCAGCAAGCTCAAGTAGAGGTTGATGTTCGGAGTGAGTCTTGGCATCCACTTTGTATCTTTCCCACGCCAAACGCGAAACTTCGCGTCCCCTACTGCTCCGAACACCACGACACATTTTCTACCTAGCGCTCAGGTTTTGCCCGTGCCAGTCCTGAAACGTATTAGTCACGTCTTCAGAGCAATTTGCTCTGCATCATGGACGATGTCGAGTACAACGATGCCAACCGCGCCTTCATCCAGGCCTTCATGGCGCGCTCATCCATGACCTTGCCAGAAGCTCAGCCGGTCCTGGCAGCCATTATTTCACAGCACGGTACAGTACTCCAGGTATCTAAGGTGAATTCCAGTCGCTGACCCGACCGGTTTAAACAGAGGGTCGTACAGTCGACCCCGACGACGTCACCGCAGAGCATCTCTCCTCCTTCATTTCCGCCGCCAACTCGGCAATATCGTCCTTTGACCTCGAAATCCGCAGCTCCCTACACCAGACCCCTCAAGGAAACTCACAGGGTACGACTACCCCGGCGCCGGAGCGGTTCTATGCGCTCGTCAACACAACCAGCGACGCTCTAACGCAACTCGCGACCACCCACTCCGCCGACGAGATCGCCTTCGTCAAGAGGGTTCTGGACTACATGTTCGACACAAATAACACCCGGCGATGTGAAGGAATGGCCATCTCAAGCATTCAGGCTATCCAGCAGGCCAAGACTTCGGGAGATGCTAGTCGACGGCGGTCTACGAATGTCGGTGGCGCGCACGCGAGTCAGGGGGGGCTGCACAACCACTGAGCATGACACAAGCAGAGAACGTTATGAGGCGGCTGACCGATGAAGGCTGGCTCGAGAAGAGCCGCAAGGGATTGTTTACCCTCACCCCGCGGGCGTTGATGGAGCTGCGTGGCTGGTTGGTCTTGACGTATAATGACGATGTCACGCGGATCAAGAATTGCGCTGCGTGCAAAGAAATCATCACGGTGGTAAGGACCCTTCTTTTCTTGAAGAGCAGGCATAGTCTAACCACCGACTGCTAGGGCCAACGTTGTGGCGACCTTGATTGCCCAGGCCGTCTGCACGACCACTGCATGCGGAACTTCTTTCGAATGCAGCAAGCAGAAAAAGTGCCCCGTGTGCAAAGAAGAATGGCCCGGTGACCAGTTTGTGGGTGAGAGAGCCATTATCGCGCAGCAGGGCCGACGACCGATTACTGCTGCTGTCCCAAGCGAGACCGCACCTCCGTCGAGCGTGCCGAATGGTCAACATGATGCATCTCAAGAGGGAAATGGTGATGAGGATGAAGGATGAAGCAGTCAATGATGATGAAATGATTGACGATCTGAATCGCAGGACCACTCTATCAGCGGGTAAAACTGGGGTCCAAGGGCCACTCCAATTGAGATGTCCCAGCATGGTGCGGTTTCATGGGATTAATCCGAAACGGAAGAAACGCAAGCCCTCCCATGAGGTGGAATCTGGACTTCCCACCTCTTCTAGCTAGCTATTTTTGCAAGCGGCTATTAGAGTGAAGTACATCCATTCTCTGGGTCAGTGACCGTACACGAGCCCATTCCACCAGCCCAATCCCAGCGAGCTTTCTCCAGCCGAAAAGGAATATTTCGGCAAGAACAATTAAATAAATGTGTTTAAGCCCTCTAGCCTTGTAGTTTATTAAACATGTATCCATATTATTGTCGTTTACCCCGGGTGCGTTTAGTACTCCGCTTTTGTTTTCTCTCCGGACCGAACCGACCTTCCTCATCTACACTCAGGACCGCGATGCCTGCAACCAATAAATCCCGGCCAGGTACGCACTCTCTCCCACACCCCATGACATGTGAGTTGACCAGGTTAGGCTGTCTCATCTGCAAAGCACGCAAAGTCAGTATCTCATCTCCACCACATTTCTTCGCCCAGCCAGACCCCTAATTATGAACGCAGGTGAGATGCGACCAAGCACTTGGACCATGTCCCCAGTGCAATCGCTTGGGCCTGAGCTGCCCGGGACTATCAGATGAAAAGATGACGCACCAGGACCTGCACGCGATCGTCGAGAATGCCTTTCAGCATGCAGGGCGGCGACGACGCGTGCAGGGCGCCTGTCACGAATGCCAGATTGCCAAAATGCGCTGCTCCCGCGGCAGACCCAGTTGTCAAAGGTGTACATCGAAATCTCTGTCTTGCACTTATTCCAGTGAACGGGGCAAGCGACGGCGCGCCGACCAAGATGGCACCGGGGAATTGCCCGTCCAGGAATCCCAACGTGTCAGCGATGACCAACAACGGTTTGTGCGCCGTCCTGTGACCATGGAATTACTTCTCTTATATCTGATTTAGGGTGTTGCCTTCAAGTCTTCCCGATGACCCGGCTCATCTAAGAGTACTTGTCGAGTCTTATTTCGTGCATGTCCACCCTCTTCGATGCTTGAGTTTTATCCACAAACCATCATTTATTCAGTCATTGGACCGAGGTGAGGCGGAACAGGAATTTGGGCAAGCATTGATGTGTATTATCTGCGCCTTTGGAGCCCGGTGAGTCTTTCTAATATGTCTGTCGTCTTTCCTTTCTGACTGTGATTGCCACCTAGTCATTTGGACTCTTCTTCACAGGCTGAGAACGAAAGACTAAGTTTATCCTGGGCAACCAAAGCTCAAGAAATTGCTTTTCTCAAACTAGGTCATCCTAGTATCTCCAATCTGATGGTGAGTTGAAAACAAGAAAACACCAAGTTTTAGATATGGCTAACCCACGTGTACACAGGCATTGGTACTCTTATGCGAATGGCATATGCAGTTTGACCAAGAGAGTACGGCGTTTATTATTGCGGGTACCTGTTCACGCTTAGCTCAGCTGCTGAGACTCGACTCTGAAGCTACTGACGAGAGCTTGATGGGAATCCCGAAGACATTACTGACCGCAGAGAGAGAGGCTAGGCGCCGACTGCTTTGGTCTTGTTATATCCTGGATGTGCATATCAGCTCCGGCGTTGACTTGATCTCCAACTGGCCTTCATTACCACAGACACGTCTACCATGCTCGATTAGAGATTTCATATTGCAAACAGAACCTGAAACAGGAACCCTACGAGAAGGGAGTGATTATATCGATGCGCTTACTCAGTCCACCAACATGTGTCTTGAGGCTTATATTGTCCATGTCGTGTATTTCCGAAAACAGGTTCTGCGGTGAGTTCAGCATCCTGTCAAAGAAATTTGCATACTAACTGCAAGACTCAGGCTGATTCGGCGTTCCGACCCCGGTGTGCTCTCTGATTTTGCCCAGCTCATTACACAACTTGAAAAATGTGGTGAAAGTTTCCCCAGACACTTGCATCTCAACGAGATTAATGCATATGTCAATGAGGAAAACAATCAACTCTCATCCTTCTATTCGCTCCATCTACTGTACAACCAGTGCTTCTGCGATCTGTACCGAGTCACTCTCCCAGGATATCGATTTCCTTTGTCCGCAATCCTTACAGAGCAGAGACCAGATAGCGTGCGAGCCCTGCAGGGCCAATGTGCGTACTACGCTCAAAGGATCACAGCAATTCTTCAGAATGCATTGAGCCGAGGGACCAAAGGATTTGGTGATCCAATATGCGCAATTTGTGCCTATGAATCTTCCAAGATCCAGATTGTGTATGCTCGAACCTGTGCAAAAGAGGACAAGACTACTGTCACCCAGAACTTGGGTATTAATCTAACTGCCTTGGATATTATCACGGGCTGGGATAAGAAGAGGGTTGTTTTGGTAAGCTTACAGTCTTTTCCTCTGCCTTGCAGTCTGTCTGACTTCTATGAGGTATCTTCACTCGCGAAATTACTTCAAGATTTCGGATTTTCCGATTTAGCCAATGAGTGGCTGACACGAAACAAAATGAGGTGAGTGCCCACAACAAGCACGCAATGATAGCAATCCGATTAATATTGGTTCTAGATCTCACAGCAGCGATGATGCCCCACCAGAAACGCACCACCTACACCCGTTGGCGCTTTATCGAATGACTTGGAAAGAGATTTCATGGCCTCAAAGGACGGACACCAGTATTGCCTCAACATTATCGCGCCCAAGTTACTGGCCTGATGCAGGTAATGGCGATGATCGAGTACAGCAGAATAGCCCTCACACATCTGCTCCAATGGAGGAATTACCTTTCGATCTAGAAGGAATGCCTTCAGTAAACGATCAGCTGCTGCCGGACGCGGACTCCTATCTACAAATGGCGGATGATTTCTCGAATTACCTTACTTGGGACCCATGGAACTTTGGCTACTCTTAGGATAAAATATAACTGTTTACTGGTTTCAACCAGTTTAGCTTGCCTTTGCTCTCTATCTAATGCGGAATCTTGCCTGCGTATTGTGTAGGGACATCGCTTTTGCCAATGAATCGGATCCAGCGACCAGTATCTTCAAACTCGTCCAGAACACTTGTGATAGAGTGTTTGCCCTCTTTCAACTCCCCTGCCAGGCCTACTACGCCAACTTCCTCGGCGTAGATACCCCACAGTCTGAGCATCTCGCTGAAAAGCTCCGGCATCTTTTGACTCAGGTCATTTGTTTCACCGGGGTCAGAGATGATGTCAAATAGCTCCCACCTCTGAGGGCCCCGAGGCAGCGGCACGTATGTGATCTTATAGCGACCCTTTCGCAACGCACCGCTACCCGCGATTTCCCAGCCAGTGACATGATCTTCGCCGTGGATGGCCAGCATACCGCGATTAGTCTGCGATCCGCCGGTTGCCATTGCATCCAGGAATGGCTTCCAGCTGACTCCCCGCACGGGAGCAATTGATCTTCCTTTGTATGTGTTCCCTGGATGCTGGAGTCCGGCATAATCGAGGATAGTGGGAACAAAGTCCATGACCGTACAGAACGAGTCAACAATGCGACCGCCGGGGTTCTGGTTGGCGACCGGCTTCACAACCAACGGAACTCGGCAGCCACCCTCAGTCGAAAACATCTTGTACAGCCGCGATGGAGCCGTTGCTGCTTGCGCCCAACGACTTCCATACCAGACAAAGGAGTTGCCTCGGCCGATATTCTCCAGCGAATTGTCATAGTACCGGTTAATATGGGCCACGATGTCGTCACCAACAATAGGTTGTGCTTCATAGCTAGCACCTTCTGCGCCATTGTCTGACATGAAGCAGATGACCGTGTTGTCGTATTCGCCCGTGCTCTTCAGATACTCCAGAACCCGCCCGATGTTATCGTCCATGCGGCTGACCATGCCCGCAAAAGCCTCCATGGATCGAGCAGACTTCGCCTGTTCGTCGGCAGTCATGTTCTTCCACTCATCGGGTTCCCCGGAGACTGTGACAATCTCATGGGGCACCACGTCCTGCGCTACCATACCGAGATCCTTGAGTTTCTGCAATCGGCGCAGTCGCAATGCCTCCGGTCCATCTTCGTAAATACCCCGGTACTTGTCCATGTTCTCTTCCGGAGCCTGCAGGGGCCAATGTGGCGCAGAGAAGGGCAGATAGGCGAAAAATGGCTTAGACTTGTCATCCTCAGACCGTTGTGATAGAAACTCGATCATCTTGGAGGCGTAGTAGTCTGATGAATAGAAGCCGTCCGGTAATTTATTGACGTACTCCGAATCCTCCATATGCAATGCCGTCACAGCTGTCTCAAAGAAGCGAGGGGGCTCTTCCACGACATTTTCGTACTGCGGCTCATATCCTACAAACACAATTACTTTCTGCTTTCCCCAAAGGTGTTCTAGTCAGACATACCGTAGTGATTAGCACAACCTGGCAGCAGAGCAAATGACCGCTCAAACCCGCGCATATGCGGACCATATTCTTTCTTGAGACCAAGATGCCATTTGCCCGACATCACAGTGTGATACCCGCCCTCACGCAGTAGCTCGGGCACGGCAACCACATTATCTGTCAAGTATCCTTCATGACCAGGGGCACCTTGGTGAGCAGGAGAGTTTCGCACGAGCTCTGACAGCTGTCCGAGTCCGGTCAGGTGGTGATCCGTGCCGGTCATCAGCATTGCGCGTGTGGGCGAGCATGCCGCCGCAACATGAAATGACGTGAACCGTAGACCCCCTGCAGCTTGGGCGAGAGAATCGATATTAGGCGTGTTGATTTCGGACCCGAAACAGCTGCAATCGCTGAATCCGAGGTCGTCGGCGACGATAATGAGGAAATTGGGTCGGGATGCCATTGTTTAGGTATATCCAGGAAACACACACAAAGGAAAGTCAGGACCTGTTACATAGAGTGAAGGGGGGAAAAACCGCCCTCCCAAAGCTTCACTTTTTACACTTAAAATATGCATTCTGCGAGTTCCCCCACCGCTCACCTTGTTCTAAGGCGTGATAAGCTGGGGTGTGCACGACCGACAGACCCGCCGGGGCTCGGGAATTCGTCCGGTCATTCTCGGGGCTCGGCTCCGCTTCTCGCCCGGCTTTCGCCAAATTCCAAGTCTACCCCGGATTTTGAATTGAGCAATAGGATATAGGTCTCAAGGGGAAGTGGAGACCTTGAAGTATGCTCATCCAAAAGAGGTATTGCACCATCAGCCATTCAAGAGCGGTGGTATATAAGCCCCAGATGATCTCCCGGGCGAAGGAGCTAGGATTTGTGTATGAGCGCTTTGCCCCAAGCAAGACCTTCAGTTTGATTTCAAAATGACACTAAAAGCGCAAAGCGAAACCTCTTTGAAGGAGCGTTTGTCATTGTTTACTCCAGTGACGGTTTTTTTGACTTTGTACCTCTCCCCAAGCGCCTGTGATGTTGTGTGGCTGATACCGAATATGCAGTTACCTTTCCCTGGCAGCATTGAATTTCGGCTATGATGTTGGTATGTACTACTATGCCTCGCCTCATATAAGTGACCTAACTGACGTATATGATTTTTAGGGACTTTTTCTGGGGTTCAGGCCATGGATCGTACGTTACGCTGGTTTCGCTGCTGCATGAGATTGGCTTGCTAAAGTATGGATAGCGTTTATTCGTCGCTTCGGTTCATACGACAAAGTAACTCAGGATTATAGCATTCCCGGTTACTTGGTCTCGGTGATGAATTCGACTCCTTTCATTGGAAAATTGATTGTCTGAACCCTCCACCTAATTTACGAATACGTCGTTGACCTTTCCTACAGGGAGCTTTGGCCTGTGGCATTGTCACAGAGAGATGGGGACGGAGAAGTGCGGTTGCCGTTATGGCATGTATCTCTCTCGTGTATGTTCTTTCCTATGAATATCTTGAGGATCTAGCGCTGACTGTTATCAGAGGAGTCACCCTGCAAACATCAGCAACAACCGCAGCCCAGTTCACCCTCGGCCGCATCATCAACTTCGGCATGACGGGTTTCTGCATCGTGGTGACACCTATCTACCAAGCAGAATGTTCACCACCGGCGCTGAGAGGACTGATTTCGTCCACAGTTCAGTTCCAGATCCTCCTGGGCCAACTTATAGCGTCACTGGTTAATTTGGGGACGCAGAAAATAACCTCGAATTCTTCATGGCAAATACCTATTGGTACTTATTTGAAAGCTTATGGACACTGGTGATACTGACTGCAGTTTTAGGACTGCAATTTATCGTGCCCGTCTGTATTCTGGCACTGTTGCCATTCATGCCGGAATCGCCGAGATGGTGAGTGATGATTCTTGAGAAGCGTACTAAGTGGTTATATTGACATCGTTATCAATACAGGCTAGTGTCTAAAGGCAGATATGATGAGGCAGAGCGGTTTCTGAAGACCCTTCGACCAAAAAGTACAACAAGCGAAGAAATTTCGCTTGAGATCGAATACCTACAGCACTCAAGTGCAAATCAAGGTAAAGGATCGTGGAAAGAAGTGTTTGATCAAAAGAATCGGGTACGTCTACGCCGAAGTAGCATTTCCCACGGCAGACTGATTCACAGCAAATATATAGATCCGTACCGCGATCGCTGTTCTGGTAATGTTCTGCCAACAGATCACTGGCCAGGCCTTCATCTCGCAGTACGGCGTGGTCTTCTATAAACAGCAGAATATCAGTGACCCGTTTTTACTGGGCGTAATTCAGACGGTGATTAGCGTTGTCTGCAGTGTGATCACGTTGCTTTTCGTGGACCAGGTGGGAAGAAGGTGGGTTTCTATCGTACTGGTTGGGGGTAGGAACATAAGCGCTAATCGTCCATGCCACTATTATAGGGCGATTATTTTGACGGGCGGAACCGCGATGGGTTTCTTCCTGCTCCTGGTAGGAGGAATGGGCACGCTGAAGAATCCCGGGCCTAATGCCAAACGGACAATGGTGGCATCTTTGATGATGTATGGGGCATCGTATGCTCTATCATGGGCGACAGTGTAGGTCCTTTTTTGTCTCCTATACTTAGACTCCCACCTGACGCACGCGACTAAAACAGATCCTACATTATCCTTGGCGAAGTGGCCAACAGTCGCGTCAAGGAAAAAACGAGCGATCTTGCAGTATCGATTTCGGTGCTGACCACCTTCGTGGTGTCGTTCACCATCCCGTACCTGTTGGACGCGCCGTATGCCGACCTGGGAGCCAAGGTTGGATTTATCTACGGCAGCATCACGATCGTCTCGTCAGTGGTGGCGTACTTCATGGTTCCTGAGATGAAGGGGCGTTCCTTGGAGGAAGTGGACCGGCTGTTTGAGGCCCGAGTGCCGCTGAGGAAGTTTCGGCAGGCCAAGTTGGAGGAGGACCGGGAGCCAGAGAAGAGTGGTGTTTGAGAGTAACCCTGACGATTTGGCCCCTGAACCCCCAGACCTTCAATATGTATGCACATTAGGGTTAGTTGGTTATGTATGCTCAGTTAGTCAAATAACAAAACAGGCTTTGTTGGACTAAGTGTAACGCCCCAACTAGTATGAACATTGCCGGACAATTGTCGGTGATTAACTAGGTTTCGCCCTTAGGCCTCCACCAAACTTTCCGGAGTCGATGACGAGGCTGCCCGGTTCTCAGCCGGTGAGTTTGCCGGAAAACGTCGGCTTCCCATTGGAATTGACCGGGGTTCCCCACACAAGATTAAACGGGGACCAGCCACAGACAGCCCCTTACGCCATTATCCACCTTCCGTGGCAGGCAGCTCGTATTTCGCCGAAAAACTCACTAAGCTTCGACCATTATTATTGTACCCCACAGCCCGACCATGCCTGGATCGGCAGAATTAAATATTTTGCGTGCCCCGGGTGCGGAACGCGACTCCCTGTTTCATCTCCAGATTGTACTTTCCTGGTCCAAACAACACGCGACAAGATGCGGCCCAAAGTGAGTCCAATACCTCCCATAGCGCGAAAACGTGGACTGACTAACATTATTGGATCAGTCAGTGACCTGGGCAGTCTTGCCCTTACTTCTGTCCCTGGGAGCTTCTGTCGAAGGGTCTTTCGCAGCGAGGAATCGCGTTCGCCAGGGTATCCATCGACACACCGATTCGGTGGCCAACTCGAGCCAGAATGTGTACCAAACCGACTTCCCCGGAGTCACCTGGGACGAAGACAATTGGCTTCTCACCACCACGAATATCCAACAGGGTATTTTTCAGGCGAGAGGTTCTGTGGCTAATGGGTATTTGGGTATCAACGTTGCGAGCGCTGGTCCCTTCTTTGAACTTGATACTCCGGAAAACGGTGACGTGATCAACGGCTGGCCTTTGTACTCCAGACGCCAGACCTTTGCGACAATCGCTGGCTTTTGGGATTCGCAACCTATTACCAATGGCTCCAATTTTCCCTGGCTGTACCAGTACGGAGGCGACAGTGTCATCAGCGGCATTCCGCACTGGAGTGGGATCATTTTAGATCTTGGTGGCAACAATTACCTGGACGCGATGGTGGACAGCAGTGCCATCTCGAACTTCCGATCTACTTATGACTTCAAAGCGGGTGTTTTGCTCTGGTCTTACCAGTGGACACCGAAAAGCAACAACGGCTCCTATCAGATCACATACCGTCTTTTTGCCAACAAGCTGTACGTCAACCAGGCTGTGGTGGATATGGAAATTATTCCATCCACGCATGGCGAGGGCGAGATTGTGAATGTACTCGATGGATTTGCTGCTGTTCGCACCGACTTTGTCGAGTCTGGTCAGGACGATGGCGCTATCTTCTCTGCGGTGCGACCGAACGGAGTTAACAACGTCACGGCCTATGTCTACGCCAACCTCACTACTTCCTCCGCTGGCGTAGACTTGACATCTCGCAAGCTCGTCCATGACAAACCATATGTTAATCAGAATGCATCATCCATTGCGCAGTCTGTTCATGTGAAGTTCTCCCCGGGCCGGGCGGTGCGCGTCACCAAGTATGTTGGTGCTGCGTCCACGGACGCCTTTGCTGACCCTAAGCAAACGGCTAAGCAAGCTTCATACACGGCTCTGACCAATGGATACTCCAAGTCGCTGCGCTCGCACATCGCTGAGTGGGCAAATATCATGCCCGAAGACTCGGTTGACCGCTACTCATTTCCTGGAAATGGTTCTCTGCCTGCAGACAGCAACATCATTGACTCTGCAATCATCGCTGTCACCAACACCTACTACCTTTTGCAAAACACTGCGGGACAGAACGCGATCAATGCAGCTTCAGGTGCTCCAATCAATGATAATAGTATCTCCGTGGGTGGCCTGACCTCCGACTCCTACGCTGGACAAGTCTTTTGGGATGCCGATGTTTGGATGCAGCCGGGCATTGCTGCCTCCCACCCAGAATCGGCACAGCGGATTACCAACTATCGCTTGGCCAAGTACGAGCAGGCGAAGGCCAATGTCGAGACTGCTTTCACTAGCTCCCAGAACCATACTACCTTCTCCCCCAATGCAGCCGCCTTTCCCTGGACAAGCGCACGCTTTGGCAACTGCACGGCTACCGGTCCATGCTGGGACTATGAGTACCACTTGAACGGTGACATTGCCATGTCGTTGGTCAATCAGTGGGTGGCCAGCGGTGATACACAAGGCTTCAAGGAGAACCTTTTCCCTATCTACGATTCGATCGCAACTCTGTACGCCGACCTGTTGGTGCGAAATGGCTCTTCTTGGACTTTGAAGAATATGACCGACCCCGACGAGTATGCAAACGATGTCGATGCGGGTGGATATACCATGCCGCTAATTGCTGAAACGCTGATGCACGCCAATGCTTTCCGCCGTCAATTTGGGCTTTCTCAGAACGATACATGGAACCAAATGGCTGACAATGTCCTTGTGATCCGTGAGAATGGCGTAACCCTCGAGTTTACGACAATGAATGGAAGTGCCGTTGTCAAGCAGGCCGACGTCGTGCTGAACACTTATCCCCTAGATTATACCTCTAACTACACCAGTCAAGATTCACTGAACGATTTGGACTATGTGAGTACTGCATGATATCTGCATTTCAGCTGGAGATGTACTTACGCACTGAGTAGTATGCCAACAAGCAGTCGCCTGATGGACCGGCCATGACATGGGCCATCTTCTCGATCGTCGCGAGCGAGATGTCACCTTCCGGATGTTCCGCCTTCACGTACGCTCAGTACTCGTACAAGCCGTATGCCCGCGCGCCTTTTTTCCAGCTCTCAGAGCAGCTAGTCGACGATGCTACTCTCAATGGCGGCACCCACCCGGCTTATCCTTTCCTGACTGGTCATGGCGGTGCCAACCAGGTCGGCATATTTGGCTACCTCGGATTGCGTTTGCTACCCGACGACTTCCTCCATGTTGACCCCAACCTGCCGCCCCAGATTCCTTATTTGAGCTATCGGACTTTCTACTGGCGTGGGTGGCCCATTTCAGCTTGGTCGAACTATACGCACACTACCATCAGCCGTTCTACTACAACCCCACCTCTGCATACTGCCGATCAGCGCTTCGCCAACCAGACCATCCAGGTTCGCTCTGGATCGGACACAAGTGCGAATGTCTACCAGCTACCAGTGAGAGGATCTGTCGTCATTCCCAATCGACAGATCGGATCACAGAACACGGTTGCCGGCAACCTTGTGCAATGCCAGCCCGTCCAGTCGTCCGATGCATTTGAGCCAGGTCAATTTCCCATCTCAGTGGTAGATGGAGCTTCCTCTACCAAATGGCAGCCTTCATTTGCGACAAACATGAGCTCTGTCACCGTTCCACTCCCTGGGGATGAGATTGGCAGCATGGTCTCAGGCTTTTATTTTGACTGGGCACAGGCACCTCCTGTCAATGCTACCGTGATCTTCCACAACAAGACCATTCAAGACCCTGCTTCGGTCTATGCGTCCTCCACCGACAGCTCTGACTACACCGTTGTCACCTCTCTGTCGGACATCAAGCAATCCGACCCCTACAATGCGGTCACCACAAACCTTAATACTGTAGCCATTCCCAGCGGCAACACGACCAATGTGACCCTGTCATCTCCAGTGCCCGCCGCTCGCTATGCTTCATTGCTCATTGTGGGCAACCAGGCTCTTTCCCCGGTGGATGTGAACGCCAAGAATGGTACTGGTGCAACTGTTGCTGAGTGGGCTATTATTGGTCAGAACCAGCAGTCTCAGTCAAACTCGAGCAACACCAAGCGGGCCATGAACTGGCGCGATGCGGCAGCAGTTGCTGGTTCGGATGGGATTATGCACCAGCGGCGTCAAGCCGTCCCTCTCAACTGAGCGTGAGATAGTTTGGATGAGAACATTCTTTCCACGGTGTATTGTATATGAGTACTTGTTTACATAGTGATACCTCGCTCACTACAATATATTTTCCCTTTTAATCAAAAATCTCACGACAAACTGCTGCTTTGGGATGCACTGGTCTGAAAATTCAGATCCGAAGACTAAATTTAAATGGCTGGCCTCTAATATTTTCGCTAGATAGCATAGAAAATGAGTATGATGACATCAATCATCTAGAGCAAACCGATCTAGAAAACTGAACGTGTGCAAGCCCTCCTTGACGCCGTCCGCAACCATATCACCAACAGATTCCGTAACATAGACGCCGTTTCTACCAGTGGGTATCTGAGCTGAGTGGACGAATCGTAAACCACCCACAGCACCAACAGGCTTACCAAGGCGGAATACATCGACAAGGATATTTAAGGGCCGTCCCATGGAGGGTATGAGAAGAATGTATTTCCTTCATTCCCAAGACCGAGCCATTGAAGTGACTCCCTCAATCGCCGTGGTAGGGTCACTGCGATCCACGAAGCCGAATTTCTCATACAGGGGAGCACCATCCTTACTGGCATCCACATACGCTTTTAGACCTCCTTCATCTGCAATCTTGCATCCCCAACTGACAAGCAACGAGGCAGCCCCTCGTCTTCTGTGGTCAGGATGACTGGCTAGCATGTCTAGATCTGGACACCGAAGCTTGTCAGCATGGCCAATGATCAATAGGCTAGGTGGATATCATACAGATATGATTATTATCCCCCATAATCCTTACCCTCTCCCTATCCAAGCTTGCAAAGAAAGCATCGCAGTCTTGCCCCGGCATGTCAGCATGCCACAGCGGAAACCGACTACCGCGTTGTTGGAAGTCCACGGCCATGTCCCATTTGGCATAGGCCACCAGTTTAGGCCGACCATCTTTGTCAACTAATTCTGGGTCGACAACCTTCAGGTATTTCTGGAATGGCTTGTGAAGGAGGTCATGTCGATTGGCATCATCCCACCATTGTCGCACAGTCGAGGTGTCAGGGAATAGATGACGCATTCCAGGATCAGTGAAGGCAATATACCATAACTCGGTTATAGCAGGAATATCATCAATAGTGACCTCACCCAGCTGGAGGGAAGCAGCTGTCGACATTCCGGGTATGCGGTGTTAGACAATGCCGCTAATGGACCGGAGAAGCTGATTGTAGGTGATTTTGCAATTGTAAACTACCAAATAGCGGTCTGCAGACAGTGCCTTAAATAGGTTGCTGCAATGCAGTCTTCCATCGATTCCATTGATTTCGATCTTAATTCTGCATGGTCTTACATGCCCCGCAGCCCTTGCTGACCGGACCCTGTCAGCACATGCAGTAAGCGAGCAGATAAGACCCCAAAATTCAGGGCAAGAGAAACGCTGGCACACTTAAAATAGCAAGACTGTGTACGCACAATCTTTAGTGCGAATGTAATCAGTGATTTGGAGAAATGACAAAACCCGAGCTTTTGCTGGCCTTCTATTGTTGCTGTTGCACACCCTCACATCGCCCACACTCAACCTTGTGTGGGGTCAATCCGCCTGGTCGTAAACATCAATCGGGAGGGGAGAGTACAAAACATACGGTGAAAAGAAGAGTAGTCAATTTATGTGAAGTGTTTTTACGCGCACACTCGAGCTTGTTTATTTGAATTGAACGCAAACATGCATCTTCCCCGCAGATATTTGATGACGCTATGGCCCATCTAATAGCCTTGCTAAGGAGAACCTCAACTCTACCCGAGACACATCCGGTCGAATCCTCCTGGAATCAACATCATGCCCAAAATATAGCGAAAATGGGCGGTGTCGCTCTTGTCGAGTCGGGTATCCCGGAGACAGTGGAAGGAAATGTCTACGTATGCCTACATGGCCATCTTGATGCCGAAACTTCGCTGACTCGATGCTCGCAAATTCCTCCCTTCGGCTATAATCCACAGACTAGGAGTTATCCTTTTAATACTACTAGAAGCTAGTAGACTTTGCTACGCCATTCTACCTACACTTTCTACGGCTCTATCGCCTATAGGCGGAGTACAAGCCTATCGCCATGGGCCGTCGGCGCCCTCGCTGAGTCCCGGAAGATGGTGTGGTAGGCTCGCGACGGGACCATTCACGGTGGTGCTCGAATGCCTGGACCCCCGCTTCGAGACACGCTTTAATGGCTCGCTGCCTCACGGCGTCACTGCCCCGCTCAGTTGTCCCTGATCTGCACCAGCCTCATATCACAACAGGAGGTAGAGCGCATGGTCCTGATTACACCACTCTTCAAAAAATGGAAAAAGAAAAGAAAAGTACAGTCTATATTTCTCGATTTATAGAAAGGCCGGCTATTGAAGGCCCACCCGTAACTTCTTACTGGTGAGCACGGATTGATGGAAGACGACCCACAAGCCCAAACTGGGACGAGATGCTGTAATGGGATGAAACTGATCGAACAGAAGACTTCACTGCTGGCAGCCATATTGGGAGCAGGCTGGCAATGACCTGTCAAATGTAGAAACCGTACTCCTGATCAGGAAGTAGTGGAAATGGATAAAGTCAATTCATAAGAAGATGGATGATAAAACTAGGATACAGGCGCCCGACTGGCAATACTGGGAAGGGGAGGCGGTGGCAGAATTTGACATCCGCCGCGCTTCTCTCTACACTATGATGCTGAATCCTGGATGACGCTGCCATAAGTCAAATCATCCTGGGTGCCTTAAGAGGGCTAGTGTACTACTTTCCAGGCAATAAGAAATTGCATGGTGATTGATTACATGCAATTTGACTTGAGAACCATGTAATTTCCGGCTGTTAGAGATTACGTAAATGTGAATTGTCCCTTACCAAACACCGCCGCTGCAATTCTAGTAACTAAGCCTGTTTGGGGGAAGAGCGACTCATCATCTCCCTTTACTGTTCCCCTTCACCATCTCTCCCATCAATGATTGAACATCTTGACATTTCAGAAAAAAAAAAAGCTCTTTATTTAGATGCCATACTCACGAAAGATGTTTCGGTTTCCTACCTTAGCAGTTGATGAACTTCCCCTCCCGGACATTGAACGTGTTTTCCACCTCACCCAAGCTGATCACACGGACTGGAGCCAGTTCCAGACACCGTTTGAGATTCCCGAGAACTCTAGGTCTTATCTCAGTACTATTGACACCTCAATTTCTAACTCGGATGGGATACATGAGATTGCGTTGCAACAGCGTCTGGTCATGCTTCTCACTGCTGTCTATTCCGCTGCCCCCAAAGACCCTCGCTTCCCTGGTTTAACCAAGATTCCTATCTCCGGCAAATGGAGATTTTCATTCCAGCCGATTGTCTATGAGGGAGAACTGCGCTGTCTTCAGGGGTCCCCTGATTACTCGCTTTGGTATCATCCCGGCGCCGGGAAACAAAGCCTAGCCGTCAGTCTTATTATTCTGGAAGCAAAAAAAGGCCAATCTGCCCTTTGTGTGCCCCAGGCCCTTGCCTATATGGGTAAACGTTTCCACTTCTTTTTCACGTCGACGCTAATCATCTATCTAGGCATGATTCATACACAGCGTCGGTATGAGCATATGATTGAGCATACAGTTTTTGGTCTCTCAACCGATAATAACCAGTTCCATTTCCTTCAAATCAATACCCACGGCGAGGTAATTAAATCCCTATCTTCTACTCTGTAATGAATTACACTAATTTAAACCAGTGGTCTCAACTAGACTTAGACTATTCCAATCATCGTCAGGAGATCGTCGAAACTCTTGCCTATTTCCACAGACAGGCCTCTATACTATCGACCTTGGCTTACAGCAATGGAACTAAAGAGAACCACTCGAAATCCCAAGTGGAGGGTGCCCTTCTTGCAACGGAGGGCTCGCAAAGCAAGTCCGTACCAGACGAAGCATGTTCTACACTTCAAGTTGAGGATCATTTTATCGACGATTGGGATTCGGATGGTACTTTTGGTGATGACTAGGCGTGGATTGATGGTGCATTCTTGTTTCATTTTTGTTTCAAGAAGATATCCAGATACCGAGAGATATCATGCTCCCTTGCTGATCACTGTAACCGAATCCTTTCACATGTTACCGTGCAGTCGTGCAATCTTTAGCTTCCTCTGCGGCGGTCTTTAGCTGCCACCTAGAGCAAAACACTTCTAACCTAATTGTTCACAGTCCTTCTACTACTTGAATTTATAGCCAGCTATGAAGGTTCTTGCTTACTCGACTCTCGATATCGGCTACCTAGGTATCGTTTCGTAAATCCGGCCCCCTCTTTCTTTCTACTTGCATAATAAACACGAACGTAGAAAATATTTCTATTACATGTCTTTACTCTAGAGCCTGGCCTACGTATTGGTCAGATTTGCTAAATTTCACTATTTCGGGGTCAGTAAAGCTGGCATAATCTACCATGTTTTCATGGGTTTTAGTAGTTAGAAGGAGTCAAAATTGTTGAATATTGGAAAACCACATTATTATAGAATTGAAGGCAATTTCGAAACAAACAGGTTAATTCGAATAAATAATCTACTCCCCTAAACCCCTGTATGCTTAGATGTCAGGTACCTAAACCTGTAAAAGATCCAACTCCTAAATCACGTAACTTCTAAACTCCTAGACCCCCTTATTATGTAGTATAAGTAAGAGGTGAATTCTAGCTGGTCCAAAAATCCTCAAGCTATCTAGACGAAGGGGATCTTTGACAGAGTGCCAGAAAATTAAGCTACAAGATGCAATGTTGGCTCGGTCTCGAGTTTGATGGCACTGTATTCCAAGACCACGTTAGGAATTTATAGAGCCAACTAGACGGTCTAATGATGACAGAGGAAAGTGGAAATGGCTTAAGCCAAATATATAGGGGAGAGGGAGATTTATCAACACAGGTGTTGGCGATATGCCTACCTAGTCTTCCACCTCGGTGCTGTTAAATTTCTCTTTCCTGGATAGTTCAATGAACCATAACCTTCCTCGCTCCCATCATTTCTCTCTACCAACAGGCAGCACATCTGGGGCGAAGACATAGACTATGTCTTCAACATCTGTGTTCTCTGCTAGTATGCCGCATATATTCTCTGTTGTCATGTCCCAGGCGCTCGATGATCAATTGATCTTCCTATGCAGCACACTAAAGTCCCCCTCCAGTACAGCCCTCAGCGGTAACGTCCTTGCTGTGGGTTGTGACTTGCCAAATTTTTGCAGGCTGGCTACAAGCATACAACCAAAGGTACCCAATGTGTCGCAAGGAGACACAATTAATGCACGAGCCCTCGCTGAGATGAGTGATGAAGTCAGCAGCGCTCAGCCGTTTTGTGCGTGACTACCCTTAATTATTCAGCTCTCGGGAATTTCAAGGCTCAACCTTCAAGGGTCTACAGAAACTCATTTGAACTGCCATCCGGGAAGATGTTATTTGGCCATAGTAGTGTGGTAAAAAGCCTCTAATTGATCGTAGGGAAGACAATGGAACATATCGATGCTTCTGACATGGACTAGACAGGTGCTCAGAACACTGTCCTTGCCCAGAGACCGGCTGACATTCCGAACGGATACTAGTCCTACGAGGCATGCGTTCTTTCTGGCCTTACCGGGCACTGGCTGGTACAAATTGGAGCTCGCCATATCTTCATAACAAGTTGGTACGTATAATATTGGTTTGAGGCCTGAAAATAATATGGATTTACTCATGATGATATACAGGAAACCTCGAATAAGTGGATACATTTGCCACTACCATATGGTCAAGGTATAAAGAATCTCGCTCTCTTGCCTCCGGTTGACTTCATATCTTAAATAACGGCACCGGCTAGGAAATATTCTATAGAGACGTAGCCATGTTATACAACGACTCGATCTCAGCTAACTCACCCAAACCTTTGCCAGCTCAATACTCAAGTTCACCCTCAAGCAACAAAGAGACTTGTCAGATAACACCTAGGCTAAAAGGCCCAACATCTATCAATACAAATTCAGAAAGCCTTACAAACTTCAACCTCCTTCCCTTTTGCAAAAGGTGGCGCATACAAGGCCGCGAAGCAGTGCACTGCTTAAAGAGTTGTTCTCCTCTCGATGGTAGTGCTATAGGGGCAATGAAGAAGGCTAGTTAGAACTCACGCAAAGACATTCTATTTCGACCTCTCTACATTCCAAATTATACTCCACAGCCTCTAGACAGGGACAGAATTTCAATCAGCGTGCCAACTAATCCAATGAGAAGTTTCTAGATACTATCTAGTTCCTTTTAGAAAGTATTTCTTTTGTTGTTCAAGCTCGACAGCGAGAAAAGGCTCTTCGAAGCAATAAAGAAGAAGCATAGCAAGACATATACCGCTTTGTCTAATACGCGTGTTCCGAGGCACGGTCAGGATCGCTAAGAATGATGTATCGGCCGGTCCGGTACTCTCCAAGGTGAACCGATGACATCCAGTGCCGACCCAGCAACAGCGTATACGACGGTCGACCGTCCAGGACGAAGAATGCGGTGATCAATTGTCCCTTGTACCGGTCATCAACCATACTAGTTCAGCCGTATCGTTTTTCGACCCATATGCTATGTCAAGCTTGCAATTCAGAGTCGGACCGTCCGAATCTAAAGAGCAGTCGCCACGTGGCGCGGCATGAGGTTGGAATTTTGCGCTTCCATCGATAAGAGTGTACCGGTCGTTAGTAGTGATGATTTTATCATCCACTGCTTATCCTTGGATGTAGGACTCGACATAGAAAAACGCCGTTGTAGAGTGGGCTAGCTAACAAGGGGTCATCGTGCCGAGCCGTATCCCGTTTCCCCGGAACTGGATCGTGAGCGGCTACCTAGTTGGCCCATACGGTATCGTTCGACTGTTCCCGCGAACCCGGCCGTGCTAGCCGTGGATATAGCCGTAACATTCTACTGAGATCTGCGCGTGCTATAGGGACCACATCTACAAGTTGCGCGAGCGAAAGGGTGACTTCGGACTCGTTAAGGACTTCATAGCGATCGGATCCCTTTGCAATCCCTAGATATGACGATTGGCATTCTTAGCCGTATCGGAAGAGATTAGATTGCGGTTCCCTTAGTTAGAGACTAGTTGTTCCCCCTTCCCACGGTGAGTGCTCGATTCTACTAGCCTATATCTGTGGAGTGGCTCTGCTAGGCCTACACTGTCCCCCGTTTCGACCCGAACGCATTTATAGGTGGATACGTAAACATAGGATAGCTCGACTACCGGATTGCAGCCCGTCCGAAAGGTAAAGAATAGCAAATTAGGAAATCCGGAAGCAAACTTAGTTCGTACTACCGCCACGTTGACTTCGCTAACCGACTAATCCATAATTCTCTCATCGCCGTCGTCGAGGTACTAGACATAAGCGGTTGAAGACACTGGCACCGGTTGCTGTAGTGCGGGTTTGTGGAAATAAGGTTGGAATCTAAACCTGCGGTGGAGTGGTTGACCACTTTTCTCCGCTAGGGCTGGGACTGCTATCGCTATTGTCGTTCTATAGCGAACCGATCTCGAAGCCGCCGCTTCTCATCTGCCGACAATGGAGCCTTACCACAGTTCGGTCCGATGTGTCCCTTTTGACCACAACGGAAGCAAGTGGTTTGTGACATGTCCCGGAAGGGCCATGCAATTGACTGGGATATCTGTCTGGATCTCCTGATTCAGCACCCGACGCTGCTTTAGCCCGCCTCCGACTGCAGACTGAAATGGTTGCATTCGTCCCACGAGCTTCTCAAGAATATTGTTCTGACCAGCAAGGGTTTCTGTGATCATATCATCCTTCGCTTTTACAACCACAAGGTCTTCAAGGCCCGCCCGCTCGCTCCGGCATGTTTTAGCGATCTCAATCCTCTCTCAACCGTAACCAGACGTCCTGATTTACGGATATTTCGCTGTTTAGCCAGAATGAGTTGTGCAAGGTTTTCGCTAGCGAGATTTTGTGCCAAACACCTCCTGCAGTGGATTGCTGGATATGGAAACCGTGAAACTATTCAGGGAGTAGTGGAAACTGATGATGTGTATTTCTTAAAGAGGATGATGATCAAACTAGAATACGCACGCCCGACCGGCAATTACTGAAAAGGGGAATTAGAGGGTCGTCAACGTCCATGACTACCGCCCATGTTTTCTGGTATTCTGCTTTCTAGATAATAAAAGGCTTTACAAAACTCAGAGAGTGATATCTCAAGTGCCTTTATCTACTAGTCGGCTAAAGCTTAATATTATAATCTAATTAATGGATCGTCGTAGACCATATTGTAGAAAATCTTTAAATGCTATAACGCTTCACAAATGGACCTTCAACGCAGATGACTCTTGACATTCTGTACGCCAAAGCATTATGCGGATTAGTCACTTGTAGCTGTGCACCAGATGTTATTGTGGTCAAGGAAAGAGAGGGTTGAAGGGTTACTAAACCTAATCAGGAAATGGGTAACTTCCATTCACTATAGGACGCAATTGATTTCCTCCCCCCTCTCCTCACGCTCTTGAATGGCTCTTTTCTTTTCTGATAAAGAATAACTAAATTCCCACGATGGCGCCTCCGCTCAAGAGGATTCGCGACGTTATTCGCAGTTTCATCGAAAGAGATAAAACAGAAGACGCTGAGCTATTGAAATTGGCCAAGGATCTTGAAAAAGAAGCCCCACTCCCCAGTCTCGCCATCTCGTCCCTGAATTTAGGAGATGTTCAAGTCATTCTAAATCTAAAGTTCATTCGAACCGACCCAGAACTCAGCCTTGTCCCATCGATCCCACTCACCCCCGCACTCAGTAAGCCAATCAGGAACAAAGTAAAGAAGGTCATATGGGGCTAATTTAAATCAATTTAGATGACCAGATCGAGCTGATAGATGAAGTTCTCAATAATAGTGTTTCGAATGAAGCCAGCATTCGATGGAAACTCAATGCCTTGATGATGCACGCTCACCGGATGGCCACGGCGGACAAAACCGCTTCCAACCAACCAATCAGTATTCAGACTGAATCGCTTTTCTCCATGGGGCCAGTAGTGCATGATGAACAACAGTGGACTCTCACAGGACGACCCGATTACACGGTCTGGTATGGAAACAAGGATCATGTGTCCCTGAATGTGGTCGTAGTTGAAGCAAAATGTCAGCAAAGGGGGTTGACCGGCCTTCCCCAAGCGCTCGCGTATATGGGTAAGTGCTTCAAGGCCTCTCTGAAATTGATTTACACTCTAACTCAATTCAGGTGTTGTCCATCACCAACGCAAAAAGCTCGGCAAGCGTGACTCTACCGTTTATGGTGTCACCTGCGATGATGTTGAATTTCGATTTTTGAAGTTGAATGATAATTCGGAAGTAAGTTCATGTTTATTATGTCATTGATCTCACTGGATTATTCTAACATTTGACTAGTGGTCAGAGAAGCACGTCACAGCGCGTGAACAGCAGTATGAGCAAGCCTTCGGTCTCCTTGTTTTTCTTATGAAGAAAGCACTTTCACTCTCCCCGATTCACTCAAAAGAATCTTCTGCTCAGACATATGATACGCAAGGATCGAGTCATGCCTTGGGATCGCATGCTGAAGACCTTATGGATGAGCAAGAGTAGGCTTTATGCTTCTTTACCTTTTATTATTAGCTTGGTCTAAGAAGATTCTCAACACGGATTGCTGACTTGCTGCCGCAAGCATTCTTTTACTTCTTGAACTTTCCGTAGTTGACTTTATTTCTCTAGATGGAGGGAAATCATGGCAGTTCCGTCGTCTCACTCATCGATGACGATCAAGGCGCGGCTGAATCAATCATAGATTCGGTTCGATTTCTACATATCTAGTACTTCTACGGTTGTCATAGTCTAGACTGACCCCAGGCCCGAAGAAGACCCTTTTCTTTATGAGCCGGATTAGCATCCTAGGTCATGAATGTTCAACTACGGGATTGTGGCCCTCAATAATCCGCGTCCACATGGTAGTCCCTGTGGGTCGAATTTCACCTCCGGAGTCAAGTGACCAGAATGCTCAGCGCCAACCTCTGAGCTCGTGGTGAAGCTGTGATACTCGAAGAAGATGCATAGTGAACCAGGCCTCATAAGCACTATGGCACGCTCAGAATATCAAGGATGTGGCATTTTGTAAGTATTTCCTTCATATTTTGAGGCTTTACTGACCTATCCCATTCAACCTACCAGACAAGACGAAGGGGGACGTGACAATCCAAGAATGAACCGTTCGCGTATGGATTGTTCCGAGGTGCAAAGACCTGATTGAATTTAAATTTGTGATTTTAAGACATCGATTGATGCAACAACGCGTTTCACTGCCCTTGCCCATACTCCTCGCTTCCCGACACCTCATAAGATTCATCGTAAACCTCTGTCTCCAAAGGTCTGCCCTTGATAGTAAGTTGCTGAATTGGTAGAAAAACAAATAGTAGACGACACCACTCCGTGTCACTGCTATTCCGAAATGCATGAGCTGTCCCCCTTTGTACGCTGACATCTCCTCGGCGCAAGTGCCGACATGCACCAGAATCTAGAATCAAATCGACCTCTCCTTCCAGTACAACACCGTAGTCCAGACTCACGGTCCGATGCATTGGAGTCACCTTTCCCGGACGGAGATCGATTAGCCGAAAGACTGTTCCCTGGCCCGTGGTAAGCTCAGGTGGCTGGTGAAGAAATTCATCGTACATAGCTACATCGGCTTCATCATCGATCGATGCAGGAACACTGGTTGTTGCGTAGAGGAGGGCAATCTCGCCATCTTCGCCAGCTGGTTTGGATGGGATATAATCGGGAATTTGGGAATGGGAGACAAACACTGCTTCGCCATCGGTACTGTGGGTGGTGATATAGCGGTGGATGTAAGGGAGGTCGTTGTCCTTGTGGGGGGACATTGCGAATTGACCGAAATGGCATTTGGAACCTATGAGAGTTGGGTATAGACACAAGTGCTAAATGGGTGTAAGTCCGTAAATAATATGCTCTTGCTCTCTTTCTCAGTATCGGAGCAGAAGCCACATCATGATGGCATCATCTGGTTTCCAGGTGAGATACTGTTTCGTGACGACATTATAGAATAATTACTTGCAAGTCAACCAATAATAGCAGCCTCGTTTGTCGACCATCTAACTCTCATAGTAGATACTAACAGTAAATATACCGAACGTCTTAAGCGATGTGCCTTGTCCATGATATTTGCAGGCTTGTTCCCGAGATGATCCTCCAGCATACGCCTGTGTCCGCCAGAGGTTTTAATTCCATCTTTCATCTCACTTGTCATTTTTCCGATGCATTCATCCGGACTTGGGCCATTGTCAAAGTCGGATTCATCGCCTTTGGCCACCAGAACCTCATTCCAGAGATTCCAGTTCATCGGTCCATCCGAAAGCATCCGCCAATTGCGAACACCATTGTCACAAGTCCCAATCACATAGACGTCGTATCCACGAGTCTCCATGTCGGCCGATATTTCCATGTTAATCATAACACGGGAAAGATCTTCTTTTATCAGCCTAGGCAATCTTGAACAAGGTGCAACATTTAAGCTTGTTCCCATGACAAGCATCAGATCTGCCTCGTGAACCTGTTTTTCTTTCTCTTCGAACTCGGCGGGAAGGTTCTGTCCGAAGAAGACAATATCGGGCTTCACCACACCATAACATCCTCTCTCAAGACAATATGGTACTTCGCCAGCAGTAATAGCTTTCTTCATCAGGTCATCAGGATAATGCATCTTGCATTTGTAGTAATGCTGGTTTTTCCACAGGCCCAAAGTACCTTTCCGGTAGGGACGCCTGCATCTTGTTCCAGCCAATCAATGTTCTGGGTAAAGAGCAAATGCAACAGTTACTTCTTGGCAAGAAGGCCAAGAAAGGCATGTGAGAGGGTTGGTTTCAGGTTCCAAGATGACGTGCTCTTGCAATGGCGTAGAAAGGCTCTGGGGTCTAGCAAAAGTAGTTGATAGGAGATATAGCCTCAGGGTAGGGCAATTTCAGCGGCGTAAGCTTGTCGTAAAGGCCAGCGGTGGGGTTTCTAAAGTCTGGGATTCCTGCTGCAGTAGAAATCCCGGCCCCTGTTAAGACCACAATACGCGTGGCTCCAAGGCTTTCTGAATTCGAGGCGGGTGCACTGACGTGAGCGTAGTCTGCATCAGTAGTTTTTGCAGTTCCTCAAACCTTTGAGGAGTTGAAGAACCCCAGGGGTGCTGGAAAGAGCGTCTTAGTGGGGATGCGTGACATATGTGCTTTTGAGAAAAGCCATGCCGCAAAAGGAATTGCTCTACAACTATTGTGTAATCTGTCCACAAAGTATAGACAGTTCCATAAAGCAATATGAAACATTCCTTTGTATCAGAATAGATTTACCAATGCACAAAATAACGCCAAGTCCCTGAATCCTAACTGGGTATATTCCTGTAACTCATGCTCTTGATCCTCCCGGAGAGATATCCCGTAATGCAACAGAGTCATAATTCTCATCATTCAAACGATAGAACTTCCCTTCTGGACTGAGGGAGTCACGAACCCACGGCCGACCAGCTGGGTTCAATGAAACATTCCCTCCAAAGTGCGTAGTCGGGCCGTCCAGATCAGGTACGGGAACGTCTATGCGCTTTTTATTAGGTTGACTGCCGGAGGATGTTGGTTCCTTATTGTACTGCGAGTTTTGCAAGCGGAAGACCCGAATGATGAGTGGTCCAAGGGTCGGAAGGCAGGCGGCGATGATGGAACAACAGGACTCGACGCTGGTCCAGAGGGAGACGCGAGCGACGCCATAACTGGGATCCGACATGTCAAAACCAGGGAAGCAGCTGAGGCGGACAACAGAGATGACACAAACACTGCATGACAAACGTTAGTAGGTATATATCAAATAAAACAAGAAGAAGCATACAAAGCACCCATGCCAAAGGCACCCGAGATCATGATCTTTTTCCTCAGCGAGAGTTGTAATGACCACACCATCGGCACACTGAGCGCAACAACCATGATATCTGTTACCATGTTGAAGCTACCATTTGCAATTCCGAATTTTCGCATGTCGATGCAAGTCTTGTTCTTTATTGATGTGTCCCAAAGTGCCTTCAGCGGAATACAGGTAAACATGGTCGCAAAGAAGCATGATATCCACCAAGCAATCACGATACCGCCAGCGATATAGGCGGCAATACGAAACCTGGCATGGACGCTAAACACACGGTAGTATAGTAGTAGTACCGAGACTTTCGTGACAGTCTGCGTAAGGAAGTAGACTTGTTGGAAGGCAATGAGGTTCTAAAACATGGATAGACAATTAGCTTTCTTATCAATGGAAGAAAAGCAGTTCATCGTTGAGGTTTACCTTGGCGGTTTCGACGCGCTGCCACGGAGTGAGGGCTTGGATATGGTGGCCGGCATTCAGGTATTTGGCTGCGTAGAGGATGCCGATGGTGAGCGAAAGCTCGCAGACCTGGTTCAGCAATTGTTAGTCAAATCCATGAAATATGAACTTCCGCCCAATTGCGATGCGACAGCGACGACGGCAATCATACCATGGCTGCAAAAATAGTCCAGTCATCCCACCAGAAATTAACATTCGCGTATACCCTTGATGCGACGCGCAAAAGCACGGCGAGGAAGGCGAGCACGGTCATTGCGATCACCGCGGGGAAGGTGCCCCCTGAGTCGTCCTGCGCCAGATAGGCTGGCGTCAGAGCAGCCATGGCAGGGATGTCGTGGAGAACAGATGCAGGGCGAATTACATTCTGGTCTGGACGAGGAAAAGAAGGCAGAGGAAGGAATTGTAAAAGCCAAATCAATAATAACGGTTAGAAAAATGGTAAATAATATTAATAAGGAGGGTAGTAATTATTGTTATGTAGGGTCGCTAGCATGACTTCATAGCGAACTAGTCACCAACGAGTTAGAGCAGCGTTCTCAAGGCGCAACCAGAAGGAACTAACCGGAGCAGCGGGACATAGCCCGCGCAGTCACTGGACAAGAGGAGAGTTACAGTTTTAGCCTTTCCCGTCCTTGGAAAAGGAGGTGTCCGGTTAATAATGCAGCGCTCCACATCGTGGGATTTCTTCGCCCGCCCCCATCTTGTAAGGAAGACTGTTGAGCAGGATATTCGATCCCAACTCCTGCTTAAGGCTAGTGGCAATCCACAAGCCCCCTCGTGGCCGACGCTCGAACCATAGAGTCGATAGTACATACTAGTTAAGGATCTGTGAAAACGCTCGTACCGAGGCTGTGGCTCACTATCTCCTTAATCTTGCCACATGGCGTTTGTTGGCAAATTAGCAAAAATGGGTGCTTGGCACTAAGGCGTGAGTGGGTCTGCCCTTATGTAGCTCCCAATTCGTAGCAATAATCTCCGACGCACTTTTACTCAGTGTGGATTCAAGTCACAAGACGGACTGCTAGTTAGTACATAGTACTATAGAAACATAGGCCATCTGTAGCATGTGTCAAGACATGGTTGTGGCTTAAAGCTTGGCAGAGTAAAACGCCGGTTACCGGCTTTTCGCAGAAACAAGGGCCTTACAATGCCAGTGTTCCCCGCACATGGCCGTGGCTTGATCGATTTTCATGACACAAGCCCCGAATCATTGCTCAAATGATTGGCGGAGCTACTTTTGGCCCCTGCATGCTGTGTAAAAACTGCACAGTAGTTAATGGGGCCGGTATGGCTGTTGGTGAAGAATGGCGTTGCAGGAGGCTTGAACTAGAAGAATTTTAGCCAATTACTGTTACTACTGTGGACCAGACTATGTATTCACACTCGTAAATATTGGCGGTGTCTGTCTGCCCCAATAATTCTTCAGTCACGCGCACAAAAATGCGGAGGACTACACAGATCTTTGTTCCGTCCGCTGCTAATTAGTGCATCTGGCCGTGATAATAAGCTACCGTTGCTAGTAGAGTTTTCAGAGTCAACCAGAGATTGATTGTACAGTCGCGACCGTTATTGCCTTCCATGTCAGAAACATACAGAAGTCTTCCAAACCCTAATCACATGATAAGCTAATCCCGATATGGCTATTTAAGTAACGGTCTGTTCTGAGGTTAAATGATAATACGCGTGAAATCATGAGGAGGCGACCTTTCTGCCACAAATAACAAGTATCCAATATATGTAAAGACGTAAGGCGGCAAAGTGTGCAACCCAATAAGAAACCGAGATACATGCCCGACTTGAGGGCGGGTACTCCCCAATTCGATAAAACACTGGATTTTCATGATCTGTAAAAGATCGGCCCGATATCAGATTAGGTCTCACTGTACAGAAACATCCAAACTTTCTCAACTTTGTTCCCCGCCAGTCTGTCCATCTCGGGTCGGTTGGCTGGGAAGCGGGGAACAATGGCATTCGCGAGTACGAGGAACCCCTCAGTATTAAATTCAATATCCGCACTTCGCACGACAACAAAATCCTTTCAGTCAATAACGAAGTATCGATATCTCCAATTGACGCCTGGTTTCAACAGATTGCTAAAATACTGAACTGAACAGTGCTGAAGATGGGTGAGTTCAAATCTCAAATTTAAAACCCGCCGGACATGGAAACTGATGAATGAATGTTTCATCAATGTAGGTTACTGGGAGGTTAGATTACCCTTCTTGTTGGGCGGACATGAAGGTGATTTCACATTTTCTTTTCTATCTAACTGATATGAGCTGGATGTAGGTACCATGCCAGTTCTGCAAAGTCAGCTTCAACATCAAGCGGATTAGGATGAAGGACGAGCCGAGGTCGGCGGCCATGAAGAGTGGTCACAGAAATCAGTGGATTCAGGGGCGTCAATTCCATAAGGACAAGGAACAAAAACAATTCGAACGTTCCCAACGGGGTGGCGACGATGATGAGGAAGAGGATGAGGGAGAGGAGGAGGACGAAGATACATATGAGCTAAAAAGTTGCTCATCGTCGACGGGCTGCGGCATGGTGCTCCGACCGGATCCCTTAGGTCGCTGGTGGGAGGATCCTGCAGAATTTTGGCTGTATGATGATGATCCCGAAGGTGGGATCCTCGTCGATGACCCTAGTTACGAATACCAAAGTGATCCGGACCACGAAATCCTCGAGTATAGCTCAGAAGCCAGTGGAGATGAACAGATCTCCAAACGTGACGACATGAACATCGACGAGAGTGGCCCAGCCGAGGTCCAAGAGTGGCTTTTCAAAGTAACAGGCCCAGATCCCCCGGAATTCGATATAGAATTTCAGCCTCTAGATTCACCATTAGGTGTACCGCTATACTTTAGAACCGGCCGAGTGTGCACGGTCAATTCGGCCGCTTTCGACAAGACACTCCTCCGTCTCGAGCATGTCGGGGGTCCAGGCTGCCGACATTATGAGGCGTACGTTGGAAAGCATATTTCCGTCGAGGAGATGAGAGGCTGCCATACCGTCCAGGGCATTCTTTGGAAGAAACCAGGCTTAAAACCTCGGTCTGATGACCTCGAGTTTGAGCGTGAGAGCAGCTATTTTCTGACTGGTATTGCTGAAAAGATGCCGCCGTCAGGGTCCTGGTTGGACTTTTACCCTGTTCGATACGGTGCGGATAACTACATCGAAGCCGAAACGAATTTTGTTCTTGAGACGGTTAGTGCTTCTTCCTGTCTTGACTATGCTTTGTTATATGTAGTTTCGTGTGCTTATCTACGCCAAATGCTTGGACACAGACCCAAGAGCAACTGAGAAGTGTCGCGCTCCCATTCCACCCAACTTGCTTCGAGCTTTATATCCAGGCCACACGCCTGTATAATAACCGTGTCGACCTCGACACCTTAGTCCATATTAGAGACGAGGCTGCTATTGAACGGAAGAATTTTCCTACGAAATGTAATCAGGATGTCGAGGACGCAACAGACCAGGTCTGGCGACACAAGGTAGGGCATGAATATCTCGTTGCAAATCCAGTATTTGTACCTGGCCTTAGGGCCATTCTTGAGTCAGCTATCTCCACTGATAAAAATTTCAGCGTGCATGAGAGCGCCTTTGGGAAAAGGCCACAACACGACGGCCTTTCGCCACAAGATCCTTTTCTAGCTTTACCTCCTGAAATCATCCTAGGTATTTCCACCAGCCTCAATTCTTCTGAGGTGGCTAGCATTAGACTTTCCTCCCGTGCATTCACGCATCTTCCGATCTCGTTATTTCGTCAGTTTGTTCTTGACGAGATGCCCTGGCTGTATGAAGCATGGTCCCCGGAGACAAAACCCTACTACTGGGCAACCGTCGTAGCTCGTGATTTACTTGATGAGAAACAAGAACGAGCAAAATTCAATCGGGGTCTCGAGAAACGGCGTGAGGTTATTCGCAATCACGAGCCAGGAATTTATAACGAGTTTGTCACAAACGAGCCGGAATGGGAATCGCCGGAGCGGCCTGGGTGGCAGGAGATCCTAGACATGGGACCGATCACCCTACCCCGGGATAAAACAAATTGGTATAAGGTGTTTTGTGATATCAGATCGAACTGGAGCTCGTTGAAAGGACTGCGAAACCGCGAGCGAATTTGGGAAAATGTGAAGCAAGTTGTGGATGCGATTAAGAAGGTCCGCGAGGGCCTCGGCTTTTACTTGGACGAAGATGACGACAATAAGGATAAGGATGCGGGCGATGACAATGGTAACTAGAGTAAATTTGGCGATTTGATGTTCCTGGGCGGTTTTTCTCGTGCTGGCTGTGTTCGCATCCTCAAATTAATGCTGGACTATATTTCAAGCGTTTGTAGGTGGAGAGCGGATATGAGTCGGAAACTCTCAAAAGACGGGGCGGAACCAGAGCCTGAGTGAATGGAGCCATGTCAGTGCATGGAGGGGTACAGTGGCACTGCAAATATTCCGACACTCCATCCCAGATGTCCTAACTCCATGCTGGTCGAAGCTCAACAGCGAGAAATACAAGCAAGGTATCCGCCAATGGCTGATACGTATTGCCTGTGCACCGGACTTAGCGTCGAAATGGTATCCCAAAATGGTTTAACGTGCGGCATAATCGGAGTTAATAATAGTCGGCATAACTAAGTTAACTGTAGTTATCGCATCTTCAATCTCCGATGATCTCTCTCTCGAGGTTGCAACCCCATGGTGTTTCGCGGAAAGCCGTCAAAAGCGTGCGGGAGATGTCGGATCCGGCGCTTGAAGGTAAGAGCGGACGTATTTTCACAGAACAAAAGTAGTTGAACATTGGAACAGTGCGATTTCCGCCCAGAGGCATGTAGCCCATGTCGCAGGGCCAACGTTGTCTGTCATGGCTATCGCGACACGCAGCAGCTTCGTGTCCACGATGAAACCATGTCCATCCAGCGCAAGGTATTTCTGCCACGGTCGCTGCAACAGCCTATCGAGATACAGGCGCGCGACGCATTCCTCGCCCACTATGTCGCGCCCGTCTCACGCGGCTGGGATTTCCTCGCATCCTTCTCCATCACTACCCCATCCTATCTACTTTCCAGTCTGGATGCTGTGAGCCTAGCATATCTGGCCTACCTGCAGCACTCTCCATCAATCTTGGGCCAGGCCAGGTCACAATACTCGACGGCACTGAGCTTAATGAATAAGGCGCTTCTGCCGGCTTCAAATGCGGCGTCCAAGTACAGCATGCTAAGGGGCTCTATGCTTTTAGATCTCTTTGAAAAGATCACACATTCGGGTCCCAGCAAAGTGGAGTTTTGGCGCAGCCATATCGATGGGTCTTTGGCCCTGATACAGGCTTTGGGCTTGGATTTTTTCCGGGACTACCCGTCCCTGCGCATCCTGTCTCGGCTTGTTACCAACTGTATTATCTCGTGTGTGGCGAGCGCGACTGCTGTGCCGCAGCAGCTGATTGAAGTGCGCGCACATCTTACTCGACAGGTGAACCCAGAAGACCCCAAGTGGAAGCATTCCACTATCATGATCGAATATGCAGCCTTTCGCGAGGCACTCAGAAGATCGCTTTGGACTTTGCCTGAGTACATCGTCGTTATCCAAGATATTGACCAGAGACTTTTGGATCTGTCCCAGAATATGCCAGAGGACTGGGAGCCCGAGGTACACGCCCTAGACTTGTCCACCGAGATCCCCAATCGCCTGCTATTCTACCGAGACCGCCATGTCACCCAAATGGTGAATGCTCTCCGGCTCGTCCGAATTCTTCTGAATGAATTTCTCCTAGAAAGTTATCAGAAGCAAGATGATATTGACAGTCGACTGTTCGACGAGCCAGCCATCCGTACAATCACATCATTAATCGATGACATCTGTGCCAGTATCCCTCAATACGTGCGCTGTCAATGTCAGTTCCCCACAAGGCCACAGCAGCATTCACCAACCCATACTCTTGACTGCCATCGGCTTCTTTTCCCACTCTATGTCGCTGGACGATCGAAATGGGCTTCTCTGAAGCAACGAGACTGGATAATGCAGCAACTGCGTCATATTCATGCTCACTTTGGTGTTCACAACGCGTCGGTCTTGGTGCAGCTATTGGAATCCCAAGCGAATATCGATCCGTGGAATATATATGCCATGCTGGGAAGCTATGGATTCGCTGCATGAGGGATAAATGTAAGATACAAAATAAACTAACGTTATAAAACATATCATTCGCTGAAAGTCTGCTCTTTGCAATTCCATTTACACATAATGGCCAGAGACCGAATACAAATTTTCATGACCTAAACCACATCCGACGCATATAACTTGACGGGCACACCCAAGTCATGCATCATCGTCAAATTCGATAGCTTGATAGGTTCCTGGCGGGGGTGCGGATCCGCATTCTCAAGGGAGTCAAAGTGCTGCATGAGACGGACCACAGTGTAACTGGCTTCCGTGAGGGCGTATTGCTGACCAAGGCAAATGCGTGGCCCGCCGTTGAAAGGCAGATACTCCCATCCATGCTTAGCGTTCTCCTCCCAGCGCTCCGGGCGGAAGAGGTGCGCGTCGGCGCCCCAGAAGTCTGTGCGGCGGTGCATCGCGTAGACGTTATACATGACCATAGTACCCTTCTTGATATAAATGGGAGACCGATGATCGGGTCCACCTCCAACGGGGAGGGAGGTATCCTTAGTTGCGATGCGGAAGTTGGCGGGCACGGGGGGTTGGAGACGGAGAGTTTCGTTCAGTACATATCGCAGATAGGGGATATCCTTCAGCTTCGTCTGAGTAATTTCCACCCGAGAGTTCTTGCTATCACCGAACACGTCAACAATCTCGCGGCGGAGACGATTCCAGACGTTCGGGTGGCGTGCCAGATAGAAGAAAACAGAGCTCAGCAAGCTGGCGGTGGTATCGCGGCCGGCAAGCAGGATATTGAGCATGTTGTCGCGGAGCATCTTTGGGTTGTCGGTCTCAGCAGCCAGCGCCTCGAGGAAAATGTAGCGGCCATTGGGATCTTTTGATTCCGGATGACGCTTGGATTCAAGGGCGATGTTGACATAGTGGTCGACGACCTCGTGCACTTTGCGAGTAGCATCGCGGAACTCCTTGGGGTTGATGACCCAATACAGACCTTGAGCTCGCGTACGGGCGGAGAGCCACTCTTGCGCGGTATTGAATGCCTCCGCAAAACCGGCGCCATCCCTGACAGAGTATTTCTCCAGAACGCTAGTGGACTGGCCCGACGGAGACATGCAGCCAACCGCTTCGCCGAACAGGAAGTGGGTTGCTGAGTCGAGGGTCAACAGGAAGAACAGGTGCTGGATGTCGAAGCTGCTCCGATCTTTCGGGATCAGATCGATGAGGTTGGTAATGTGGTCGTCCAGCAGGGCTAGATCTGCGACTTGATCTCTTGTAAACTGCGGACGTAGCAGTCCACGGGCATGCGTCCACCCGGGACCATCGAGCGTAAAAATGCCGTCTCCGAGGAAGGGATAGAACTGCTCGTGACGAGTCCCCAAACTGAAATCCTGGAATTGAGTCGCTAGAATCGCCTTGACATTCTCCGGCTCAATGGTCGAGAGCATACTCCGCGAGAGGAAGCGCAGGCGGAACGTGTAGCCGTAGACGGCGTACTGGGAGGCGACGTACTCGATCCAGCGCTTCTCGCGCACGGCTTTGGTGAGGCGGAGAAAGGCCGGAATCCCCCAAAACGAAGTGTCGCCGTTGGTGGCAGGCTTGCAGTGCAGGGCTTTGGCATTCCGGCGGTGATGAAATAATTGGACGAAATAGTTGATTATCAGAAAGGTCGCGTACAAGGCGGCGACAAGGGCGACGAGGGGGCTGGCCAACATGGTGGTGATACCAGATGTGTGTAACCTCGACCCCGGACTGTCCCAAAAGGCCCTAACTATATATTAAGATCTCTTACATATCGTCATTGCAGATGTTAAGCGGGGAGTGGACCAGACCTCGGTTGCGCACGTGAGACAACTCGCAAGCTGGTCTGAATCGGGTTTAGCTACAACAAACTATGCACAAATATGTATCGAAGAATCCTCCCGAACTCCGACTACTGACTAACGGCGTCAGGCTCTCTTCAACCCCATATGCACTGCTCCAGTTCCCCGACTATGCATTCCAGTCTCCACGGCTCTAGGTCCGGGGCTCAAAACAGGGTAGCCATTCCTTCAAGGCTCGTTGGAACAGACCCCGCGACGCTTTGCCTGGGCCAAAGTCTGGGTCAAAGTCAAAGCAGTGCTCCGCGTTAGGCATGATATACCCAAACAGAGTGTCCTCACCCGTCTTCACATTGCACTGGGGAATATCTGTGGAGAATGTGACCCCTTGTGGGGCCCAGCTTTCCGTGGCGAGGGGAGACAGGGTCCGCCACGGGTCGAATTGGCCACCGCTCCAGTACACATTGGACGGGCGAATCGTCCAGCCGCCAGTCCGTTTGTTCAACGCATCCGTCTGGGGCTGTTTCGGGAGAAGACCAGACGCAATGCCATCGGGAAACTGGCGGTGGCAGGCGTACGACCAGTACTCCAGCGACTGGTACTGGGACAGCAGCGAGTGAGGACCGAGGTTATCGCTCTGAAAGTATCCCCACTCCGAGCAGAACTGCCAAGTCCAACTGATATCATCTGGATTGGTTGAAGGCGGGTTCAGAACACACGACAGCGGGAGCGTCATGTTCAGCCCGTCACAATTCGTGTTGTAGTTGAAGTTCACCAGCTGAGTGAAGATCGGCCAGGAGGCGTACCGCATTGCAGCGTACTCATTCCCCCGGCTAGCTGCGAACCCTTCCGGTCCGGCGGTGCTGTTGGTGTCTGGATCGGTTTCTAGCCATTCGCAAAAAGAGCCCAAACTGCCCTCGCCGCCACCCATGCCGTAGGCTTGCCAATAGCCGTAGATGCCCGCCAGCGCTGCGCTGAAGTCGCCATTGTTGTTCTCCTCAGCCCCGGCTCCGAAGAAGGCCGTCTTGATGTTTGCAGCGGACGTTTCATCCCTAGATAGCTCTCCGTCGATGTACTCCAGCGCAGCCTTGATGTCCTTGGTGCAGTTCTCGTGTCCATACCCAACCATGCCGGCGTAGACCTGGTCGAAATAGATACTCATGTCGATACGAGCTTCTACTGGCGCTGAAGAAGCATATGAAGCGAAGATAGTATCCGGGTATTGGTCGCGCGTGAAGGCTGATCGGATGCCTGAGTAAGAGCCTCCGACCATGACCCAAGGCGTGGTGTCCGGCGACAGCTGCTGGCCGTTGCGAGTGAAGTTCTGGGCAAAGTAAGGGATATCGGCCAGAGCTTGCTCGGTAGTGAGGTATTTGAAGTGCTCAGGCGGAGTGCTGTTGCTGATAGGGAACGGCAGAGATTCTCCATAGTATCTACTGCGATGTTAGCCCAAGTATCTGAACAGTGGACAGGTGAGCCAACCTATGTTCCCAGACGATGCCCATGCCATTGAATTCCTTTAAAATTTCGGAGAAAAAAGAGGCTTTGTTGGCAGCCAGATATGCCATCGCCGAGCTTTGGGCACTTGTTTCGCCGACATCGTACACGATGATCGGTCCTCCCGGGCGATAGTAGTCTTCGCTGACCCAGTAGCGGTTCTGGTAGGTGCCGACAGACTCGTCCTCGTGGTCAACGGGAATCTGCATTGCCATCAGGATATGTTACTCAACATTTGTGCCCTAATTTGACTCACCGTCGTCCATTCCGTATCAACCGCGGCCTGCATCGGTCCCATCAAGAAGGGTAGATGCACACGTTCACGGTTTCCATATTCCATGAAAAGATCAGGGCTAATGCCCAACTGAGAAGCAAGCGACAAGTCCTTGCTGAACGAAGCGGCAGTCAAGCCCAGGGCGGCCGCTGTGCCTGACAGCGCCGCCAGAGTCAGAGTCATCACATTGATGAACGAGGAATGCATGGCTGAAGTCGAGATGATTTCCAGACGATCATCATGGACGAGAAAATGCTGTATATAAACACGTTACAAGAGGGCCAAGGCATTCACCGCAGTTCCGAGAACAATTGGGGACAATACTATGAATGCTTGCATTCGTGAAGCTGCTGCGGGCACCCCGAGTGGGTTCGACAATCCTAATCGGGCCACTTAGGCTTGCCAGGCACACCCGAGACAGATCCATTGCGTGCGGCACCGGTGGGTCTACGCCTAGAATCTCCGCGCGTGGCTCTGGTGTTCGATGTAACGCCTCGCCAGGGTCTGCAGAGAAGAGGTACCTCGAACCATGTTTGTGAGTTTGTTCTACACACCATTGGTTTCTGCCCCCGTCGGTCCCCGGCGGCATGGGGTTGCACAGGCAGCTATCTAGATGATAAATATGGGTCGTGGGTGGAGAATTAGGATAACCTCATTTACAGTTCGGGGCCGTACTTTTCATCTGAGACGGAGAATGTTGATGTTTACTCTTTCCGGAACGGGGAGCTGGACAAACAAGCTTCCGAAACCAGAAGTATGTTTCGTGTCTGTGTGCTCTTGTCTAATTGCATGTTCGAGGCGGAGATTAATTTACTATTATCTGACATACAGAACAATGAAACGCCATTGATATTGTTCTGCTGCATATTCTGCCAGCTCTCTACACCCCGCAATTAAACCGATCCACAACAAGAGCTAGCTTAGTGTTATCGGTGGACCAGTGAACAGGGGTATCGCCATTCCTGGAACATTCGGCGCCAACAAGGGATGGCGGCTGAGTGCGGCGATCAAGGTTGATTGGAATGCGTTTAGCCAGCCGGAAATGTGCAGCGCCAAGTGTGAGACAACCACAACAAAAAATAATGCTCTTAATTAAAGCGTTCCAGGTGGATGTCTTCGCAATCGAGGCTACAGTGATGGTTCTTGGCCAGCGTCATGCGCGAACCATGGCTTGAACACCTTCCTTTTCAGTCCTGGCTTCATCTATTATTGAATGTGTGAGCTTCCAGTCCACTATTACTGATATGGAATGATAGAACAAATTCCCAAACAGTCAATGTCTTCTATAATGTTGTATATATTCCTAGAAATTCGAACAGGGCGACGCGCAAAGGCGCTGAAGATCAATATCAACTCCGAGAATGCACCAACCTCCCCCCAACCCAGACAGATTTCACGTTGCGATCATCTCCGTTCCAAACCCACTTCTGGATCTTCTCCTCCCAAGTCTCCTTGCCAAAGAGATCGACATTGCCCACCGGACCAGGCTGCACAAGGCTCTGGCCAGTTCCATGGCTATTCTCCAAAGCGGAGTCGAGCGGGCTCCGATCAGCCTCCTTCAAGCCACCTAGTTGAATCAGCTGCGTGTCCCAGATCATGCCCCTTTCAAAGCCGCCAATATCATCCGCCATGTCGACGACCGCTGCGCCGCCGCGGGTAGCAAGGTACAAACTTTCTTCAATGGACAGTTTTTCTCTTCCATCTGACTTGGGGTGCGAGTTTGTACATGTCTCTGCTTGAAAATCGGCCGTATGACCCAACAGCCTCGAGGCAAGACAGGCTTGTCGGGCTGCCTCCAGGATACTGGGGCTGTAACCCCCACTTACGTCCGTCCCGAGGCCAACGGTCACCCCTTCGTCGATATAGGCGCGAACGGGAGCAATTCCTGATCCAAGGGCCGAGTTGGAGGCGGGACAGTGCGAGATTTTGGCGTCCCGCTGACGAACCAGAGCGCGCTCCTCTGGTGTGAGATGGACTGCGTGCGCGAGAATCGTCCGCGGCGTGAGAAGATTATATTCGTCGTAGACGGCGGCGTAGCTCGCACACTCAGGGAATAGCTCCTTGACGAGGGCAACTTCGTTCTTGTTTTCGGAGATGTGAGTCTGGATGTGCAGTGGTGGGCTATACGACGCAGCGAGCTTGCCCAGGTCCTCGAGAGCGGGTCGCGAGCAGGTAGGCACAAAGCGCGGGGTCACAATGGGCTTGACGAGACTGCCCTTGGGGTCAAGGGTGTGGATGTACTCGATCGTAGACTTTGTCGCAGACAGAGAGTCCGCAGCGGAGAGATCCTTGTAATAGGCCGGGCAGAAATCCGGATTGTCCATGCATACTCTGCCGATGAAAGCGCGCTGGCCACGCGTATAACACAGCGCAGCCAAAGCGTTAGTGGCGGGGACATGCACGGTTGCAAAGTAGGAGGCGCAGGTCGTGCCGTGGGAGAGTGTGCGCGCAACGACTTGATCGTAGACGCGCTGCGCAAAAAGCGGTGCATCTCTGGGGCTGAATTTACCGTCCTTGTGGTCCGATTGAGACCCGAAGCCGGACTCGACCGGGAACGTGTATGTTTCCAACCAGTCGAGAAGAGTAGATGAGCCGAATAACCCTGCGTTGGGGTATTGAGGCGCATGGATGTGCGTGTCGATGAAACCCGGGAAGAAGAACTCGTTCACATCATCCCTGGCAGTCACAATTTTCACTTTGGTCTGTTGGCCCGAATGGCCATTGACCTGAGAGTCCACATCCACCCAGCCTTGCTTCTCCATCAATTGCCGAAAGGCATTGTCGTCTGTTGCCTGCCAATCGAAGTCGGCAATGCGGCCATCAGCAGCAGAAACCCACAACGCACCGGTGTTCCTCAGCAGCACGGGTTTCTGGCCTGCTGGAGGGTTGCGCGACAATTGAATGAACGTGCCACGGTAGACCGTGAAGTCGTAGAGTGATGAAGCCATCATGTGATAAGTGGATATAGAACAAGTCTAGAAGGATGAGTCTAGATGCAGCTGCAGATCAGGGTCCACTAGCGACAGGCATGCAGTAATGACAGAAGGATTGTTCTTTTCAGGGCAGTCGGACAGGCAGATATATGTCTTCTCTGCCGCGCTCACGCTCTTTCCCGAGCGCGAGGGGCGAACGAGAATGTCGACGGACAGAACAATATCGGTGTGCGGAGTTTCCAGGCTGTTCCTTCTTAATTTGAACGTCGGGACTGCTGGTTATCTGGGGAGGAAGGACGCGGGATCAACAGGGCGAAGATGATCGATTGTGCCTGGTCTCGGGGATCGGCTGTCTCCGATGGAACGGAAGGTTACTGTATTATACTTGGTCTACGCGGCGATAAGAGATGATAACCGTAATATACTGTCAGAGAGCTGATAAGAGGCTGATAAGCCGAGGGGCAAAAAACCAACAGTGGATGATCCTAATAGCACGGGAAGTATATGGATGTGAATGGAAAATAATGTTGAATCCTTTATTCTAATCAAAACCTAATGGCCATCGTCATCATCAAAAATAAGAAATGTTGAATCGCGTATACACAGAATTAACAGCGTGGGTATCGTAGATCTTTCTCTATACAGTGTCCTCGACAGGGCCGCAAGTGCAGAACAGGTTCTGGTCACCGAAGGCTATAAAAACAGACGTTAGTAGATGTAACCAGAAGAAGACAAAAGGGGATGGGAACATACCATCATCGACCCGCGTCACCGACGGCCAGAACTTCTTCTCCAGCAGCAAAGGCAGGGGGTACGCCGCGGCCTCGCGCGTGTACGGACGGTCCCACTGGGCCGACAGTAGATCGCGCTGGGTGTGCGGCGCCATCTTGAGCACGTTGCCCTCCTTGGGCTGCTCGCCACGCTCAACCTGCGCGATCTCGTGGCGGATGGAGATCAACGCGTCACAGAAGCGGTCGAGCTCGTCCTTGCTCTCGGACTCGGTGGGCTCGATCATCAGCGTGTTGGCGACGGGCCAGGACATGGTGGGGGCGTGGAAGCCATAGTCCTGCAGGCGCTTGGCGATATCAATGGCCTCGACACCGCAGGTCTCCTTGAAGCCGCGCACGTCGAGGATGAACTCGTGTGCACAGCGGCCGTGGTCGTTGGTGTATAGGATCTGGTAGTGGGGCTTCAGGCGCGAGAGGATGTAATTTGCGTTCAGCAGAGTGATCTTGGTGGCGTGTGTCAGTCCGCGGTCACCCATCATGTTGATGTAGTTGAAGGTGATGGGAAGGATGCTGGCACTGCCCCAGGGAGCGGCGCTGATGGGTGGCGATGAACTGTCACCACGCTTGGACTGCAGATACTCGCTGGTCGGATGGGAGGGCAGGAACGGACGCAGGTGCTCAGCAACACCGATAGGGCCGACACCAGGCCCACCGCCACCGTGGGGGATACAGAAGGTCTTGTGCAGGTTCAGGTGGCACACATCAGCGCCGATCTCGCCGGGAGAGCAAAGACCGATCTGAGCATTCATGTTGGCGCCGTCCATGTAGACCTGGCCGCCATTCGCGTGCACCAGTCGACAGGCCTCCTTGACACCGGGCTCGTACACACCAAAGGTACTCGGGTAGGTGACCATGAACGCGGCGAGTTCGTCCTTGTGCTTCTCGCACTTGGCCTTGAGGTCCGCAAGATCCAGGTTGCCGGTCTTGGTGTCACATTTGACCGTGACAACCCGCATGCCGGCCATGGCGGCACTGGCAGGGTTGGTGCCGTGAGCGGAGACAGGGATCAGGCAGATGTTGCGCTTGGAGTCGCCCTGAGCCTCCTGGTACTTTTTGATGACGCGCAGACCGGCGAACTCTCCCTGCGCACCCGAGTTGGGCTGCACAGTGACCTCGGCCATACCGGTGATGTCGGCCAGCTGCTGCTCCAGATCATCGATCATCTGCGTGTAGCCCTTGGCCACATCAGCAGGCGCAAACGGATGCATCTGGGAGAATTCCGGCCATGAAACAGGGATCATCTCCGTGGTAGCGTTGAGCTTCATGGTGCAAGACCCCAGGGGAATCATGGAGTGGGCCAGAGAAAGATCCTTCGACTCGAGGTGGCGGATGTACCGCAGCATCTCGGTCTCGGAATGATAGGTGTTGAAAACAGGATGGGTCAGGTAGGGCGAAGTGCGCTCCAGGTTGGCCGGCACAGGCGCGAGGCCGAGAGTGCCATCAATCTCGACAGGGGCGAGAGACTTGTGAGCGGCAAAGACATCCAGGACACCCTTGACCTCGTCCCGGCCGACGGTCTCATCGAGCGACAGGCCAACCTTGTTGCCACCCAGGCGACGCAGGAAGATATTTTGAGCGCGGGCCTCGGCCATGATGGCATCGGCCTCGGCAGCACTGGAGAGTTCGACGGCCAGGGTATCAAAAACAACGCCAGCGTCGGTAGCGTTGGAGCTAGCGGGAGCATTGTATCCCATAGCGACGAGCTTCTCGCGAAGCAGACTGGTCATGGACATGATGCGCTGGGCGATGGACTTGAGACCAGTGGGACCGTGGTAGATGGCATACATGGACGTCATGTTGGCGAGCAGAGCCTGGGCTGTGCAAATGTTGCTAGTAGCCTTCTCACGACGGATGTGCTGTTCGCGAGTCTGCAGAGCCAGACGGAGAGCGCGATTGCCAAGGCGGTCCTTGGAAACTCCGACCACACGGCCGGGAACCTTGCGCTTGTACTTGTCGGCGCAAGCAAAGAAGGCAGCGTGCGGGCCACCGAAGCCCATGGGAACACCCAATCGCTGGGCGCTACCGAACGCGATATCAGCACCGAACTCGCCGGGTGCCTTCAGGACTGTCAAAGCCAGCAGATCCGTAGCCACGCTGAAGGTACCGCCCTGGCTGTGGATAGAATCACTCAGGGACTGGAAATCGAAGATACCACCTTCGGTGTCGGGGTACTGAGCCAGAACACCAATTAGGTGGTCACCCTGCTCTTTGACTAGCTTGAAGTTATCCGCCAGAATGTCACCCACCACGAGGTTGATGCCAAAGCCCTCCGCACGCGATTGCATCACGGCAAGGGTCTGCGGATGGCACAGGTGTGAGGCGACGAACGACTTCTCGGCCTTCTTCTGCTTCGATGCCGGCATGGTGGCAAAGGACATGGTCATGGCCTCGGCGGCGGCGGTCGCCTCATCCAGAACCGAGGCATTGGCAAACGGAAGACCGGTCAGATCGGCGGTCAGGGTCTGGAAATTCAGCAGGGACTCCAGACGGCCCTGGCTGATCTCCGGCTGGTAGGGCGTGTAACTGGTGTACCAAGCCGGGTTCTCGAGCACATTGCGGAGAATGACCGGAGGCACGATGGTCGGGTAGTAGCCAGTGCCAATATAGGTCTTGCCGGAGACGTCAATGTTCTTGCGGTAGGTGTCCAACAGCTTCAGCATGTCGGTTTCGCCCAGGCCACCTTGCACGGGAGAACGGTACAGGCTGATATCGGCGTGGGGCTCAGTGACCTTCAGGTCCTTCTTAGACATCACGTCCGCGGGCAGGACCTGCTTGACGAATTCGTCTAGCGACGCCGCCGGAGGGTCTAGGACGGCCAGCATCTCGCCGGCCGCATCGGGAGACGGGCCAATGTGGCGGCGGGGGAAGGTGTCGAGGGGCTGGAAGATATCCTGGGGGTGGGGGTCGCCATGGTCGGCGACGGTGCTAGTATACACTCCCCGGCGAGTCGAGGGAGACGGCTGTTGCTGCGAGGAGCTATGCAGACAGCGGCGGCAGGTGCTGAAGGGCGACAGCGAAGCCGTCCGCAGCGAGACCGGGGAAGGGGCGGCGCGCAGACGCGACCGCAGCACGAGCTGGCGGCCACCGCGCAGGGCAAACCAGGATGCCGCCATGCTGGGAGAGGAGCTAGGATGAGGTCGGAGGAAGAGAGCGGCAGCCAGGAGGACACTCAACACAGCTAAAGGAGACAAGAGAACGAGAGGAATGAAAAGAAGAAAGATTCCATTTATGATTTGCAGCTCTTTTTTTTCCTTGTCTTCGTTCCAGTCTTTGTTCCTCGCTTTTTCGTTTGACCTCGGGGCGCGGGCAACGGTATCGGGAAAACCAGATAACAAGCTTATCGAACGAATGAACGCGGAGGGCTTGTGTCACCTTACGGTATTCAATACTCCGACGGAGGGCTTTCCCGCGGAAAAACGGCCATTCAAGGGAAACCGAGTTATCTTCTCCACCACTACTTGATGACTAGGACAATGGGCATTCACTAACTAACTAACTATTGAGACGACCATAGTCTCGTTGGAAATCACGGTCGCGTGATCGATCAGATGAGGTCGATACTTGGACTTGTTCACCTCCATGGGTGGCTCGCTGCACCTCGCCCGAGACATGTTAAATGGTATAGCGAAAGTCCGGAGAACCCTCAATGACCCGCTTTCCTCGATCAGCCTGCCGGTTACAATGCCGAAACCACACACTCAGCACCAGCACAATCAGAATGATAAGGATGTTGCACCTATGGTTCCCAATTAGCACCGCTTGCAATCCAGCCGGGGAACACCTACGCGATGGCTGCCCACATGCCCGGCCGATACTCCGGAGCGTCCTGAGTACGAAATACCAGACTACTCACAATGCCCCCAACTCCGCCGAGCCCAACCAGCGTGGCGCTGGACAAGGCTCGGGTCCATTGCCCCCGTACATTGTTGGCCTGGTACGCCATGCAGGCGGGAATGTTGGCATTCGCGCCCGCGACGGTGAGGAACACGCCCGCGTAACGCGTGGCATTGCCCTCGGCGAACCCCATCATCGGGAGTCCGATGATACAGATGAGTGCGTTGACAACGAGAATGGCGCCCCGGATGCGGTATTTGTCGCCGACCCAGGCAGTGCTATACATGAGGATGCCCGCCAGGCCATACGGCGGCGCCACGAGACATTCAGACTCCCCCACGCCAAATCCCATGCCGTCACGGAGGATGATAGGCAGGAAATAGGCGATTGCGT